CCCCCCCCCTCCCCCCGTGCCCAATCGCAGGCCCAATCGGCCCAATCAATCCAATCAGCCCCCCCTCGAAGGCTGCTGTGTCCAATCAGTCCAATCAGTCCGCCCTCCCCTCCTGCCCTTCACCGCTGCTTGCGTGTTCCGCACCTTCACTTCGGTCGTCTTGGGATCGGGCCGTCTCTTGGTACTGATGGCCATGGGCGGGCGGGGCGGAATATCTCACTCCATGCGCCTAAAGCCTCGCATGGGCTGGTCGGACAACTACTCCGAGAGCTCCAAAGCTTGGGGGGGGGGGGCCTAAGCCGACCTCTGAGGCGTGGGCTGCAGCAGTGAAGGCGATCGACGACGCTCAGGCTAAGCCATGAGACGCACATGGTGCCCCTACCATATAACCAGGCTGTTCGCCGAACATACAAGCACTCCGTGCTGCGTTAGTTAACGCACTTGGTTCTCGAGAGCGCGTTATGAGTCGTGAGGCCAATCTCGAGAAAAGCATGTCTGCTCGTCGCGTTGTCAGTTGGGCGCCCTTGTTGTGAAGCAAGTGCTTGCGTTCCGTCCGTAGCCCGTTTCGCTCAGCATGCAGTCGGGCCGTTCAGCGTCTGGGGCCGTTTCGGATGGAGCCGGCGCGGGCTGCTAAGCTGCGCAGGCTGAATGAGTTCCGTCGTACCAAGCCTCACTGCACAGCTTCTGCGTTGGCTGCAATTCTGGAGGACGTGAGACACAATGGGGTCCCAGAGGTCATAGATCGAAACTCTATGCGGGCCGCGAGAGATGCTGTTACCACAGCTGTCGGCCAATACGGCCCTATTTTGCAATCCTTCACGTGTATTAATGCAGAGGAAGAGCCAGCTAGCATACCAATCGCCTGCCCGTTCGCATCCTTAGCGGCAGCTGTCGAAGACAGCGCAACCTTTCGGAAATTCTTGAGGCGCCAGCTGATGCTTCACCCGCCGACGCCAGAACAGCCATGGAACTTGGTTTTGTATTCCGATGAAGTTACCCAGGGAACCCCTTGTCACCAGCGAGCCAAAGAAAATTCCAATCTATATATTGGAGCTTCTTGGAATTTGGCGTGAGCGCGCTCAGTCACGAAGAGGGCTGGTTTGTGCTGATGACTGAGTTCTCCAAAAAAGTTTCTTCTCTCTCTGCTGGGTTAAGCCAAGCATTCGCTGAGGCTACCAAATGCTTTTTCAAGCCTGATGGCTTTCATTTCCAAGACGGCGGCATGGCCCTTGATCTGGACGGGGATAGCTTCAGGCTGTTTGCGAAAGTGGGCGTGGTGTTGCAAGACGGCGGCGCTCATAAAACTGTCTGGAAGCAAGGGGCGACAGCGCGTCCAAGTTTTGTATGCTCTGCAAGAATATATTCACACCTGATTCAAAGGTTGTTGAAGAGGACGGTTCAGCCATGTTGCGCTGTAACCAAATACATCTCGATGAGCTTGTGGCGTCCACGGACCATGAGCTTCGCACGAATGCCAGGTATCTGGAACGCATGTCGCGGACGTTGTCAAATGATGAGTTTGTGATGTTGCAGCAAGCGTTGGGTTTGACGTTTGCTAAGCGGGGCTTGCTGCTCGATAGAGCCTTGGACAGGCTGGTCAACCCGACAGAGGTGTTTATGCATGACTATATGCACGCGCTCTTCGTCGACGGTGTCGTGAATCTGGTGATTTACCTTACGTTCGAAGCCTTCATATCTGTTGGGCTCAACGGCGTGTGGGAGTCATTCTCGGAGTTCTTGGCACATTGGGTGTTCCCTGGGCGATTTCACGCTACGCATTCAGATAGCATTTTTAATGCTGGTCGGAAAGACAAACATAGAAAGGCGCAACACGTAAAATGCCAGGCATCTGATTTATTGTCTATCCTTGGCGTGCTGATGCTGTTCTGTCAGACGGTCCTGCGACCCATGGGGGCAGCCAATGCGGCTTGCGACGCTATGATTTCTTGCGTTCAGTTGTCGGAGCTGGTAGTTGCAACCAGTCGGATCGACGTGAGCCCAGCGAGGCTTTTAGGTTGTGTTCATAAGTTTTTAGAGTCGTTTACTGCTGCTTTCGGGTATGAGTGCTTGACGCCCAAATGCCACTGGCTTCTCCACCTCCCTGAGATACTTGAGAAAAACGGGCGGCTCTTAAATTGTTTTGTCCTTGAGAGGAAGCATAGAATGCCGAAGCGATACGCCACCGAATTGGCGAACATCTCTGGATCAGCCAGCAAGTCGTTGCTGAGCGAGTGCGTTGCCCACCACCTTTCTGCAATAGCAAGCCATAGTTTTGATTACGACGTTGGCTTGGTGCAGGGACGCAAGGCCCCCAAGAAAAGCAGACAGCTGATCATGGACGCATTGGGATTGGAAGGCGATGATATCCCAGTCAACGTGGGCAAAGATTCTCGCTTCAGCCAGCTCGGCTTATGCACTCAAGGTGACGTTGTGCTTCTAAATGGCCCCGATGGCATACTGGCCGCCCGCGTGAAATTGCATTTCGAGGTCAGTGGAGAAGCTGTTTCTATGATGGAGGTGATGGAGTTTTCTCAACGCATCCGTGGTACTGCAAAGGCGGTGTGGAAACTGTCAGAGTCTCCAGTGCAATGTTGGGAGACTAAAGCCATCTTGGCTGCAGTAGAGCACTGCGTATACGCCGACGGCACCGTCGGCACCATCCTGCCATTAGAGTTTTCATGATAGGATTTGCTGGCACGTCGCGCCCAGAGGAGAAACCATTCGCATACGCTGCGCGTGCCGCCGCACAGCCCATCATCTCACGTTCAAGCCATTGCGGCTGAAGGCGACGAACAAGAGGAGGATGAGAAATGAGGAGGCTATAGGTCTTCCAGCTGCTCCGCTTCTCCTCCTCCTCCTCCTCCTCCTGCTTTTCCTCATGCCTGTCCTGCTCTTGCTGCTCCTTCCCTTCCTCCCGCCCCTCCTCCTGCTCCTCCGCCAGCTGTTTCCTCGTCCCCCCTCCTCCCCCATCCCTCCTCACGTTTAAAACGATCAAAGCGGCATGCCGAAACCGAGGCCGAAGGCGGCGTGGGCGGCGGCGCCGCGCCGAAGGCGTCGAAAACTGAAGTTCAGCTCATATCAAGTGGTGCAACCAATGTTGTGCTACATGCCGTGATGCAAACTATGTGGTGCAACCCACGTGGGGAAACCTATGTGGTGCAACCTGTGTGGGGAAACCTATGTGGGGAAACCTGTGGTGCAACGTATGTGGTGCATCCTATTTTGCGCAACCTATGATGCATCCTACGTGGCGTGGTGCAGCGTATGTTTTGCAGCAGTAAATGGTAGTTTCATAGCTTGCATATCGCGACGGCTAAACGTTTATAACGTTTATAAGTCCGTTGTTGGTAAACGTATGGTAAACTGTATAAATGCGCTAAGCTTTAGCTAAACCTCATAAACCTTAACAAACCCAGGATGCATCTCAGCAGTGCACCTGGGGCGGCTGGCGTGGGCGCCTGCCGCGGCGACCGGCGCCAAAGCGGCAGGCGCCGCGGCGGCGGCGGGGGCCCCTCCCAGCGCGGCCGCCAGAGCGCCCACTCCGCCGGTCAAGCCTCCAGCAGCAGCTCCGCCTCCGATGCCTCCAGCGCCAGCGGGAGCAGGCCCTCCAGCGGCCCCAAGGTCAGCCAGCGCGTGCACGCCAGCGGGAACCCCGAGCACACTGACACCCCCCAGCTCCAGGTTCAGCACCGGCGCAGACGGCCGAGGGAGCCCAGCAGCGATCGCACGGGCCATCGCACCCCAGGCCTCTCCAGCAGTCGGCAAGCGCCGAAACCGATGGACGTGTCCTCCTCCGAGGCCGCCTGGCAACGCGCGTTGGCCGACGATCCGGATGACTTCCTCAACGTCGGGCCCCGGCGAGTTCGCCTCGTCGTAGTCGCCACCGTCAGGAGTCATGATGTACGACAAGGCGCCCCTTCTCCGAGCGTCAGACGCTCATGCCATAGGAGCGGTCCTGCCACACAGCACCTCACCAGGTAGAAAGAGCCCGCCATCAGCGCGACTGCAGCTGCCGGAGTCGGCAAGCCCGCGCCTGCGCCGCCGCGAGCTCCGCCAAGTCGACCTTCTCGACGGGCGCTGCGGCTGCCAACGGAGTCTTCTGCTCCAGCCCGAGCGGGGGCCCCTCGCCCCGCGCCTGGACTCCGAAGCCGCAGGAGGCGACGGCGTGCTGCAGCGCCACCAGCAGCCGCGCGGCTGCCGCAAGCACCAGCTTCCCGACCTCCACGAGGACCAGTCCGAGCAGCCCGATGCCGAGCTGGACCGACCACGAAGGCCCCGAGTCGCCTGCCTCAGGGCAGGCCGGGCAAGGGGTACAGGGCGACGGGCAGCTGTGCCACTCACGGGCCTCCACGGCCGCCGAGATACACTCGGAGAGGGGCACCAGGCGAGCGCCTGCCTCGGCAGCCTCCACGGCGCTCGGCCCAAGGCCAGCGCTAGGAGAGGGCGGCGCCAGCGGCAGCGGCGAGGCCCGCGGCGCAGCAAGCCACCACCAGCGCGCCAAGCCTATCGCGCTGAGGTGGGCCATGAGCGGGAGCCCGAGTCCCCCGGCCAGCATGGGGCGAGGGCGGCTGCGCCCTCAAAGACTTGAGCTAGTACATCGACGGTGGGCGTCGATGCGGCGATCCACGAACTGCTCTGCACATCACTTCTGCTTGCTAAAAGCGGCCATCTATAACAAATGGTTGGAGGGAGGGAGGTGGTGGTGGAGGGATGGAGGTCGAGGATCGGGGTTCGTGGATCAAAGACAATTCTTGGAGGTCCTCTGGCCCCCTCTTTGGCCTTGTGGCGGCGACCTCGTGACGGAACTCCCCGGGGATCGGGGGATCGGAGGATCTGGGATTTACGCCCTTTGGCCCCCCCCGGTCCCTCCTAGTGAGGGGGCGGGCGAGTTTCCAGGCCACGTCTGGGCGCAACCCACAGGCTAGGATGGACTCTGGGAGGGGTCGAGTGGGGGTCCGGAAATGGCTGGTCGAGGATGCGGTGAGGGGGGGCGGGCGGGCCTTGGTTGCGGCTTGCAGTAGGTGGGCATCCGTCTCCTGCTGGCGCACGGCCGACAGGAGGTGCGCCTCTGAGCATCGTTGACCCGATCCCCATCCCCACCAGCGTGGGCTGGGCCCAACTGGCCGATTTGCCCCCCTGGATGGGGTTATAGGCTTCCCTTCGGGTTTCGAAGGGCATATCCTCAACTGAGGTGGTGAGACGATGGGGCTCTAGATGTGGATGTGGATGGGGATAGGGATCGGTTAAACGATACTGAGCCTCGGCATCCTGCTGGCGCACCTCCTGCAGCGCCTGCGGCCGCACGCCGCCGCCGACGGCGACGCCGGGCGCGACGGCGGCGGCGGCGGCGTCGACGGCGGCGGCGGCGACAGCCGCGATACCAGCGGCGGCGACAGCGACGACGGCCTCGACGAGGAAGGAGGAGGCAGAGGAGAGGAGGCCGCCTGTCGCGTCCCTGTCATGCGCCCCCTCCCCGATGCCCCGAATGTTGGTGCCCGTCCCGCTCAGGGTGACTAGGAGAAGCTCGAGGAGGGAGGGGAGGAGGAGGAGGAGGAGGAGGAGGAGGAGGAGGAGGAGGAGGAGGAGGGGGAGGAGGAGCTGGAGGAGGTGGAGGAGGAGGGGGAGGAGGGAGGAGGCGGGAGGAGGAGGGAGGAGGAGGAGGGAGGAGCGGGAGGGGAGAAGGAGCTAGAAGAGAGGGAAGAGGAGGGAGGGCGGGGGAGAGGAGGGGGAGGCCGACGGGGAGGAGGAAGGCGCTCGCAGGCTTCGGCACGGGCCGCCCGCGAAGAGGACCTCGAGGCCCTCGCGAGAGCACCGAGCCGTGGGTGCTAGACGGGGGGATCTGCAGATGGGCGACGTGCGCTGCCAGTGCCCGTGGCAACGCCCCAGTGCGCACAGCAGCTCCTGAAAAGAAAACAGACCACATAAGCATGAACTCTCGAGGGTCCGAGCGATTGGTTGGATCGTGGCTTGCCCCCACTTCCTGGCGCGCGGATCGCGTCAAGGGTGGGAGGCGCCGCCCGCCGGGGGGTGCCCGGCGCTTCTTCAAAACATCTGCGCGGACCCTCGAAAGTTTAGGTTTACGCAGGGTTGTCTTCCTCGACTCCCTCCACTCAGTCCTGTCGAATCCTGGTCTGTTCCCCAGGGAGCGGGGCGGTCGAAAGAATTGGGCACGATACGCGCTGCCAAACCTGAAACTGCATGCTGCTCACAATGGCAGCGTGCCAATGGCATGGTAGTGCTTTACGAAGTGCTGGAGCAGCCGCTTTCGTCCTGCGGCATCCAAGAGGATCGCAGTTGTCTGACCCACCTGTTTTCCCGTGCGCCCATGCGCACGGACCGCTGTCACTGCCTGCCTTGTGTAAGGCAGCCCGCAAAATAACGAAACGTGGACGCTGTCTGCTCACGAACTTGTGTGGAAGCTACTATATGATTATCGCTATCTCGATCCCTTTCTCCGTGTGTATATATATATATGTTTGTAATGTACGCATACACGTACGACGATGCATCATGTGCAGGGCATTCAGTGTAATCTGCGCTCCGCGATGGGACCGACGAACGTATGTGACACCGACGACGTCGGTCGGGCGTGCGGGACACTCAATGCAAAACGACGACGGTCACGTCGCCGCCGACGACGAAGACGAGGGCTCGATGCAACTCTAACGAATCCTACCACTAAGACTGGATCTGGCTTTCATGAAATCATACAGGGCTGGATCCAGCCGTGAGAGAATCCTACAAAGGCTGGTCCGAATCCTGATAGACACCTAGTAGAGCTGGATCCACATCGAATGGAATCTTACAGAAAGGCTCGATACAACTCTAATGGAAACTGCCGCTAGGGCTGGATCCAACTCAAATAGATACACACTAGGGCTCGACCATCGTCATCGTCGTCATCGTCGCTGGCGTCGTCGTCACCCTCGGGGGACCCCCACTGCCCCCCCCCCGTTCGAACCAGGGGAAGGGAGGGGGTTCCGCCCCCGAGCCCCCCCCCTCCCGCTTCGGAGTGGGAGGCTGCTTTTCGCCCCCAGTTCGCACCGAGGGGGTAGGGGGGGGGGGGCTTGCGAGTAGCGGCAAAAAGCGTTCTTTCAGAACTCTTGGAGAACGTTCCTCGTCGATCTCTTTGGGTCCTAAGGTGCCCCAGGAGTTTCTCTAGGTCCCTCGGGCTCTATGGGAGGATGATAGATTTCCGTGGGGCACCTGCTGTCAGACGGATTTCTGACTTGATGTGCCTACTGTATGTACACATGCATGCCGCCGGCAAGCAACTACTACTTCACAGTGCCTGCTGTGAGCTCCATCCCACTCGGGGGTAGACGAAGAGAAGAGAGGAAATCATCAATGATGAGAGCTCACCCGAGGCAACTGCCAATTACTACACACCTCCCGAACACAACCGGCCGGACCCGAGTATTCTCAGAGCTTGTGTGCGCCGTCCCATCCTCACCTTCAGCCTGCAAATGGGAAATGCAAAAAGGCAACGCCAAACGCAACGCCCGCGCATGCTCTGTCGGTCCGTCGCACGCGGAACTGAGCGCACGATGCCTATTGCGTCGGTCCGTCGCACATGGAACTGAGCTGCTGATGGACTGCTTGGAGGCCTTCCGAATGATGCCAGAGTAGACGGGGTCAGAGGATCGCACCGCATCGCCGATGCACTGGCGACGTCGGGACGGCAAACATCGGAGTCTGGATCGCCAATGCGTCGACGGCACGGGGAGAACCTGCTCTGGCCCCATGTGGAAGGACAACAAAGAATGACCTACAGACCACAGGCGGTGCGAGCGGTACACAGTGAGAGGGGGAGGGAGGCGGAGGCAGAGGGCGCGATGATGGGCCGCAAAGGTGCCAGAGCCCAGTGGTGCTAGCCCTGGCGAAGAAGTGGACCCCGGACGCCAGCCCCCGGACGCAGAGCTCGACGCCACCCAGGCCCCGAGTCTACCCGCCTCCTGAGGGGGAACGTGACGGGAGCACCAGACCAGGGGGGAGAAACATCGACCCGGAATCCGCGATGCATCGCCCACAGGTCGACGTTAGGCCCCGCGGCCACGAACCCGCGCGGATTTGGGCGGGAAGGGGCTGCTCAGAGATCCGATGCTCCAACAAAAGTTGGAGCGGGCGGGTCTTGGTCGGGGATCTTCTGACCCGGGTCAATCCAAACCCCGTTCAGAAAAGGCCTTGCAGGATCCTGCAAGATCCTGCACCCAAGCCCGGGTCACCGCGAAGGATCCTGCAAGATCCCGCAGGATCCTGCACCCAAGCCCGGGTCAATGCGACCCTGGCCCTGCAGGATCCTGCAAGATTGGGCGGCTCTGGCTGGCCCCCGGTTGCATCGACCCCCGTCTCAAGGCTCCCGACTTGGGCTGTCGTCGGCCCTCCCGGGGCCCTCGCCGGGCCTCGGGACCGTCGGAGAAGGACGCGGGACGACAAATCAACGGGCCCTGGGGACATGGGCCAGGGGGGCCACACGTGGCAAACATTGGAGCAGCGGGACGCCTGGGTCGGGCCCCCCTCGGCGCTCCCATGGCCGCTTGGGGGTCGACGTTCGATGATCCTCAGGAAGTGTGTAGGCGCCAGCGTGTGTTGGTCCACCGAAGGTCTTCCACACGACGAAGGTGGTGTAACGATGGCCGACGCAGGCCGAACGGGGTAAGCACACCTCGGGCCAACACGCGTCCAAAGGATCACCGAGACGGGTCCCCCCATGAACCCATCCCCTGGTGGGGCGGCTGTCCTGGAGGAGCCGTGCAGCCCCGGTAAAAGCTCTCGACGAGACGCGGCCGTTGGAAGGACAGCCCGAGGCCAGAAAGCCGCCGAAGAGCTGCCACCAGACGGTGGCCTCGAGCATCGAACCTCGAAGAGCTCGAACCTCGATTCTCGATTCTCGAACCTCGAAAAGCTCGAACCTCGAATGGGAACGGCAACGCCCTCGAGCCTCGAAGAGCTCGAGCCAAACGTTGCCCGCCCGGAGCCCCGGATTCTCCCTGGCCCCGAGGGGGGGGGGAGGGGGGCCTTCCGCCTCGCGGCGTTCCTTCGTGCACGTGCGCCTGCCCTGGCTGCTCTGCGGCTGTGCACGTCCTCCCCTCCGGGAGGGGCCGCTCGGACGCTCTCTTCTTTGTCGCCGGCGAGGCAGCGGCCGCCCGCTCCAGCGCGTGGGCAATCGGGGCAACCGACACGCGAAGTGCCCCGCGGGCAAGGAGGCAGGAAGCAGACGAGGGCGGCCGCGCGTGGGGCCGCTCGGGCACGCTCGGACGCGCACCCACCGAGAGCCGAGCGGTGGAGCGGCCGAGCGGGCGGCGGAGCCTGGCGGCAGCAGAGGGGGCGGCGAAGCGCGAAGCAAGGCGTGCGGGCCCGCTGGAGGCCTCCGTTGCAGGGGCGCCCCCCCGCGCGAGGTCCCCCGGTGGCCTCCCAGGGGGCCTCCCGACGCCTCTGGAACCAGAGGCCTCTCAGCTGGAGTCGGAGCACATGGAGTCGGAGGATCACGCCGGGATCGTCGGTGCAGCACCGATGATTCGGCGATGTATCGGCGACGTAGGAAAGGAACAAGCTGGGCTCTTCTACATCGCGCCGCATGGCCAATGTATCGGCGATGCGGAGCGATCCTCCGACACCACCTGCAGTATGAGCTCGATCACAATAAACCTTCCGTAAGAAACCCAACCTTGAGCCCCCAGGACGTCCATGGATTCTTGGCGCGGGAACTGCACGCTTCCCATCGCAAAACTATCGAAACTCGAGAAACCCAGGGCACCCTCCAGGCAAGCAGGGTGTCTCGTGGCATGGGTCCCCACTGCAGTGTTGCCCCACGTGGAAGGCCTGGGAGGCCACCGACCTTGGCCCTCGATCCTCTTGCGGGCTGCACGCAGAAGTGCCCCCCTCCAGGCAAGCGGTGACCTCTGGTGCGCGGCTCTCGGGGGCTGCGGCGAGGGGGTGGGGCAAGTGCAGGCGCGCCAGCCAGGTCAAACGCAGGCGCGCCAGCCAGGCCTTCTGAGAAGGCCTTCTCCTTCTCATTTCCCCCCGGGCTCGCCGCCGATAACCAGCCTCGAACGTATGTCTAAGATTGACACGCCAGAAGGCGATGGCAATCTTGGGGCTGCGCCCTCGAAAGCTGTGGGCATCCTGAAGCGATGCCAGTCGTAGGGATGGGGGTATGGTTCCAGGCTAATACGTATCTAAGCCCTGTCCCACGGGGCTCCGCGGAAACGCCACAGGACAACTTCTAGTGTTTCATTTTCTGGCGCACTAAAGGTCACTCAGACGAAGGGCCTCTCTTCTGCATGCGGCAAGCTCATGCCGTGACGACCTCGGCGCTGGCTTCTGACGCTGCGCGGGCCCGACTTTGGAGGATCGGTGGCTGCTTCACCGCCAGATCCTTCCAGATTGGATTGGCCGATCCTGGGCCGCTGGCGCCATTCAACCCTGACCCGCGGATGGGTCGCCGCTTCGCGGGAACTTGGGGGCGCGCACAAGGGGGCAGGGGGGGGGGGAAGGCTTCTTGCAAGGAGGCTGCTCGTTAGAAGGCACCGCCCTTGCATCCACAGAGAAGGCCCGCGTCTGCTCCGAAGCAGGGGGCGCTTCTAAGAAGCCTTCCCGCTACCCCTGATTACCCCCTCTCTGCGCGCCGCCAAGGGGTCGCCGCTTCTCGGGAATTACGCGACTGCACCCTGACCGCTGGCAGGTGGGGGCGGGTGCGCCTGGCGGCGCCACATGTCGTCGGCCTGCTGCCTGGGGCGATCGCGGCGGGAGTCGGCGGCGAGCGAGGGGGGGGGGAAGTGAGCAGGAGCAGGCCCTCGCAGAAGGCGGCGGTACTTCTCAGAAGCCCTCCGACCTTCTGAGAAAAGCTGCCTGTGCCTTCGGGGAAGGCCGAAACATGAACTTCTCAGAAGGCTGGGGGACTGCCGCCGCCTTCCGAGAAGGCCTTCCGGGGATGGACGGGACCCCCGTCAGTAAAACGTGGTTTCATGAAAGCGACCCCGGGCCCGAACCTGGCGGGCGCAACCCTGAACAACATGACGGCCGCGGCGCCCCCTCGAGAACCGACAACGGACAACTCACTGATCGGCGTGTCAGGGTGGGGGTTCTGTCCACCCCGAAGCCTTCTCCTCCTCGCTTCCCCCCCGGGCTCGCCGCCGAAGGAGGGCGGAGTGCGGTGCTCTCGAGATCTGGGCCGCGCTCGCGTCTCCCCGGCCCCCCTGGCGCTCGACGTCCCCGAGCCGGCCGCACGACACCGTCCATACGGCAGGAGCTCGACCACAGGAAACCTTCCACAAGAGGCCCATTCCCGAGACCGCAGGACGCCCCTGGGATTTTGGCGCTCTGGGAGCGTCACGACCTCCCCACAGCAGAGCCATCGACACCCAAGAAATCCAGGACAGCCTGGAGGCAAGCAGGGTGTTTCTTGGCATGGGTCCCCACTGTACTCTGCCTCGCCGCCGACGGAAACAAAAAGTCTCCTCTCCTGCCGGTCCTGCACGGTTTCCCGCCGGGGCCGTAGGCGACCCGAGGAAGAGGAGGAGGAGGAGATGGAGGAAGAGGAGGAGGAGGAGGAGGAGGAGGAGGAGGAGGAGGAGGAGGAGGTGGGAGGAGGAGAAGGGAGGAGGAGGGAGGAGGAGAGGAGGAGGGAGAGAGGGAGGAGGACAGGACAGGGCAGGACAGGACAGGACAGGACAGGACATCCGCACCAGGGGGTCAACATCAAAATCTACAAAGCAGCTGTGAGAGAGAAAGAGAGAGTATGCCGCAGACCCAGACTTCTCATGGGGGCAGGAAGAGGAGGAGGAGGAGGAGGAGGAGGAGGAGGAGGAGGAGGAGGAGGAGAGGAGGAGGAGGAGGAGGAGGAGGAGGAGGAGGAGGAGGAGGAGGAGGAGGAGGAGGAGGAGGAGGAGGAGGATGAGGTCGCCAGGCTCGCTCGCTGGTCGCCTTCCTCGAGCCGGCGGCACGAGGGTGCCCGTGCAGTATCGAGGGGTCGCCAGGCTGCCAAGCATCGTCGTGCCCCCCGCAGCGGTCGGTCAGCGTCGCGCCCTCGCGCCCATCGCCCTGGACATGGGGCGCCCCTGCGGCCTACAGTCGGGGCGTTGACCTAAGGAGCGATAAATAAGGAACGAAGCTTCTTTTTCCCAGGGAATAACGCATGCACGCCGAAGGAACGACCAAACCCCTTTTGAAAAGCAAGTGTTCCTTATTCGAGCCGCTCGCAGTATGCCGCGGGGCACGAGGCGCGATTCTCTTCTTCGCGCCCCAGTGGGTGACTTACGCTGGTCGCTGGAGGGGGCCTCCAGGGCGGTCCTGCCGAGCTCAGCCCAATCCCTTGCATGCTGGCGGACGTGTGGAAGCGGAAGCCCTGCACAAAAGCACAGGCGCAGGATGCCTGCACAAAAGCAGCCAAGAAGGAAATACCCTGTCGACCCGTATCATAAGGATGCACGCGAAGGATGCAGGGGCCTTGGAAGGCCATTTCGGAGCCTTTCGAGCGGGGCGCGGCCAACAGAAGTGGCCAAGGATGGACCGAGAAAGCAAGGATGCCAGGGTACCCTTGGGAAGCTTGCCCATCCTTACCGCGCGGGTTTACTGTAGACATACGGCCCAAATCTGAATCCGATGCTATGTTCTGTATGCTGTGTGCCGTCATCGCGATCTGCTTAAATGCCAGCTGGATGGCGGGAGCACTCACCTGACCCATCGGCCGTGGAATTGAACGGCCGTCTAAGGGCCACCTCGGTACCCGGGCCTCCACAGCACCCACCTGAGGGGGCCCGGCCGAACCGAACGATGACGATGACCAGACACGCCCGCATGCATGCCAGGACCGGCCGTCATGTGGGACATGCGACGTGCGCAGCATCGACGTGCCTGCGAGCGTCCAGGAGGCGGCGGCGGGCCGGCCCTCCGCCGAAGGGCCAGGCCGTGCATCTGATCGGAATGCTCTCACGTGCCAAGAGTGGCAGTCACACAGTGTGGGCGAGGCCGCAAGAAGCCCTGAACCCTGAGAACCCGCGCGCAAGGTGCACCTGGGGGGAACCCCGGAGCACCCTGAAGGCAGCAGCTGCTGCAATGGCTGCGGGAAGTCACCGCGCAACGCGCGGAGCGAAGACACCACCAGTACCATGACGAAAAGCAGCTGGTCTCTCGATGTGCGCCCCCACCGCACGGGGCCCGCGACCCGCGCGGCATCCGCGTGCCTGCGGGCGTCCGAGAGGCGGTGGCGGCCATGAGCTTCGCCGAAGGACCAGGCCGTGCATCTGATCGCAATGTACTTGCAGGCCAACGGGGATGGGCGCGGTGTGGTTGCCACGGGGGTAGAAAGTTACCAGCGGATGCCAAGGAGGGTTATGTCTGGCCTGACCTAGCTCATTAGTCGGTTGCTACTGCCGCAAGTGGCTTGGGGGGGGGGGTAGCGATCCAGGCTAAGCGGGCTCCTTGGGCACGTGTAACCCACTTATAAGCTAGGTCAGGCCAGCTATAACCCTTTTGCCGTCCACTGCTAATCCCCCTGTCCCCTTAGCACCCTCCGCGCACATCCCAGAAGACTGGCCGTCGCGTGGGGCACGCGGCGTGCGCAGCATCCGCGTGCCCTCCTGGCGTCCGCGAGGCGGTGGCGGCCGGGCGCCTCAAACCCGAAGGACGCGGCGGCGGCCGGCAGCAGAAGGGGGGCCCGCCGCTGGCAGGGGGGGATGAGCATGAGCGCATCGGAGGCGGGCCCCATGCTGTGGGCAGGACAACTGGGACTCTGCGAAAGGCATGTACGGCTGGCTCTTGTCGTGCCGACTTCGGCGTGGGGCTCCGACGCCGCGCTGCATCGCTCCACCTCGAACGATCGGCCGTGTTCGAAGCGTCAGGCTCCTTCCACGTCGACCGACTCCGGGATGCCGGCGGCGCTTCACGCTGAGCGCCAGCAGCGGGGTCGCCGCCAGTCGACACGAAGCGCACCTGCTGTACGCGGGCCCCCTGCCTCCTCCTCCTCCTCCTCCTCCTCCTCCTCGTCCTCCTCCTCCTCCTCCTCCTCCTCCTCCTCCTCCTCCTCCTCCTCCTCCTCCTCCTCCTCCTCTCCTCCTCCTCCTCCTCCCCCTCCTCCTCCTCCTCCTCCCTCCTCCTCCTCCTCCTCCTCCTCCTCCCCCTCCCCCTCCCCCTCCCCCTCCTCCTCCTCTTCTTCCTCCTCCTCCTCCTCCTCCTTCTCTGGGGCCGCCGCGAGCGAGGCGCAGGACCCGGGAGAGGGGAGCGGGGGGCACCGGCGGCCGCGGAAGCCACAGGAGGGCCACGCGGGGGCCACGGGCAGACACGGGCAGACCGACGGGGCCACCGGGAGCGAGCACGCGGCGAGGGCCACGGGCAGAGCAGCAGGAGCCGGGGGGGAGGCGTGGAGGGGGAGCCAGGGAGGGGGAGGGACAAGCCAGGTGCGCTCGCGTCATATCTGACGTTCTGCGCCTCCCTCCCATCCCCTACCCTGGCGCAGATCGCATCTCTAGTCGCACAATCGGGTGTCGCAGAACGGCGTAGCATTACACGGCATTGCATGGCGTTGAAGATCAACGCGTAGCATGACATAATCAGCCTGGCGTGGCAACGCGAGGAGGTAAGGCGGACCTGGTAGCGACGAGGGTGCAGTGGGAGGGAAGCCTCGCGGGCAGGCCAGCCTCCCGCGCCACTGCCCCTCCAGTGCAAGAAGAAGAAGAAGAAGAAGAAGAAAACCAAGGACCTTGCTCGGAGCGACAAATTGGGATACATTCTCGATCTTCCCGAGGTGGGAGCTGTGCACATCCAACGCTTCGCGGGACGCCTTCAAACCAGTGGCCATGGAGCGCCCCCCGGCCTCAGAGGCGGCCGCAACGGAACAGGGGAGCGGACACCGGACAGCCCATCGGACCGCAGCATCGAGCCCGCCAGGTGACTCCAGCGTCGCTGGCGCCCGGTGGATCTGGAGGAACATCGTCACCGTGGGATCGGGGACGGCGGCCGCGGCGGGACGAAGGCCACGGTGGAACAGGCACAGCGACGATGAGTACGCGCTCGAGGAGTGTGAGCCGCTCGCCTGGCGGGGCGAGCCCCTGCCCCTGCCCGCTCCCAGCGGGCAGAGGCCGGCTGCGACAAGGCCTGGGGGAGGAGGAGGGGGAGGAGAGGAGGAGGAGGAGGAGGAGGAGGAGGAGGAGGAGGAGGGAGTAGGAGGCGGAGGCGGAGGAGGAGGAGGGGGAGGAGGAGAGGAAGAGGAGGAGGAGGAGGAGGAGAGGAGAGGGGAGGAGGAGGAGGAGGAGAGGAGGAGGAGGAGGAGGAGGAGGAGGAGGAGGAGGAGGAGGAGGAGGGAGAGGCGCTGGCGGCGGAGCCGACATCAGCTGCACGCAGCAGCTTCCGTGTCCTGCCTTTCCGATGAACCCTCTTCTTGCCGTCGCGTCGCTCGTACGTGGTTTTCTCGTGTGTGCTGTTCGTTGTTCTCGCTGTTCCAAAGAAGGGCTGGGGACAATCGAATTCTGCGTAAATGCATGTGTCTTGAGCGAGTGGGCCCACGAACAACAAGCACAGACAATCACAAGACGCGTCCGAGCAACGCTCAGCGTTGTCGGCCCACCCGGTATATCTCGGCGGGAAGAGGCGAGGCCAAATGTGCCCAGGGGGGGCCAGCCAGAGGCGAATCCATGGCGACCGGACTGCCTGACCGCTCCTCCCGTCACGGAGCGGTCTGGCTCAGCGGAATCGCCACGCCCTGGCGAGTCTCCACAGGCGAAGCGCATTCCTCACTAGAGCCTCCGCCTCGGGGTGGGCGGGTGAGGTCAGAGATTCGACTCCGTGGAACCTAACAGGCACCGAAACCGCTGCTTCCGGGACCTCTCCCGGGGTGCGTCCTGACCAGGGTTCCCAGACGAATCCAGCGGTGGCGACGAGGGCCGCCCAGGAGTCCCAATAAAAGGACAACAAGGAAGGGCAGGTAGAGGTATGGGTACCTTTTCCTCCTCCGAGACCCGTGACTCGACTCCGATCCCTGGCCTCGACCGACGGTCGACCCTGCAGCCGCGGCCCCGATCGCAAAGCGGATGTGGTGCGATCGGGAGGGGCCGATCGCGCGATCAGGCCGTCGCGCGCTCGGGTAGAGGCCTCCCAAATGGGGCCGAGTAGAGAAGGCTGCAGGATTGCGCCGCATCGGTGGATCACCGATGCATCGGCGACGTCGGGGATGCATAGGCGACGTCGTCGTGGAGAAGATTGGGTTCCACATCGAGCCGCATCGCCGATGGATCGGCGATGCATCGGCGATGCGGCGCGAGCCTCCGACCCCCATTACTCCGACCCCATCTGGGAGGCCTCTACCCCAGGCCCCCGACGTCATGACTTTGTCACAGCGTCGACACTCAGACGTCTCGACCCATTCCCCTGGACAAAGTTTCCATCCTGAGTCGTGTTTTGACGGCCTCGAGGGCCGGTAAGGGCCTCCAAAGGCCGAAACTTAGGCAGCACCTCCCGTGATGTTTTTTTCATTGCCCGAGGGGGGGATATCCGTGACCGCGCGACGGGAGAGGCGGCAGGCGCACGCAGGGGGCCGGGTGCTGCGAGGAGTGGCTCTCCCGCGCCCACGGCCGCCCGGGGGACTCCCCGGGGAGGCTCAGCTGCCCTCCAGAGCACCCCATCGCAAGGCCGCAGAGGGCCCCCGAGGCCCCAGGATTGATGGGCCGACTTTCCACCACCACTACCATAGGTGGGCGGGGAAGGGGCAGGGGAAGAAGGAAAAGGAGGAGGAGAGGACGAGGAGGACCCTCCCTCTCCCTCCTCCTCATCCTCCTCCTCCTCTCCTCACTCTCTACTCCTCTCCTCCTCCCTCCACCCTCTCCTCCTCCTCCTCCTCCTCATCCTCTTCTCCTCCTCCTCTTCTCCTCCTCCTCCTCTTTCTCCCTCCTCCTCTACCTCCTCCTCCTCTTCTCTCTTCCTCCTCCTCCAACTCCTTTTCCTCCTCCTACCCTCCTCTTTCTCCTCTCCTCCTCCTCCTCCTCCTCCTCCTCCTCCCTCCTCCTACTCCTCCCCCTCCTCCTCCTACTCCTCCCCATCCTCCTCCCCCTCCTCCTCTTCCTCATCCCTTCTCCCTTCTCCCCCCTCCTTACCTGTGGTAGTGGTGGTGGAACATCGGCCCACCAAGGAGGGCGCGAGACTCTGGGGGGGGGGGGCACCTTGGGCCAGGACCGGTGCTGCAGAGGAGCAGCAACAAAACGCCATACCCACAGAGACGCTGGGGGGGCACCCGGAGCCCAGCGCTCCGCGCGCGGACTTGTTGGCCATCGGCGCTGGACGCCCCTCCCTCCCCTGGCGCGCGGAGCGCGCCGCGGAGCCTGCGGCGCCTATCCAGTGTATGCGCGGACCTCCGAGACATGCTGGGCATACAATATAGAAGGAGGAGGAGGAGGAGGAGGAGGAGGAGGAGGAGGAGGGGGAGGAGGAGAGGAGGGGTGGAGGAGGGAGAGGAGGTGGAGGAGGAGGAGGAGGAGAAGGAGGAGGAGGGAGAGGAGGAGGGAAAGGGGAGGAGGAGGAGGAGGAGGAGGAGGAGGAGGAGGAGGAGTTCGACTCCAGAAGCACCCGGAACGAGCCTGGGGGCGTCATGTTTTTTTCATAACTTCGACCCTCAGAGGTCTCGACCCCTTCCCAGGGACCGGTTGTTCATCCTGAGTCGTGTTCGACGGTCCCTAGGCCCGACGAGGGCCCCTGGAGGCAAGAATAGCGAAACACCTCGCGCCGTGATTTCTTCCTAGCGCGAGGAGGTCTGGGAACACCCTGGAGGAGCCGAGAGGGGGGGGGGGGCGGGGCGGGGCGCCCGCCTGAGCAGGTGCTGGATCTCGGAGAGGTTGGCCTGCAGAGGCGGCGGCAAGCGCGCTCCCCGCGGGTGCCTTGTCTGACAGGGCGCCCGTCCCCGCCCCGAGGCCCAGCACTCGGCCGCTGCTCCGTCCCGCCGCCTGGGCCTCTGCCGTCGGCCTCTGCGGCCCTGCGCGCATGCCTGCAGTCAACCCGCGCAGGGAGGATGCGCGCGGAGGATGCAAGGGCCTTGGAAGCCCACCTCGAAGCTTTCCGAGAGGGGCGCGGCCAACGGAAGTGGCCAAGGATGGGACCGAGGAGGCAAGGATGCAGGGGCACCCCTGGGAATGTTGCCCATCCGGACCAAGCGGGTTGACTGCACCCAGGGGCGAGGAAGATGTCATGAGAAGACTGGCTCAGGCTAGGCCCCCGGAGTTCGCGGGAGCCTCTCGCGCCGCGGCCCGTGCGGAGCCCTGGAGATCCTGGAGCGCATCCCGTGGCCTCTTGCTCCTCCGACCTGCCTTCCCATGGCCTCCTCCCCCCCCCCTCGGCCGGCGTCCCCTCCCGCGCCCCTGCCCTTGCCCCTTGCCCCCGCCCCCTGCTGGTGCCCTCTGCGGCCCCCGCCGCCCTGGAGGCTTCGCCCCCCGCCCCCGCCCGTGGCCCATGCTCTGCGGCTCCGTACAGCTGGCCTCTGGCGCTGCCAGGCGCCAGCCCCCAGCATTCCCTGCACTCCCCCTTTCCATCCGCCCTCCTCCCCCCGCTCAGCAACTCAGCTGCGCCCGCTCATCCTTCTCCTCAACCGCCCTCCCTCCCTCCTTCCGCCTGCTGCCCCGCCCCTCCTGCCTTGTCAACACCCTTCCACTTCTGCCGATCGTCCTCCTCCTCCTCCTCCTCCTACTCCTCCTCCTCCTCCATCCTCGTGCTTGTCCTCCTCCTCCTCCTCCTCCTCCTCCTCCTCCTCCTCCTCTTCCTCTTCCTCTTCCTCTTCCTCTTCCTCATCTCTCGCCTCGTCGTCCGTTTCGTCCTCCCCCTCCTTTCTCTCTTCCCATCCCCCCCTTCTCCCCCCTCCTCCCCCTGCGCAAAGCCCCTACTCTGCCCGTGTCTCCTTATCCTTCAACCCTCCTTCAACTACTCCGCCCTTCAGCATCAGACGTGTCGGTTGAGCGGGCCGGTCGTTTCGCCAGAGACTTCCTCACAACGCATGATCCTGAAACTTGGGTGTTCCAACCATGCCAAAGATGAAGGGTGAACTGATTTCAAAATGGAGCTCGCGTATTAGAGCGGCGCGCATTCGTCCTACAACTTTGCACCATTTGCAAACGTGGAGGTTGGGACATTTTCGATTTCTCCGCAGCACTGCTCAAACGCGTCTCTCCCTCGTTCATGATACTCCAGCCCCCTTCCTCCATCCTCCCTCCCTGATGAGCACGCTCTTCGTCAACCCTCCTACCTCGTCCCTGCTCCTCATCTTCCCCCTCCTCTCTCACATGTCGTTAATCCACCCCCTCCCCTCCCCTCCTCTTCCCACTGCAACACCCTCCCTGACGCTGACGCTGCTGGCCATGTCTGGCCTCCCGCCTCCCCCTCATCCTCCTGCTCCTCCTCCTCCTCCTCCTCCTCCTCCTCCTCCTCTGCCTCCTCTTCCTCCTCTCATCCTCTTCCTGTGGCATGGTGGAAGCGGGACCTGGAACAGAAAGGACCCCTCCTCCTCCTCCTCCTCCTCCTCCTCCTCCTCCTCCTCCTCCTTGGGGGCGGCGGGGGCTGGCCTGGGACTCCGCCCACGTCTTCGGGGAGGGCGGCCTGCTCGAGGGCTGCCGCACCAGGCGAGCGGTCGCCTCCGCGGGAGGGGCGCGGCGCGGCGGCGCGCGAGCGAGGGGCGCGGCGGAGGGGGCGCAGGTGGATGAGCTGCGGCGGGCGGCGGGGGGCGGGGGCTGGCGAGCTCACAGGTTGAGCCTGTCCATGGAGGGGGGAGGAGGAGAAGGGGCAGGGCGGGGGGAGGAAGGATGATGATGATGAGGATGAGGAGGAGAAAGAAGATAAGGAGGAGGAGGGGGAGGAGGAGGAGGAGCAGGAGGAGGAGGAGGAGGAGGAGGAGGAGGAGGAGGAGGAGGAGGAGGGGGGGGAGGAAAGGAGGAGGAGCGGGCCGAGTGGACAGAGGGGCAGGGGCGACAGGAAGGGGGGGGGGCGAGTGGATGGGGAGTAGAAGGGAACCGCCGAGGGGGAGGATGGGGGGTAGAGGAGGCGAAGGGGATGGGCGAGGGGGGAATGACGAGTTGGGGCAGGGGCAGGGGGTGAAGCGAGGAGAGGAGGGAACAGGCCAAAGAGAAGGGGGAGGCTGGAGATGATGGGGAGGCAGTGAAGGGAGGAATGCGAGCGCATGGAGACGGGAGGGGATGGAAGAGTGAGAAGGAGGGGTGGAGGGGAATTCGCGAGGCGAGGGGGAGGCGGCAATGAAAGGATGGAGTTGGACGAAACAATAATACGAGTAACAATGCTGACAAGAAGGATCATACTAATACGAATAAAGAGAAGATGTGGGGCACTGAGGAAGGGATGGCGAGGGAGAAGGAACGGGAGCCAAGAGTGGAACGAAGGAGAAAGAGCGATACACTCATGGATAATAGTACAGGGAGAAGAGGGGGCGCGAGAGAGAAAGAGAGGGAGGGACCGAACTAGAGGGAGAGAGAGAGAGATAGACAGAGAGAGAGAGAGAGACACAGAAAGAAGCCGAGAGATATAATCGCATCCGAACATATCGTAATCGTTGCAGAGTTGTGTTGTGTTGCAGCGTGTGTTGTGGAGTGTAACTCGTATTGACATGAAAGGCACCTGTTGTTGCTCAATGCTTGATGACCTGCGCATGAGTCCCCTGCCCGTGAATCTTCGATCGTCAAGCATTTCGGGTGTAGCGCCCTGTTCTGGCTCATTATCAGGTCTATTCCTTAGCCTGGTCATAGCGTGGCATAGCGTGACATTGCATATCACAGCATGACGTACCATAAAGAACTATACCAGTTCCTAACGTAGCGGGGCCCAGCATACCATACGGTTCAACACCATAGTGTCATACCGCACGACAAATCAATGTCACCAATCAATCGTCCTCCAATACAAAAACTGAAACTTGGATCGCACTGGTTGGGGCTCAACTTTAACATGCAGTCGGCTTTCAAGTGTCCCAACGGCGCGCTGACTCCAACGGCGGAAGCCTGCGACCCCCACAGGACTGAATAAGTGGGGACATGTGCTTCGTTGCCTGCCTCGCGTCGAAAAACTGTTGCCAGAGGCGCCGGCTCAATCAACTGTGGGTGGTGTCGTTTAATCTCTAGCTGCGTGCAATTGATGTTTTATCACGCTCTCGTACCGTCGTGTTCAACGAGATGATTGCCCTTGCATTGAAGATCGACCCTGCGTTTCTGCCGTCATCTGGTGTGAGGGATACCCACGTTTTCCGTCCCTTCCGCGAAATGTTCACCCAGCCTTCGCGGTAAGAGCACGCAGGCCGCAGATCGCGGGGGGCGGTGGCGATCTCCATAGTCACCGCCTTCTCTTCGCCTCGCCCACCCCGACGCCCACGCCCCAAAGTGCCCGTCCCTGTCCCCCCCCCTCGGGTCGGACGACAAAGGGGGGTCGGTTACGCAGCTCGTTTCCCTGGCGCCTCCTGGCGCCACTGTGTCGAGGGCGGCGCCCTGCGGCGAGGCCGAGACCACCTGCACGCGCAGGCCCTCCCCCCGTGCTCCCCCTCCCCCCCCCTCGGCACCTTCGCCCGCCGATCCGATCCCCCGTCGGCGCCCTCCTCCCGCTTGCCGAAGACCTGGCGTCTCGCTTTCTTCGAGCCACGGCCCCCCCGACCTCTCGACCACTTCCCCGGAGCCGGAGCTTCACCCCGCATCGTGCCTGTTGACGGTCCCGAGGCCCAGGAGGCCCAGTAAGGGCCCCGATGGGCCGAAAACGATGAAGAGCACCCGCCCTGTTTTTGTTCGGAACGCTGGATGTCTGCGCTCGTGCTGCCCCGCCCCCCGTCCGCCCTGCATCCGCTACCGCCTCCTCCCTCCCTGCGGGCCAGCCCCCCTCTCTCAGTGGGCCCTGGAAGCGGCAGGGCCGTGTTTTCCACCGTTTCCGCAAAAATGTCTTTTGAGACTGGAAACGGCAACAAAAAAACTGCCAGAAACGGCAAAATAAATTATCCCAGTGCGACCCTACCTAGGAGTTGGAGCCCCTAGCAGCATTAGTAGTAACAGTAAAGCTAAGCTAAAGCTAAGCTAAAGCTAAGCTAAAGCTGAGCTAAATCTAAGCTAAAGCTAAGCCAAAGCTAATCTAAAGCTAAGCTAAAGCTAAGTTAAAGCTAAGCTAAAGCTAAGCTGAAGCTAAGCTGACGCTAAGCTAAAGCTAAACTAACGCTAAGCTGAAGCTAAGCTGAAGCTAAGCTAAAGCGAAGCTAGAGGTAAGCTAAAGCTAAGCTGAAGCTAAGCTAACGCTAATATAGAGTTAGTCTAAAGCTAAGCTAGAGCTAAGCTAAAGCTAAGCTAACTCTAAGCTGAAGCTAAGCTAGAGCTAAGCTAAAGCTAAGCTAGAGCTAAGCTAAAGCTAAGCTGAAGCTAAGCTAAAGCTAAGTTAAATCTGAGCTGAAGCTAAGCTAAAGCTAAGCTAAAGCTAATGCTAAGCTAAAGCTAAGCTAAAGCTAAGCTGAAGCTAAGCTAAAGCGAAGCTGAAGCTAAGCAGAAGCTAAGCTAAGCTGGGTGAACCCAGGGGGCGCAACTGGGGGAACCGCGGGGCGGGGACTGGGGGAACCGCCCGGGGCGCTTTCCACTGCCCGGCCCCTTTAAGCTAGAGAGTAAGAACCCTTCTAGGCAGAGCCTAGGTAGGGAAAAACGGCTCCGGGATTGGAACGGGGGCCGCAGCCAGAGAAACAATGGCGACGGAGCCGGCACCACAAACGGCCCTGTCGCTTCCAGGGCCCATTGAGTCCTCCTCCACGTTCCAGGCCACTCCTGCCCCGCCCTGCCCGCCTCAGTGTACGTCACGGTCAGCTGCTGCAGCATGTCGTGCAACTGCTTCTCCTGCCCGGGGCGCTCTCGGCCGGGAGCGCACGAGCGGGAGGAAGTCGTCCTCGCCCCCGCCTCCTGCCCCTCCTCTCCCTCCACCCCCCTTCGGCTCTTGCGAACCGACGCTCGTCGACGCCACATGGGCGCTCATCGATGGGCGCTCATCGACGGTAGCTCGAAGCTAATCGACGCTAACAGACGCGCAGTCAGCGCTATCTCATCCACCCCCAAGCGCTAATCGACGCCAGCCGACGCGAAAGACGGACTCTCGAGGGGGAGACCAAGCTCCCATGATTCGCTACCGAACCCCCCGCCCCCTCCCACCTCTCCTCCAGGAAGGGGCCACCAAGAAAACGCTGACATCCGCCGCAGGGCACGCCGCGGGGCCAAGCAGGCCACGGCCCCCATGGCTCGAGGTCGCCACTCTCCCGCTCACTCCCCAGAACAGAGGCTGCCCCTGGCCTCTCTCCGCTTGGACCCTGCCCCGGATCGAATCCACCGATCGCCCGGCCAACATTGTCCGCGTGCCGGCTCACAAGGGCGATCTCTGGAACGTCGGTATGAAGCTGCGCAGGAGGAGAACAAGAAGGAGGAGGAGGAGGAGGAGGATGAGGAGGGGGAGGAGAACGAGGAGGAGGTGGAGGAGGAGACCGAGGAGGAGGAGGAGGAGGAGGAGGAGGAGGAGGAGGAGGAGCCTCCTCCTCCTCCTTTTCGTCGTCCTCCGCTCCTTTTCCTCATAGATAACTCCCCCCTGTCGCGCCCCGAAGCCGGTCGAAAGGGCGGGCCGGGCGTTTCGTTTGAGAGCTCTTCGCCACTTATGGTCCTGATGCGTAAACTTGACACCCGTTTCACAAATGGAGGGCTGATGTTTTTCAACCTGTGGTCTTCGCCTTAACACCGCGCGCATGTGTTGTAAATCTTTGGGAAGGCTTCGCGGATTGAGGGCGGGTGGTTTTAAAAATGCGGTTATCGCCTGGGCGCCGCGCACATTTGTTTTCAACATGTGCGAAGGCTTCGCGGATTGAGGGCGGGTAGTTTTCAACGTGCGTTTCTCGCCTTAGCACCACGCATCTCCGTTCTGGGAATGGTGTTTTGGAATGATTCAGGATTGTCGGGGCGCAACAGTCACGTTGACTCGCGGAGTTGAAACCCCACGAATAATGTTTCAAAATCGCCAAACGTAACGGTCAGGCGAACTCGTGCTGTCGAAAAAACTGACAATACTGTTTTGGCGCGCTTCAACATGTTCACACGGTGGCCCCCCAGCGGGGCGGGCCCCTCGGCACGAAAGGGATGCTATGAGAGAGCCTCGAACAGCCAAAAGGTGGAGCGCCCAGCCAAAAGTCAGCGGCGCTGATGCAGCGCACCGTGTCAGAGCAGGCGCGCAACCGCTCGCTCGCCCCGCTCGTTCGTTCGCCCGTTCTGGCCTTGAGACCCTGGGGCCCTGGAGCCTCCGAGCCGCTCAGCTACTCGGCGCTCGAGCGCCTCGGACGGGGGCGCGCGGACATCCCCGCCCATCTGCTGCCCTCTTCCGCGGGGCCGAACAGCTTGGACGCGGCGTTTGGCGGCGGGCCCGCGGGCGGGGGCGGCGGCATTTCCGCGCCAGTCAGCGCCGCGGGCGGCGGCGGCGACGGCGGCGGGCGCGCCGCCCCTGCGCCGCCCGCCCCCTGGGCCGCCTGCCGCCCGACAGCGCGGGGGGCGCTCGGGGCCGCTCTCGCGCCCCTCCCGCTAGCGAGGCTGCCGACGCCCACTTCGCGGCGCGCCTCGTAGCCCAGCATCGCCACCCTCGCCTCGCCGAGTATCTCGCGCTTCGTCCTGTTCCTGGTCTTCTTGCCGTAGCCCGCCCAGTCTGGGCCATTGGGCCCCCGCGCGATCTGCGAGTATACGTCGCGCCAGCTGCGCCCCAGGATCTCCCACCGCGTCAAATCGCTCGCCAATGCCCAATGCCCCCCCCCCCCCTCCTTCTCGCCCGAATATTTCTTGAGCGCTGCGCCCGCTGCCGAGGGCTCTACCCGCGGAGGATGCTACAGCGCATCCGCAAGGCTGAGCACCGCGACGCCGTCCTACTTGGGCTCGTCCGCCCGCGGCAGGGCCTCCAAAATCCCTGTAGTCTTCCACGGGGAACTTGGCCTGCAGGCGCCGCGCCCTCGGCGGCTCGGCCGCGCGGTCAATCACCTCGACGCGCGCGCCACAAGTTCGCGGCGCACCGAGCTCGGCAGCGCTGGCGCCACCGCTGGCCCCGCCGCCCCCCCGCCTCCTCTTCCAGGGAGAGACTGAGAAGCTGCGTCCAGCGGCCCGCGCGGACGAAGGATTTGCACCCTCCTGGCTCGTCGGCAGTCTTGCGCGCATTGCACTTGCAGCGCATGTTCATCGTGAACTGGTCGTCCGTGAAGAACTGGCTGGGGCAATCGGCCATCCTGCGGCGGGCCCCCTGCGCGCCGCGCCTGCATCGCCGCCCGACTCCTCCGTGAAAACCCTCCGCGTGCCTGGGCGCGCGGCCGCCCGCTCGCGCGCCCCCGCCAGCCCTTTCTCGTCCTCCTCAGCCGCGCACGCGCCGCCCCTCCCTTCGATTTCAGTTCGCAACGTTATAGGCGCCCAGTTTCTCGAAACAGGTCTCCATGCTCTTCGCGCAGCCCACGGCCCATATCACGTCACCCTTCTTCTCGAGAGTGGCCCCGAGGGCCCCCTCCACGTGGGCCCGCGGGGCCTCGTGCCGCGCCATTGCGCAGCCCCCCGCCATCCGCTTGAGCCTCGTCTAGGAATAGCCCATGTTGACGAAAGAGCGAACGTCTGCGACTTCCCCCGCCAGCTTCCCGTCGCGGCCGTCGGGCTCCTCTGACGTTTCGGAGCGCGGCGCCGCCGTTATCTCCCAGTCGGCCGTGCTGTCCTCGGCCGGTAGCGGAGGCGCGCAGGGCCCTCCTGGCGCCACCGCCACCGCCATTGGACGCCCGACCTCCTTTCCGACCTCCCCCGTGGCAAGTGGTGCCCCCTTGCTGGACTTGTCGACGCCTATGCGCGCGCCCTTCGCGGCGCGCCGCAGGGCCAGCTCTCCGTCCTCAGTGAGCTCGTCGCCCACCAGCACGTCCAGGCTCTCTTTGAATGCGCGGAGGGCTCCTGGACCTTGGCCACGCGGCCCCGCGAGCGTTAGATTGAACCTGCGCCTTTGTTAGTTTTCGCAGCCTTTGCGACGACGACGACGACGACGACGACGACAACGACGACGACGACGACGACGACGACGACGACGACGACGACGACGGCTACTACTACTACTACTACTACTACTACTACTACTACTACTGCGACTACTACTACTACTACTACTACTACTACTACTACTACTACTACTACTACTACTACTACTACTACTATTGCTGCTGCTACTACTTTTTTGCTGCTTGTACTATTCGAAATATGTTTGCTACTTTCGCCACCATCACTACTACTACTACTACTACTACTACTACTACTACTACTACTACTACTACGACTAGTACTACTACTACTACTACTACTACTACTACTACTACTACTAGGGCTGATCTCCCTCTGTTTGCAAAACTTTTGCGGTGTAAGGAGTGTGGTAAGGATTCTGCGCCGCGAACGCGCCGTTTCGCATGTTTCATGTATATTCCGTATATGTTGCGCATATGTTTCGCATCGGTTTCGTATATGTGTCGCATCTGTTTCGTATGCGTTTCGTATATGCTTCGTCTACGTTTCGTATAGGTTTCGTATACGTGTCGTACATATGTCGAAAAAGTTTTGCATGTGTTTCGTATATGTTTCGTACACGTTCCGAAAAGGTTTCGTCAATGGTCAGAATAAGTTTCGCATATGTTTCGCATGTGGTCCGTGTGCGTTTCGTGTATGTTTCGAATATGTTTCGTAAATGTTCCGTGCGTATTTTTATATGTTTCGTATATGTCTGTATATGTTTCGTACATGTTTCATATCTGCCTCGTACATGTTTCGTATATGTTTCGTATATGTCTGTATATGGATCGTACATGTGTCATATCTGGTTCGTACATGTTTCGTACATGTTTCGCATATGGTTCGTAAATGTTTCGTAGACGCGTTGCATTTGTTTCGTGGGTGGTTCGTATACGTTTCGTAAATGCATCGAATGCGTTTCGTATGCGGTTTGTACGTGTTGCGTATATGTTTCGTAATTGGTTCGTATATGCCTCGCATGTGCTCCGTGTATGTGTCGCGTGTGCTTCGTATATGGTTCGCAACTGTTTCGTATATGTTTCGTATATGTGTCGCATTTGTGTCGCATGCGATTCGCTTATGATTCGTATCTATTTCGGGTCTGTTTCGAATGTGTGTCGCATGTGATCGCACATGTTTCCCATATGTTTCGTGTATATGTCGTATACTGTGTTGTACATGTTTCGTATGTATTTCGAATATGCTTCGTAGATGTTGCATATATGTGTCGCAAAAAATTCGTATGTGATGCGTGCATTCCGTGTATGTTTCGTAGATGTTCCAAACCTGTTCCGTATATGTTTGGTGTGCTTATCGTATATGCTTCGTGCGTGTGTCGTACATGTTTCGTATATGCCTCGCATGTGTTTGGCATGCGTGTCGCATGCGTTTCGTGTGCTCTTCGTATATGTGTCGCATACGTTTCGCATGCGTTTCGTATATGCTTCGTATACGTTCGACTGTGTTTCGCATATGAACGCATGTGTTTCGTATATATGTTTCGCAGTTGTTTCGTACTTGCTTCGTATCTGTTTCGTGTATGGTTCGTACATGTTCCGTATACATGTTTCGCATCTGTTTCGCAATCGTTTCGTGAATGCTTCGTATATGGTTCGCATACGCGTCGTATATGTTTCGCATATGTTCCATATGCGTGTTGCATCTGGTCCGCAGATGTTTCGTATATGTTTCGCATGCGTTTCGTATATGTTTCGTATATGTTTCGAATACGGATCGTAAATGGTTCATCTATGTTTCGTATACGTTCCGTATCTATTTCGTATATGTTTCGAATAAGTCCCGTACGTGTTTCGTATATGGTTCGTATATGTTCCGAATATATTTCGTGTATGTTTCGTATACGTGCCGTATGTGTTTCGCAGATGTTTCGAATATGTTTCGTACAGTTTCGTATAGGTTTGGTTTATGTTTCGTAAATGTTTCGTATATGTTTCGTGAGTGTGTCGTACATGTTTCGCATGCGTTTGGTATGCGTTTCACATGCGTTTCGTATACAGTTCGTATATGATTTCGAATACGTTTCGTATGCGCTTCGTATACGTTGCGTATCTGTTCCGCATATGTTTCGTATATAATTCGTATATGCTTCGCATATGTGCCGTATATGTTTCGTCTGCGGTTCGTATATGTTTCGTGTATGTTTCGTATATGTTTCGCATCTGTTCCGCATCTGTGCGCCAGGCGGGCCAGGTGTGCCACGTGCGCCAGGTGCGCCAAGTGCGCCAGGCGCGCCAGGCACGTCAGGTGCGCCAGGTGCACCAGGTGCGCCAGGTGAGCCCGGTGCGCCAGGTGCGCCAAGTGCGCCATGTGTACCAGGTGCGCCAGATGCGCCAGGTGCGCCAGGTGCGCCAGGTGCGCCAGGCGCGCCAAGTGCGCCATGTGCGCAGGGTGCGCCAGGTGTGCCAGGTGCGCCAGGTGCGCCAGGCGTGCGCCAGGTGCGCCCAGCGCGAGATGTGCGCCAGGCGCGCCAGGCGCGCCAGGTGTGCCAGGTGCGCAAGCTGCACCAGGCGCGCCAAGTGCGCCAGGTTTGCAGGTGCGCCAAGTACGCCAGGTGCGTCAGGCGCGCCAGGGGCGCCAGGTGCGCCAGGCGCGCTAGGTGCGCCAGGTGAGTCAGGTGCGTCAGGTGCGCCAGGTGCGCCAGGTGTACCAGGTGCGCCAGGTGCGCCAGGTGCGCCAGGCGCGCCAGGCGCGCCAGGTGCGCCAGGTGCGCCAGGTGCGCCAAGTGCGCCAGGTGCGCCAGGTGCGCCCGGTGCGCCAAGTGCGCCAGGTGCGCCAGGCGCGCCAGGTGCACCAGGTGCGCCAGGTGCGCCAGGGGTGCCAGGCGCGCCGGGTGCGCAAGGTGCGCCAAGCGCGCCAGGCGCGCCAGGTGCGCCAGCCGCGCCAGGTACGCCAGGTGCGCCAGGTGCGCCAGGTGCGCCTGGTGCGCCAGGTGCGCCAGGCGCGCCAGCGGCGCCAGGCGCGCCCTTGGGCAAACAGACAGACGTCAACCCTACTACAACTACTAGTACTACTACTACTACTACCACCACCACCACCACCACCACCACGACTACAACTACTACTACTACTACTGCTACTACTACTACTACTGCTACTACTACTACTACTACTACTACTACTACTACTACTACTACTACTTACTACTTACTACTACTTACTACTACTACTACTACTACTACTACTACTACTACTACTACTCATACTACTACTACTTACTACTACTACTACTACTATAAACCTTACTCACCTTAATCTACCCCGTACTGACCGAAACTACCTACTACTACTACTTAACTACTACTACTACTACTACCACCAACTCGTGCCCGAACTGACACGACGACGACGACGACTACTACTACTACTACTACTACTACGACCACTACTACTACTACTTCTACTACGACTACTACGACTAACCATTGCTACCACTACTAACTACTACGAACGACTACTATTACGACTATATACTACTAACTGCTGCTTGCTGCTGCTGCTGCTACTACTACTAACTACTACTACTACACTACTACTACTCTGACCACTACTACTACTATTACTACGACTACTACTACTACTACTACTACTACTGCAGCTACCACTACTACCACTACCACTACCACTACCACTACCACTACTACTACTACTACTACTACTACTACTACTACTACTACTACTACTACTACTACTACTACTACTACTACTACTACTCGTCATCCTTTCCCTCCCTCTCCTCCTCCTCATCGTCCTCATCCGTCCCCCTCCCTCATCGCGGACGCCCTCACCACTTGGCGGGCGAAAGCGGTACAACATGAACTCAAGCGGGGGCATCCACTTCCCAACCGCCCAGGGACAGGCACTCCCGACAGCAGAAGACCAGACAGGGCATACTCCGCTCGTCGCCCGCGAACTGCCCCCTTCCCATGACGTCCACGAGACTCGAGCCTATCGAGCCTGAGGTTGCTGGGCCTTTCGGCCTCCCGAGGCCCGTTGCGGGCCCCGATGTCCTCCAGAAAACGGCTCAGGGTGAAAGCCCGGTCCAGGAGAGAAGGGATCGAGAAGTCCATGGCCCCAAGGCTCGAACACACCGGGCGTTCGAAAGTCCGGGTCGTTCCCCGCTCCTTGCCCTCGTCGGGGCCAAGATCCGTCCATCTCGACCGCCCTCGGAACCGAACCCCCAGGACCTCGGAAGGCCGCGGGTGCTGACAGCCCCTGCACGAGGCGAATATGTTGCCCCTCGCGCTGTGCAGCATCATGCATGCATGCTCCAAGGTCTGCACGCCTCCCGCACCTAGAGGAAGCGAAGACGGCACGGATTCCTTGGCCCTCCCTGGCGCGCGGAGCGCGCCAGGGGAGGCGCCGCCAGGGGGCCCCAGCGCGGTTCTGAGAAATCCGCGCGGACCGTCAAAAGTTTATGCTTATGCCGTGTTTTGCTCTTCGAGTATCGCCCGCGCTGCCTCGCGAGGTACCCGCTCACTCGCTGCCTTCGCTCCCTCCCCCGCTCTTCATCGCACCGCGATGAAAATACGGCGGGCTAGCCAGCGCCAGGCTGACTGCTCGGAGCTCGCCCTCCTCTTCGGCCCCCGCGCTTCGCTGCTGCGCGAGGTACCCGCTCCAGATCACGCGTCTCGTTTTTGCTCCCCCTTGGCTCCCTCGCGAGGTACCCGTTGGTGATGCCGGTCACCCGCGCCAGCTCCGCCCGCAGCTCGTCGCTCTCCTGCTCGCCGAGGGCGGTCACCCGCGCCAGCTCCGCTCGCAGGAGGCCGCTCTCCTGGCGGCCGGCGGCGGCCACGCGCGCCAGCTCCGCGCGCAGGTCCTCGTTCTCCTTGAGGGGCCGACTCTCCACCCCCGCTACCGTAGGAGGCAACTGCTGGGAGGTTTTCGTCGGAAAGACTAAGGAGGATTAAGCCCCAGTTGGGAGCTGTTGCGCCGGAGTGGGCCTCGGACTAAGCAGGATTAGGCCGGATTAAGCGGGATTAAGCGGGATTCGGCAGGATTAAACGGGATTAAGCCGGATTTCGGACCAGGGCAAAATCAGAATTTGACCTCCCAGGAGTTGCAACCCCCGCTACCATAGGCAGGACGGGGGGGAAGGGCTGATGGGGAGGTCCTCCTCCTCCTCCTCCGCCTCCCTTCCTTCTCCTTCGCCTCCTCCTCCTCCTCCTTCTCCTCCTCGTCACTCTCCTGTCTATGGTAGCGGTGGTGGACCATCGGCCCATCACTCCCTCCTGTGACTAGCTACCAGACCACCCCAACCCAACCCGAAGACCCGAATGTCGGGCTGGGGGGCGCATAAGAGAAGAAACAACGCTATAAACATTAACGTTTGGCGCTCCGCGCGCATTTCTAGTGCTTTGTCTCCTTCGAGGGTTGGGGGGGGAGGCTTCATATGCGTGTTTTTCCTATGTTCCGCGACCCCCCCCATTGAACATGGAGGACAAATCGGTGCCTCCGGGTTGGGTTGGGGTGGCGTGGTGGGCGGGGATCCTGTCGGAACCCAGCCGTCACCCGCTCCAGCTCGGCCCGAAGCTCCGCCCGCAGGTCCTCGTTCTCCTGCCGTGGGCCCAGACCCCCTCGCGTTGTGCAAAAATCACGACGGGAGGTTTTTCGCCATTTTGAGCCTCCGGGGGCCCTCGCCGGGCCCCGGGAGCGTCCAAAAACGGCTCAGGACGACAAGCCGGTCCCCGGGAGGGGGTCCAGACCTCTGGGGAGCGACGTGTTGAAAAAAACACGACGTCGGGGGTCTGGGGTGGGGGGCGCGGTCGACGGATCAGGGCAGGGAGCACGAAGAGCGGGGAAGGAGGAGTAGGAAGGAGGGGGAGATTCGAAGCACCGAGTCGTGAACCCATCAGGTCAAAAGTACGACACGACGTCGACGCATCAGAACCTTCAGCTCATCAAGGCATCAACGCATCGAGGCATAAACGCCTGAAGGCTTCAAAGCAGCAGTACAATCGCCACTGTGACAGCGACACGTTAGGGTGGAGCAGGATGATTGTTGGTTGTCTGGTAAGGCTTCTGTCGTGTTTGTATGGCCGCCCCCCCCACACACACACCACGCACCCCACCCCCATCCTCGCAGCCACCATCCTCGCAGCCCCCTGGTTTTGCTCACCCGCACCCATTTCGGAGAGAATACGGCTCCAAGACAGCTGAAGACCAGCCCAAATCGGCTGCGAGATCCCCAACAATGAATCAAGTGACGGTCCAACGAGCCACTATAGGCTCAAAGATCCTCCCCCAATTCCCCAATTTGCCCCACGAAGCCTCCAATAGACGCCCGAAGAGGCCTCCAGCGACGCCCTCAGAAGCGAACAGCAATGCATCAGAGAGAGGGGCCCCCGAACGGCTTCCGGGCGTGCGTTGGCAATTCCGAAGGGTTCGCCTCCGGGGTGGACACTGGGGCCGGACACTGGGGAAGGACACCGGGGATGAAGACTGGGGATGAACACTGGGGATGAACACGGGGGATGGCATCCTTGCGAAGGGAGCCCCACGCGGGGCCACAGTCACAAAGCGTGTGCGGGGTGTGCCGAAATGTGCTGCGGGGACGCATGTGAGCGCAGCCTCTGGGGGGCCTTCGGGGGGGGGGCTCCCGAAATGCGCGGCGGGGACTCATGTGAACGCAACTGCTAGGGCATTCGATGGTGCTCCCAGTGTGGCCACTAACCGTGTGCGAGGTGCCGAAGAGTGCGGCGAGAGCGCATGACAATGCAGCCAACGGGGCCTGAGGTGAAGCTCCCTGGGAGCCACGAAACGTGTGAGGAGTGTGCTGACATGGATGGTGGGATCGCATGTGAACGCAGCCACTGAAGCCTTAAGTGGAGCTCTGCATGGGGCCACGGAACGTCTGCGGGGTGTGCCGAACTGGTTGACATGCGAAGAGCCAGTTCAAAGAGGGGGAGGAAGGGAGGAGAGGAGACGCGGGGCAATGCTTACTCCCTGTGTTGGGCTCTCGCGATGAATGGAGCACTGCGGTCTCCACTTGCCACCATTCACCTCCCTCTCCTCCTCCTCCTCCTCCTCCTCCTCCTCCTCCTCCTCCTCCTCCTCCTCCTCCTCCTCCTCCTCCTCCTCCTCCTCCTCCCCTCCTTCTCGTTCTCCTCCCCCTCCTTCTCATCCACCATCCCCCTCTTCCTCCTCATCCTCCTCCTCCTTCTCCTCCTTCTCCTCTCTCCTTCTGCCTCTTGCTGTCTCATGCCTTGTGCCTCGCCGTCCCGTCTGGGGGGCATCCTTTGGGGGCCTGCGAACTGCGACTGTCGCCGCTTTCGGGGGCTGCTTGTGGAGGCAGCACGCTGGACACCAGGCAGGTATCAATATTAGAGCATCGTGTAGCACGCTGCCGGTAGCCACCGCCTGCGCCCTCCATGGGCTCGCCTTCCGGCGCACGGGCTTGACCTTGACCTTGACCTTGAGCTACCTCCCTGGGGGGGGGCGGCTGCGAACTGCGAACCAGTCTCTACTGTCGATGGCTGCTGGTGGGGGGACAGCATAGCGGGCACCAGGCAGGGATCCAGATTGGGCCTCGCCATCCCTGGGGGGCTGCGAAGTGCAAACCTGTCGCAGCTTTCGAGGGCTGCCGAGGAGGGGCAGCACATTGCGCACCAGGCAGGGATCCAGACTGGACCTCGCCATCCCTGGGGGGCTGCGAAGTGCAACACTATCGCCACCTTCGAGGGCTGCTGGGGGGGCGGCTGTATAGTGGGTACCATGCGGGGATCCAGATTAGGCCTCACCGTTCTGGGGGGCTGCAAACTGCGGAACTGTCGCCATTTCTCGATGGCTTTTAAGGAAAGCAGCACGGTGAGTACCAGGCGGAGGTGAAGATTGGACCTCGCCCACCCTGGGGGCGAACTGCGAATCTGTCGCCACTTTCGAGGATTGCTGGTGGAACGGAGTAGCATAGTAGGTAACAGGCGGGGGGTCCGATTGAACCTCGCCATCCCGTGGGAGCCGCGAGCAGATAAGCTGTCGCCACTTGCGAGGCTTGCTGGAAGGGGGGGAAGCACAGTAGGTACCAGGCGGACATTCACATCAGCCGTCCCCATCCATGGTGGGCTGCGAACTGCAAAACCATCGAAACGTTCCAGGGGTGCTTGGGGGACCAGCACAGTGAGTACCAGGCGGAGATCCAGGCTAGCCCTCGCCATCCATGGGGAGTTGCGAACTGCGAAGCTGCCGCCACTTTCAAGGGCATCATAGCGGGTACCAGGCGGGGTACCAGGCTTCAGCTGGGAGGGAGGCAGCATAGTGGTACCAGGCGGGGGTCCAGATTAGACCACGCCATCCCTGGGAGGCTGCGAATTACGAATCTGCCGCTGCTTCTGAGGGTACCAGGTGGGCATTCAGATTGGTCCTCGCCATCCCAGGGGTGGCTGCGAAATGCAAACCTGTCGCCACATTCGGGGGCTGCTCGGGGGCCAGCATAATGGGTACCAGGCGGGGGATCAGATTAGACCCGGCCATCCCTGGGGGGCTGCGAACTGTGAAACTGTCTCCGCTCTCGGAGGCTGCTGGGAGAACCAGAACAGTGGGTGCAGAGCGCAGGTTCGGTTGGTCCTCGCCATCCCTGGGGGAGCGGGGGGCTGCGAACTGCGACACTGTCCCCACTCACGACGGCTGCCTGGGGGGCTGGCAGCAAAGGGGGTCCCGATCGCAGATGCGGATTGCCTGCGGGGCTGCGAATTGCGAAACTGTCGCCACCTTCGAGGGCTGCTGGGGGGGCCTACATGGTGGGTGCCAGGCGCAGATTCCGATTGGACGTCGCCATCCCTGGAGCGGTCGCCACATTCGAGAGCTTATGTGGGGGGGCCGCATAGGTGGGTACCGAGCCTAGACTCAAATAAAATCTCGCAGTCTGAAGCGGGGCTGCGAACTTCGAAGCTGTCGCCACGTTCGGGGGCTGCTGGGGGGTGACAATAGTGTGCACTCAGAGCAGACCGCCTCTTTCGAGGGCTGCTCGGGGGCAAAATAATGTGTGACCAGCGCGGGTTCACACTGGACCTTCCCATCCCGGAGGGGCTGCGAACTGCGAAGCTGTCCAAGCCTTCGAGGGCTGCCAGGGGGCACCATACTGGGTAACAGGCGCAGGTTCAGATTGGAACTCGCCATCTCTGTGGGGCTGCGAACTGCCAAGCTGTCGCCGCTTTCGAGGGCTGCTGGAAGGGAAGGCTGAGTACCAGGCGGGGATCCAGATTTGACCTCCTCATCCCTGGGGGGATGCGAACTGCAAACCGTCGCCACTTTCGAAGGCTGCAGGGGGGGCCAGCACAGTGAGTACCACGCGGGGATCCAGATTTGACCTCCCCATCCCTGAGGAGATGCGAAATTCAAACTGGCGCCGCTTTCGAGGGCCGCTGGAAGAGCCGGCACATAATGAGTACCAGGCGCAGATTCAGATTGGACCTCGCCATCCCTGGGAGGCTGCGAAACTGCGAAACTGTTGACACTTTGAGGGTTGCTGGGGGGGGAGGCAGCATAGTGGGTACCAGGCGCAAGCTCCGAATGGACCTCGCCATCCCTTGGGGGGGATGCGAACTGCGAAACTGTCTCCACTTTCGAGGGCTGCCAGGGGGGTGGGCGTGCTTGGGGTGTGTGAACTTGAAAGCTTCGCCAATTTCGAAGGTTGCTTGGGGGGTGCAAGGGAGTGACGTATGACCATATATTCAAACTAGACCACGACATCCCTGGGGGGCTGCGAACTGCGAGTGTGTCGCCACCTTCGAGGGCTGATGAGGGGTCCAGCGGTGTAGCGTCTTCCCACAGATTCAGATTGGACCTTGCCATCCCTGGGTGGCTGCGCACTGCGAAACTGTCACCTCTTTCGAAGGGTGCGTGGGAAGTCCACCGGGGTGAAGCGTAGCAGCAAGTTCAAATTGGCCTCCACAATGCCAGGGGGGATACGAACTGCCAAACCGTCGCCACTTTCGAGGGCTGTAGGGGGTCCAGCGGAGTGATGACTTACCGAAGATTCAGGTTTGACCTCGCCATCCCTGGAAGGAGGCTGCGGACTGCGAAACTGCCGCCACTTTCGAAGGCTGCAGAGGGGGTCCAGCGGAGCGACGTCCTACTGCACATGCAAATGCGACGTCGCAATCCATGGAGGGCTGCGAACCGCGACACTGTCTCCAATTTCAAGGGCTACTGGGTGACCCAGCGGGATGACATCTTGCCGCAGATTCGTATTTGACCTCGTCATCCCTGTTGGAGTGCGAACACCAAAAAAGTTGTCACTTTCGTATGAGAGGGGACTCCGATGGACCTTGTCATACCTGAGGGGTGTGTGTGTGTCTGTGCAAGCCGAGGAACCATAGTCACTTTCGAAAGCTGCTGGGAGGGGGGAGCATAGTGGGCACCGACTTGGGATTCATATTAAATCTCGTCATGCCAGGGGGGGTCCGAACTGCGGAACTGTCGCCGATTGGGCTGCGTGGGGGGGGACAGCAAAATGTGTACCGAGCGGGAATCCGGACTAGACCTCGCCATCCCTGGGGGTGCGCACTGCGAACCTGCCACCACTTTAGCTGGGTGACGTCTTAGCAGGATCAGAATGAAACCTTGTCTTCGCCACCCGCTACCTATGACTGCATGTCATGTGCCACTTTGCTCCCACTCCCTCGCTTTTTGTCTGCATTTTCCCATGTGGTCCTTCATCCGTCTTGGTCGCGTAACACGCGACCCCCCCCCGTGTCATAACTACTCGGGTTCATTGCCATGCCATCGTCCGCAATAATTTGCCAATGTCCCTGCCACTTCGCGAATCCGGGTTGGGAGCGTTGCAGGGGCTCTTTTGAAATTGCACGATGGAAAATAATGGTCCAGGAGCGCTTCGGCTTCAGATCGTCTTGAAGAGGCACCAGAAATCTCCAAGACTCCGTCCAGATGGCCCCGAACCTGCCCCAGGAGTCCCCAAGACTGCCTGGAATCCCAAGACGGCAAAAATAAACTCCACGACGGCCGCAAGATCAATCAGACGTCCCCAAGACGATTCAAGCGAGCCTCCTCGGCAAAGCTCGGCGGAACCCTCGCGCCCAACACGGCCACGAAACCACCGACGGGCAGCCACCGGATCCCGAACGGCTCGCCGAAAGGCTCCCAACAGGGCCCCAAAGTGGACACCGGCAACGCCCCCAGTAGATTTCAAAAAAAGGGAGGGCCGGGGGGAGAGGAAACGGAGGAGGAAGGAGGAAGGGTGTGGGTGGACCTGGAGTGTGTGTTCATATCCCGCGCCATGAAGAGCAGAGCTCAGAGATGGTAGGTGTCTTAAACTCAATTTCGTTAATGCTGCGCTGGCACGGTGGCGAGGATCGCAGTAGGCACCTGCATAAGGAATCAAGGCACACACGCATCACGAGATCAATGCGGCAAAACATCCGCACAAATATGCATCAACACATTGAGGCATCAACGCAACGTCTTTCAGACATCGAGGCATCCATCAGGTCAAGCATGAGTGAATCAGCAAGACCTGCGAGCTCCACTGTTACACAGGCACTCCGGGCGCGGGAGGGCACCGCGGGAGGGTGTCAAAATGCCTGCGGGGAGAAGTTGCGACAAACCTAGTCCTCTCGGAGCCCTCCGAGGCTTTCAGAGTCCTCCAGCAAGGACCTCCGTGACCTCTGCATGGGGCCAGCGTTCCTCCTCGTCCTCCTTTCCTGGTGCATCCTCCTCCTTCTCCTCCTCCTCCTCTTCTCCTCCTCCCCCTACTCCACCAACTGCTTTCCCATTCGTCTTGCATCCTCCTCCTCCTCCTCTTCCTCCTCCTCCTCCTCCTCTTTCTCCTCCTCTTCCTCCTGGTCCTGCAGCAACAATAAAAGTGAGAAGAAAGAAGCGGGCCAGCTTGCAGCAGCATGGGGCAAGGAAGTCCTGAAGGCAGCGCGCTCGAAACAGACTCGGGCAGAGGCGGCTGGCGCCGACGCAAAACGACACGCCACGCCTGCCATTTCCGCCACCGCGTGCCCGAGCTGGCGCAGCTGGCGAGAGCAGCTGGGGGAGCAGGCGGGAGAGGAGCTAGCATGGGGGAAACGGGTCCTGAGGGAAACGGGTCCTGGGCCCCTGGGCCTTCTCCCAGGAAGATTTCCATCCGGAATCATTTTCTGACAGTCCCGGGGCCCGTGGAAGGTCTTGAAAGTCCGAAAACTGGGGAAACAAAAACCTTAGGATCCATTTCCCTCAGGACCCACTTCCTCCGTGCCGACGGACCGGGGGTTGCTCAAGGTACGCTCGGCCTGAGGTGCCCCCAGTTGTTCATTTCATTTTGGAGCCCCTGGGGCCTTCTGGGCCTCGTGAGGGGTGCTCTGGAGGGCGTGGGGGCCTCCTTGGAACTCCTGGAGGCACCTTGGGCAATGGGGCAGTTCTAGCAACACCCGAAAAGAGGAGGGAGGGAGAATCGGGCGCGAATCCATGGGGGGCGATAAATGAGCGGGGGGGGGGGCAAGGTGTGGGAGATGCCCTTTAAAAGTCTTCAAGGCCTCCCCCTGGGCCCTGAGGAGGGGCCCCTCCAGGGACCCTAAAGGATCCTTTCTCGGCAGCCCTCCGACACGTGGAGGCGACGGACGCGCGGCGGGGAGGCGCGCGACTGGGCGGCCGCGGAGGGCGCTGGCCGACGCGGCGGTGGCCGGCTGCTGGGGGGCCCCGAGCTGGCCTGGCCTGCTCCTCCAGCCACCTCCCCCCCCTCTCCCCCTGCTCCTCCTTCTTCAGTCGGGCTGCTGGAAAATGGGGAGCGGTCAAAAAGGAGCGACGCCCCTCTTTGGCCCCCAGGGCGCCTGGCGCGCACGAGGAGCGCTCGAGGGACATCCACGGAAGGACATGAAGGCCAAAGGCACAGCGAGCTCCTTTTCCTCCTCGTGAGAGGGGTTGGGGTGCCCTGTCGGCTGGCCCCGGCCGCGGTGGATCGCAACGTCGGAAGGGGAATGACAGCTCTCTTCGGATGGGCACCCCACCCCAATGTCCCCCCCCTCTCTCCGTCTCTCTCTCTCTCTCTCTCTTTCTCTTGTTATTTTTTGTCTCTCTCTCTCTCTCTCTCTCTCCCCTTGTCTCTTCCCCCTAGGGGCGTCGAATCTCCGCGCTGCGCCGCTGACGCCCTTTTTTTGCTCAGCCTGGGGGCGACAACGCCAATCCAAGGAACTCGCGCAAACGTCCTAGAGGTTATGTCCATGGCGTGGCTCTGCAAACTCCGCTTCTGTGAATGGAGGTTGACGACCAATGAGTCGAACCTGCCATATGATTCGCAGGTGAGAGGATCATGCAGGATATCCAACGTGTCCAACGTAATCCAATACATGAGCCGAAAGGATGACATGATAGATGGATAGACAGGGGAGGTGAGCGGTCTTCACACATAGCTTCCCTTCCCCATGCACGGCGAACTCGGCCAGGCCGAACTCAGCGGGCCGACATCGGCCAGGCTGAGTTCGGTCTGAACCGGGTGCGGCCTGGCCGAGCTCAGCCGGCCGGGGCCGGCCTGTCCGAGACTCGCTTGGCCGAGTCTTTCCATTGTCTTCGTGCCCCCTCCCTCCTCCCCCTGCTCCTCCCGATTCTCCTCTCTCCATCCTTCTCCTTGTGGAGAACTCCTCCTTGCCACACCCCGAAGCCAATGGAAAATGCGGGCCAGGCGTTTCGCTTGAGATTTCCTCACCTCTCATGATCCCGAAGCCTAACACGACACCAGTTTCGCAGATGGAGGGCGAATGGTTTTCATAATGTGGCTCGCGCCTGAGCGCCGCGCACACGCAACTTAAACATTGGCAGTGAGTTTCGCGGATGGAGGGCGTTTCCTTTTCAACATGTGGCTCTCGCCTTAGCGCCGTGTGCATTCGGTTATAAAAGGTTGCTCAAGACTTTCGCGGATTGAAGCCGGCTCCCTTTCAACGTGTGGCTCTCGCCTTAGCGCCGCGCACATTCGTCTTAACACGTTGCAAGAGCTTCGCTGATCCAGGGCTGTGCCTTTTCGACATGTGGTTCTCGCCTTAGCGCCACATGTGCAAGTTCATCCATAAAACATCAGAACTTCCACGGTGTCCCATGGCTAACTTACCAGCAATGGTCTTTTGAAACGACTCAACAATGTCAGGGCACATCAATTACGTGGATTCGCGGCATTGCAATCCAAAACATAAAATGGTGTTTTGGCACGGCTCACGACCGCCGAGACGCAACATTCAGGTAGGTTGTTCGAAAGCGCTGCTGCAGGATCTTAAAACGGTTGTCACACAATGGGGCACGTCCAACAGTGGAATTGAATCGATTTAGGGGCCTATGAAAAAAGAGCTTTGGGGGAGAGGCTTATTCCAACATCGTTGATGCGGTGATGACTGTTGAGTTTGCACTGGTCCTCCTCCTCCTCCTCCTCCTCCTCCTCCTCCTCCTCCTCCTCCTCCTCCTACTCTTCATCCCTTTCCCCATCCTACTCGGCGCGGGCCTGTCTGAGGGCGCCCACCTCCTCGGCGTGTATCCTCGTCAGGCGCTCCACGAGGTCCTGGCGGCCGTCCTTCCGTCACGCGGCGGCTGCTCCTCCCCATTCCCCCTCTTCTGCCGCACCTCTTCCCCGCCCTCCTGCCGCCCCCTCCCACAGCTCCCACTCTGAGCCTCGGTCACAGCACGGCCCCCCAGAGGTCGACGGGCCCCTTCCTCGAGGGACCGGCCTCTCCTCCGGCGACGGCCACGGACGCCGAAAAAAATGGCATACGGGAGGGGGCCCAGCCACAAGACACCTTCCACAAGAAACCCAGCCCTGAGACCCCAGGGCGTCCGTGGATCTTTGGTGCGGGAGCGTCACGCCTGCCATGGCAAGACCATCGAAGCCCAAGGAATTCAGGGCACCCTGGAGACAAGCAGGGTGTTTCTTGGCATGGGTCTCCACTGCGACCTGCCGTCTTGTTTCTTTCTCGCAACTCGAGGAGGGGGTGGAGGGGGCCAGTGCAAACCCAGGCCAGTAGCAACATGAGACATGTCGACCCCAATCCCAGGCCTCGTGCGGGTTCCGAAAAGACAAAAAACATTTGGAGCCCAACACTATCCGAGGGGGGGGCGTCCATCCTCGATAGTGGTGCGTTCGAATAGCCCCGAGGGGTGTATCCCAGGGTTTCCCTAGTTTTCTTAACCGCCTCATGTTTCATCGAAAAGTCGGGGCATCGCCTGCGAAGTCGGGCTTTGCAAGATCTTGCAAAATCTTGCAAGCTCCTGCAGGATCCTTCGCGCTGGACCGCGTCAAAGGAACCCTGGCCCTGCAGAATCCTGCAAGACCCAGCGCTATGGCTGAGCCACGTTTGCATTCACCCCCGTCTCGAGGCTCCCGACGGCAGGGTTCGACCAAAACAGTGTTTCTCGTTTTCGTGCTGTCTTCGTTTCCTTTCGTTTTGTCTCCGAGCCGCCATTGCTGCAAAACGAAGAAACCGAAACGAGAACGGCCTACGAAATCGCCCAAACGAAAGGGACCCAGGGACGCACAAAGAAATAGGCACAACTCCCAAGACTCCCAAACTTTTCTCCTATTTTCGGGGTGTTCGTCTTCCCCCCCTCCCCTTCCCATGTTTTTCCATGTCTTCCGGGAAATCGACGATTCATTGCGTCTGCGTGTTTTTTCCCCCTCCTGGAGAAACACCGTGTAGGTCGACCCCTGCCCGACGGCATCGCCTTCTCCTCCTCTTCCTCCTCCTCCTGCTCCTCCTCCTCCTCCTGCTCCTCCTCCTGCTACTCCTCCTGCTCCTCCTCTTCCTCCTGCTCCATTTCCTCTTCCTCCTCCTCCTCCTCCTCCTCCTCCTCCTCCTCCTCTCCTCCTCTCCTCCCCTCCTCCTCCTCCTCTCCTCCCCCTCCTCCTCCTCCTCCTCCTCCTCCTCCTCCTCCTTGTCTTTTTCTTCGTCGTTCTCCTCCTCCTCCTCCTCCTCCTTCTCCTGGAAGGGACCCTAAGCTGCACAGATGGCTTAAGACGAGACTTCCCTGGCGCTGCCCGCCTCCACGAAGCGCCCCGCGCTGCTGTGGAAGGAGGCACCGCTGGGCCGACCTGCGGGTCAGGGCGGCAGTGTGACGAGGCGGCAATTTCCCAAAAACCTTCGGGCTGGCAGCGGGGGGGCCGGCAGCTTCCAGCTCTCCTTTTTCCGTCCTCTTCCAGTCCTTCCTCCTCCTCCACCTCCTCCTTCTTCCTTCTCCTCCTCTTCCTCCTTCTTCGCTCTCCGTCCCCACCCTCCTTCCTCCCTCGCCGCATTCGCCTTGCCCGCTCTTCTCCTCCACCCTCCTCCCTCCGCCTCCGACCTCCTCTCCTCAGCCCTCCCCTTCCCTGCTCCTCCTACTCCTCCCCTCCCTCGTACATATCTTTCTCCCCCTCCTCCTCTTCCTCCTGCTACTCGTCCCTCTTCCTGCTTCTCTCTTCGCCGGGTTCCGATTCAAGATATCTCCGCATCCGCCTGCTCCTATTCCTCCTCCTACTTCCTTCCTTCCTTCCTTCCTTCCTTCCTTCCTTCCTTCCCTCCTTCCATCGGCACCCATAAAGCGGCCAATGGAGGGCGGGTCATTTTCAACATGAAGCTCTCACCCTTAAGCGCCGCGCACATTCGGTTTTTAAGTTCGCAGCGTTCTCAAAGAACCTCATGGCCGACCTCTCAGGAAAAGCGCTCCGACACGATTTCGCATTGACAGGGCGCAACGGTCACGTTGAGTCGCGGTGTTGGCATATCAGGGATGGTGTTCTGGCAGGATTCCGGATCGCCAGGTCGCAGCAGCAACGTGGATTCGCAATTCCAACGTCCCAGAAACGGTGTTTTGGCACGGCTGGAAATTCTCAGACTCTGGTCTTCCAACGTGACACTTCCTGCAGTGAAGCTACATGTTCGTAGGGACACATGATGCTGGAACTTGGAGGGAGGGTTCCCTCCAGCTCCCTTCCCTTTTTTTTATTGGCTCAAGCACTAAGGTTCCGAGGCCGCTCCCGGCCACACCGTCGATGCGTCTTGGATTTTCTCTGGCTATTCTCTTCTCCTCCTCCTCCTCCCTTCCTGCTCCTCCTCCTCCTCCGCCTCCTCCTCCTCCTCCTGGCGCGGGCACAAGATCCCCCTCGCGAAGCAAGACGGCTGCACCGACCTCTCCTGCGTCGGCGGTGCTGTTCCGGTCTCCCCCGGGTCTCCCCGAGCCGGCTCCAGACGGGGAGCGGGGGAGGTCAGAGAAACGAGGAGGGGGTGGGCGAAGGGGATTCTCAGAAGCGAGGGGAAGTACAGTGGGGGCCGATCCAGAGGAAACCCTCCACAAGAAGCCCAAAACCCTGAGACCCCAGGACCTTCATTGGTTGTTGGTGTGGGAAAGTCGTGCTTTCCATCGCAAGACCGTCGAAAGCCCAAGAAACCCAGGGCACCCTGGAGGCAAGCAGAGTGTTTCTTGGCATGGGTCCCAGCTGTAGGCGCACGCTAACATGGATGACGGAACTGTGGACCTGGCGCCTTGCAGAAGCCGCTTCGCGTAAAACGGCACTGGCGGAAGGCGGCTCGGAGGCGGACTTCGAGGAGCGGGCTCAAGACTCCCAGGCTGGTTTCGAGTTTGCGTTCGGGGCGGCTCAGCATTGACGTGTTGCCCATGCCAGGGAAGTGAAGGGCAGGACGGATGAGGGGAGCAGGGGGTTAGTTCTTCCCTCCGCAAAGTCCCTGAAACTCCCTCCTGGAAGGGCGGGAATACCGGGTGGGAGAGGTATGGGGACGCGGGTTAGCAGTTGAAATATATGGACACGAATTGAATGATAATTAAGCCCTCCCCACTGATGCTCCTCTTCCTCCTCCTCCTCCTCCCACTCATCCTCCACATCTTTCTCACCCCTCTCCGCCTCCTCCTTCCTCCCGTTCCCTTCCACCCCATCTTCCTCCTTCTCCTCCTCCTGGCGCTGGGTGGCAATGACTCCACCTCCTCATTCTCCTCCGCCTCCACCTCATCCTCCTCCTCCTCCTCCTCCTCCGCTGCCCAGTGCGACGCCATAAGCAACTCCGCATCCCAATGCTGCGCCAGGGCGCTGGCCATCGCAGCGCTTGCCTCGACCCGTCTCATCGAGAGCCAGCGTGAACATATTCCACAGTGCGCGGCCTTCTGGACAGCCGGGCATCGCGGGCTTCACGGGGTGACGATCGTCCTGCCGATCGCATGGCCATGCGCTCATACCACCGGGTCGCCAGGCGAGCTCCTAATCGAAGAGTTCACGCATCTCACGCTCGAATCGCTTTATCTCCGCCGGGCCCGCCCCGTTGAAAGCCCAGACATGCGATGTCCTCAAGTCTCGATACGGTGCCCCCAGAAGTCCCGACCCTTTCCCCCAATGACAGACTCTTCCATCCGGAGTCGCTCGCTGACGGTCCCGAGGCCTGCTAGGTGCCCTCGGGGGCCCCAGACGGCCACACAGCTCCCGTCCTCTTCTTTCGCAAGACGCGAGCATGTCTGGGGGAGCACTGGTGTGCTTGGCCCCAACTCCTTCAGCCGGCTTCCGCTTCCGCGGCCACGGCGGCCACGCTGCGCCGCCGCGCGAAAGGCGCACTCTAAGGGCAAGGAGGAGGAGGAGGAGGAGGAGGAGGAGGAGGAGGAGGAGGCGGGGGAGGAGGAGGAAAATGAGGAGAGCAGGAGGAGAAGGAGGAGGAGGAGGGAGGAGGAGGAGGAGGAGGAGGAGGCGGAGGAGGAGGGGAAAAGGAGGAGGAGGAGGACGAGGGAGGAGTAGGATGAGGAGGAGAAGGAAGGGAGGAGGAGGGGAGGAGGAGGAGGAGGAGGAGGAGGAGGAGGAGACCTCCCGTCCTGCTCTTTTGCAAGACGCGAACATGCCTGGGGAAACACTGATGTACTTGGCCTCCAACTTCTTCCGCCGGCGTTCGTTTCCGCGGCCACGGCCGCGACGCTGCGCCGCCGTCCGCAATGTGCACTCGAAGGCAAGGAGAAGGAGGGGGAGGGAGGAGGAGGAGGAGGAGGAGGAGGAGGAGGAGGAGGAGGAGGAGGAGGAGGAGGAGTGAGTGAGTGAGTGAGTGAGTGAGTGCGCTGGGAGGGCGTCCCAATCCGATAACCGCTGAACTACTGCATTCAATGCTCCACTTCATGGGATTCATTGCCCTCTGCGAAGATATGGAAATAGCCCCCAGCTGCACTCTTGCAAGCAAGCTGGTCTTGGCCTACGGCGCCTCCCAGCTGCGGTCCGTCACAGCGAGGAAGGGCCGCTGCAGCGTGGGGGACCACTGTCCGTTCCCGCTGCAGGGGGAGGAACCTACCTTACTGGGCGCGGTCCCTCCCGTGACGCTGCATATTCAATCTCTCTGCCTCTAAAACTAACTGCCTGGCATACTCACTTCCAGCATGCGCCATCCTCCTCAAATTTCCCATCACTCTAGAGTCAGTGAAGTCAATCCTCCTGCTAATATCATTTACCGTCTCACCTGCTGCAGTGCTTTCAACTGGCGCTCTGTCACACGTGTGAGCTCGTCCTTGGGCGCAGGTCCCTCCGCCTCCACCCCTCCCTGCTCCAGGAATGTGGCGTGCATGGCCCGTCTGAAGGTCTGCGGGGAGGGCATTGTGTCCATCACGAACTTCGTTGTCATGGCGACCTTCTCTAAGTCGGCCGCTGGGTTGACCTGGTAGGTGATCTTCACCTTGATGTTCTTCTCGTCCGTGCCGTCCTCGCTGTATGCCTCCTTCACCCTGAAGCAGCCGAACAGCTCCGTCAAGGCCGCCCTCCCCGCCCCGCTGTTGATCAGCACCTTGTACTTGCCTAGCACCTCCTTCGCACCGTCCTTGGAAACTGCCTCCAGCGCTTCCACCACTGCTGCGGCCACGTGGGTCTGCGGCGGTCCTAACCCATGTCCACGTCCCCGCTACTGCACCTCCTTGTTGTACTTCAATCCCGCCTGGAGGCCTGCCTGGCTCACTGGGTTCATCTTCCCTAGCAAGAAAAATTGGCATAACATGTGTTCGAGCTCTCTGCTGCGCTGATCCTGACGGAGCCCCATCTTCTGCAACGTTATCACCGCCTCTACGAGGTCGATCTGTTCGTCCCCTCGACCCTGCCGTGATCCTGCTCCGCGCTCTCCTCCCTTTGTCTTCAGCTGCTTCGCCGCTCTCTCTCCGCCCAGGCCGCCCTTGCCGCCCCCAGATCCCTCGCCAGGGTTTCCTCCACTGCCTGCAGCTGAGACTTCTCCCGCTGGCAGCCTCCAGTCCGCCATCCGCCCGAGGTCTACGCTCTCCTGTCGGTCCCTCGTGATGAGAACACACGTGCGTATGAAAGGTGTCCAGGTCTTGGGCCACAAAGTCACAAACGGGACACTCGAGCGACGTGGGTGGTTTGACCTCATGTCTCCAAGGGCTGAAATTTACATAGCAAATCTTGTTGTCCTCACATGCTGCATACACGTGCTGCACTGCTATGTCCCTTGTACTGAAAGTACTTCTGCACCACGGGCACTGGTTCGTGATTGTCAGTAGGCTAAGTAAGGCCCTCTGTCCATGGACGCACGTTTTGTGTGTCGTCAGTCCGCTGTATGTTTTGTACCGTGCTCCACACTCGTGCAGTGTCTCATCCTCCCCCATCACCTTCACATCACACACATGTGGCTTCTCCTCCTCCAATATCACATCCTCTTCCTTACCCATGCTACGTTCATATTGATCTTGCTGCGCTTTCCATGCTTGTGTCGTGTACATTGTGCGTAAAATATTAATATCAGTCTGCATCCAGTGAGCCCTGTCCGTAGTACCTTCCTGCAGCAACGCTATGTCCGATAGTCGGTCATCGTACCAGCTCATGTCTTCACAGTGACTCCTGAGGTAACGAAGGTCCTGCAGGAACTGTTGTGCCCACGGGGTGCTGTCTGGTCCTATCCACCCCCCTTCTTTCATTCTGGGTTTTTCGTCCAGGGGGGTCGTACCGAAGATGGCTCCAAATACTTGCTTATGAGACTGGGGGTTGATTGCCCATTTTTGATACATCTTAAGCCTTCGCACACGTAGCTCCCTTGCACAAGTATTAATATTCCACTTTCTGAATACAGCTCCTCTACATAACTGTCGCCTTTCTCCCTCTCCGTCCACCCACGAACTCTTACCTCTATCCAAGAATCTAAGTAGCTTGCACAACGCCGTGTCCAGTGCATCCGTACGCCTAGTTTCCAGCAACATCCCTGTGAGACCACTCAGCGCTGCACCCTGCACAAAAGCAATACACATCATCCTCCGTACTTCCCACGGTGAGTCCGATGCCCAAAAAGGCCCTCTTTGCCTCCACGCTCTTCGTACTGCCACTATCCTCCTTGCTATCTCACCTCCCATGTTGCCCGTGCTGTGCAGATATGGTCCGAGTACACGCAGCTCCCTCCCTGACTCCCCTAATAGTCCACTCTTCTTATGTCGTACCTGCCTAGTAACTTCATTTGACCCTGGCCCAATGATAGTAAGTAGATGCCCTGTCTTGGTGGGGTTGAGTCCCCAGTTTCCCTCCGATAGTGTGTCCTCCAGTCTTCTCGTAATGTGATTTAGCTCTGCACACACACCATAGGCCGTTCCCGATCCCTCCCATGCAGACAGCTTTGTAATATCATCCATAAAGGTAACGACTGACAAGTTAACCTCTGTACCCGTCACTGGACACACCGCGGTCAGGAGCCGTGATGCACAGTTATCATCCGATTGTACCCACTTCTGCACTACTGGGTTGTAACAGTCATTGAAGTCGCGTGGCGCCAGGCAGAAACCCATTTGGGCTCCTGATCCACTGATCAGGTCTACCCTTTTGTCGCAGCCTGCAATACTGATTGCCTGGTGCTGGATCGTCCCTAGTGCAAGCATCTCGTCCCCCTCTCCAGCTTGTTCTGACACCACCTGCTCCAGTAGACTGCGCTTCGTGCTCGCGAAGGCATTCGTGCAGTCAAAATTTGTCGTCACATGTGATACCTTGGCTTCACGACATCTCCACTGTGCAGTTTGTAGTGTAAGTATGGCCTCCTCCCTCCCCCTGTATTTCAGTCCACCGTGCGCCCAGTCGGGCCTCTCCACTTTCTTAGATCTCCTATGTATCCCTGCATGCCATGCCATGCCCCAGCTGCAATAGCTATGCATCACACGTTGTCCTAAGATGCCTTCCCTCCCGTTGTTCTTGCTGCTGGCAAAGCTCTGGGCACGCAATGTATCCAGCGGCATGCAGTTTGCTCGTCTTACCAATAGGAACCATCTGTCCACCTGTTCTTGGAAGAACGGCGCCGAGAATTCTGCCTTCGTCGTTCCTACCCCTGCACCTGCCGCACGGCCAAAGCACCAGTGAGGGTCCTGTACCACCTCCTGCGCCTCCTGCCCCTCCTCCCTCTGCCTCCTCCCTAGACTTTCTCCTGGCGACCACCCCATTTTTCTTAATAACGCCATTCCTTTCTTCATCATGCGCTGCTCCTGCTGCTTTGCTTGCTCCTCCTCATCCTCCTCCGCAGCTCTTGCCATTCTCTCAGCAACTACCTCAGAGGCCCTATTCGGTCCCTTCATGTTGATATTGGGAGCAAGTATCAGTAACGACGCTTCACTCGGCAGCCCCCACTGTGGCCAGGCCCTCCGTCGTTTAGCATGCCTGAGGTACTGTAGCATGGCTGCCTTGTCGCTCCTCACAAGGTGACGTAGGTCCACGCTATCGTATAACATTTCCTCCTCATCCTCCTCACACCCTTGCTCGTAGTCACTGCGCACCTTCTCCCATCCTCCTTCTACCTCCTTGCACGACATTCCTCCCTCCTCTGGAGCTTTGCCTAACTCCCTCGCCCAGTCGCTTGCTGTCCAGTAGCAGCGTGGGGCGAAGCAGTACCGTTTTTTTGGGCCATGTCCGTTTCTAGCATACTCTACTCGTAGTTCGTGCATTTCCGCCCACCTCCCTTTTTTGTAAGCCTCCCAGATATCTCCTACCAGCTCTAGCCGCCTTCTTCTCACCTCTATCCTTCTTGACTTCTGCAGTAGCGCACTTATCTCTTTCAACCTCTCGCTGACCTCCTCGTACTCCTCCTCGCTCCCGCTGCGTCCTCTCAGCTCCCTTCTTGTCGTAGGAGGAGGAGGAGGAGGAGGAGGAGGAGGAGGAGGAGGAGGAGGAGGAGGAGGAGAAGGAGAGGGGGGAGGACAAGTAGGGGAGGAGGAGGAGGAGGAGAGGAGGAAAAAAGGAGGAGGAGGAGGAAGGAAAGGAGGGAGGGGAAGAAGGAGGAGGATGAGGAGCGAGGAAGAAGAGGGAGGAGGAGAAGGCGGAGAATGAGGAGGAGGAAGAGGAGGCGGAGTGGCGTCGGAAGCAGCACCCCGCGTGTCGGCACCGCGCTCAACGCGCACTTCGCACAAGGCCACACCTGGCCGTGGCCAGCCTACGTCTACACGCAAGAATGACCGTAGGCAAGTAAGCTTAGGCCGGGCGTGTCCCCCTAGAGGCGGATTTTGGAAAGAAAATGGGAAATACCCCAACAAATATTCAACTATGTTCAAACATAATCAAAACATCGTCTTCTGTAGAGGGACAGGCCCGACTTCAAAGTAGGCTAGATTGATCATTGGTGCGCGGACCGAAGGGGGGCAGGATGGCCAAATCCAACCGCGCAAGTAACCACTTTCACCTCGCGCTCAACGGCCGGGAGGGCCCCGATGAGCCCGCACCACAGGTCACTCCAGCGAAGGGTCACTCTTGAGTGGAATCGAATCCTGGGCCCCCGGATGGCACCTCATGGCGCCGGCCAGGGGGGCGCAGACACCACGCCAACGCCTATGGAAGGCCCTGGCCGGGCAGCCCCGTAGAGAGGCAGTCTGCGTGCGGGTCTGTTCCGCACCTTCCCCTTTTTCCCCCTCCACCAATTCATCCTTCTCCCCTTCTTCTTCCTCCTCCTCCTCCTCCTCCTCCTCCTCATCATCATCATCATCAGCATCATCCACTATCCTTCTTGCGGGGGGAGGGGGGTGTGACGCAAGGGCGCCTCCGAAAATCCAGCAAGTCTCTGGTGGTACCCAAGGGCCTCCCGAGGACTGAGAAAAACTGATTTGAGTCAGCTTATGTCATGTCTGATATGAGCTAGAGTGGCATTTTATCACCGGGGACCATCCTTTGAAGCCGCCAAGGCCTCCCAAATAGCCCCCGAATTCCGAAGGAGATGCGCGGCATTTTTTTGGAAAGCATGCAGCGCTGAGCGCGTAGGCCAGCCTGCAACGCCCCCTGACGAGCAGCCATTTTGAACCAAACATCACCGCGGCCCTCGCCATCAACACCGCCAAAACCACAAGATAACAAATGTTACAATCACCATCATCGAACTGAGGGCAGGTCAGCCTGCGTCGCCGTCCATCGACTCTTTGCCGCAGACGAATGTTGCAAGTTCCCAGCGGCATTCGTCGACAGCAATCGAAAACAAAATCGCCGAAATGGTTCTTGAAAGGGACGCCAGGAGGGCAGCCGAAAGGGCCGCCGAAATCGTCGCCGAAATCGCCGCCGAAATTGCCGCCGAAATCGCCGCAGACATCGCAGCCGAAATTGCCGCCGAACTTGCCGCCGAAACCACCGCCGAAATTGCCGCCGAAATAATTGCGCACTCCGCCAAAAGAGCCGCCGAAATTCAGCCGCCGAACTCGCAGCCGAAATTCTCACTGCCCTGTCCCAAGCGAAATCACTGTCTTATTAAGCACGATGACGCCGCGGACACAAGCATATAATCACAGACGCAGTCAAATGCGGCCTCTCTTCGGCGGCGCAATCTGGAATTTCGGCAGGAACTTCGGCGGCAAGCTCGGCGGCGCTTTTGGCGGCAATTTCGGCGGCAATTTCGGCGGCAAGTTCGGTGGCAATTTCGGCGGCAACTCCGGCGGCCCTTTCGACGGCTCTTTCGGCGGCCCTTTTGGCGGCCCTTTTCGGCGGCCCTTTCGACGGCTCTTTCGACGGCCCTTTCGGCGGCGTTGATTTTGCCAACTGTCAACAATGGCTGCTGGGAGCTCTCGGCACTCGGCTGCCCTGGCGGGCCCTGAGAGGGCCCTCGAAGGGCCTCGCCGGAAAGCGTTTGCGAAGTAGCTCAAGCCATGCGTGATTTGTACGCGATAACATGCGCAACGTGCAACATGAATGCCTCGCATTATGCGTCAGCACGCTCTCAGGCGTGCCGGGAAATCACCGCGCGGCAGGTCGCGACTGCACACTGAAACCCGAACAAGAAAAACTCAATTTCGTCTGGCATTGATGTCGGCGCGCGCCCTTTTTCGTCTCCAAAGAAAGAGCCACTACGAATTCTACGGTATGGTATACTACTTGCAATCTGCAAGGTGCTGTGGTGCGATACGGAAGGGAGGAACGAGAAGAGCGGCAAAGCGGATACACGCACTCGAGAGCAGGGCACCAAACATCGAAGCAGGCAGGCAATGGACGAGGAACTCGGGGATCGCATAAAGTTCCCTCCTCCCCCTCCCCCTTACCCCTCCTCTCGCCACCACTCCGTCTCCTCCTCTCCCTCCCCCTCCACCATCCTATTCCCACCACTTCTCCTCATCATCCCCCTCCCCCCTCCTTCTCCTCATCCTCCTTGTCTGCCTCCTCGTCTGCATCCTTGTCCTCCTTGTCATCCTCGTCCCCTCGTCCCCCTCGTACCCCTCCCCCTCCTACCCCCTCCTTGCCTCCTCCTCCTCCAGAGGACGAGGGGACGAAGGAGGATCGCGGAGGACGAGGAGGATCACGGAGCAGCAGGAGATGTTGTGATTTCCTTGGCAGAATATTATTTTCTCGGTCCGCGGCTTCGTTCAGGGATAGCGCTGCTGGACTGGACCTAAAGCTCGGAACAACTACGATCGAAAGATCACTGCAACGTGCTCGTCGAAGAGCGTTGGGGATGCATGATGGAGTATCTGCCAGAAACTGCTTGCCAGTGCTGAACCCAAGCAGTGAGCCATTGCCGTCCAAAGGTGCAAGATGTGTGGTAGGAGGTAGGAGGTGAAAGATATGTGGTGCAAGCTATGTGGTGCAAGTGGTACACCCCATGTGTTGCAAGCAGCGCGGTACAAGCTCTGAAGTGTGAACTCGGAAGTGAAAGCTGTGCGGCGCAAGTGATACATGTGCTGTAAGATATGTGGTGCAAGTTGTGTGCTGCAGCCTATGTGTTACGATCTATGTGGTGAACGCGCTTCTCAAAAAGACAGCTGCGTGGTGCAAGCTGTGCGATGCCATCTTGGTTGGTGCACATTGGACCTGCGACGTGAGCTATGTGGCTTACGCCGTGCTGGGTGAGGTAACTCTGGTGAGAGCTGGGCCTGTGGGACAAGCTATGTGGCACAAGCTCCCCCGGGTGCCTCTTGGGCGCCCCGTGGGGGAGGCCGCACAACTTGCCACCGGAGCCCCGGCTGACCCACACAACGACGCACGGGGCGCCCACGAGGCGCCCACGACCGGCCACCGACCAGGGCACCAGGCGAACCCTTGGCGGACTCCAATTCCTTCGGTGAGACAAGCAAGAACCCCTACCCATCGGTCGGAAGAAGTAGGTCGAGGCATGAAGAAGGAAGGCGTTGAAAACGGATTGGGTTCCATCCGCACCCTAAGGAGGACGGAAAAGGTGAAGCCACTCGATCATTGAAGTAGGAAGGCGCTTGAAGTAGATCGGGATCTGGGAATGCAACAATACCTACCTTCAACGGCCGATGGGTAAGTGCAAGCACTGTTTGGGAAACAGTCTCACATCTAAACTCCCAGCAAGGTCCGCGCGGAGTTCTCGGGTCCGAACTGGACCGCCCCCCTCCCTCGGCGCGAAGGGCGGCGCCAAATGAGTCGCCAGGGGGGGGCCAGCGCCGACACAACAAAACCGCACGGGCCTCCAGACACTTGTGTTTACTGTGTTGGCGACTACACACGTGAAAACCCTTGCCCAAGGCACGCGTTCCAAACGCGTGCTGGACACCCCTCCGCGCACGCATCACTGCGCGTGGGGAATCCCACGCTTGCCGCTCGACACCGCTCCATTCTGGGGCCAAGGGGCCAAACGGACAAAGAGAACCAGTGTGCCCGAAGAAAGCGTCCCAGATGTGGGCAAGGAGGAAATGTCTATGCAGGGGATTTTCAGGCTGGTGCATTGCGACGTTCAGGCGTCCACGCGGCGCATTCTTAATCGTCTCTTAGAGGAAGAAGAAACGACCGAAATATAAAATTTCGACGGTCCGCGCAAACTTCTCGGATTTGCGCTGGGCCCCCCTCCATGGCGCCAACGCCAGGGGCGTCGCCAGGGGGCCCCAACGCAGACCCAAGAAATCCGCTCGGAGCGCCAAAAGTTTATGGTTACAGCGTTTGTTCGTCCTCGACCTCTGCAACCGAGAAGGTCCCTATACCGCTACCCCCCTGACCTCTCCTGGGATGCGAGGCGAATCCAGCAGTGGCGACGAGGGCCTCCCAGGAGGCTGAGAAGGGGGATAACGTGCGAAGGCGACGAGAATCTCCCAGGAGGCCGAAAAAGGGGAAAACGGGCGAAAGGTAGCAGTATGGGATGGTTACCTTTCCCTCCTCTGACTCTCAACGCTCGCAAAGGTCACACTGCGAGGCAGAACAGCCGTGAGCCATGAGCCAGTGCGCACTCGGCATCCAGATCGTTTCGCTGCGAGCGGTCGGGATGCACTCCAGAACTGAGACGAAGCCAGGACGAGGATAACATCGGGTGAGCACAAATCGAGAGAATCTCTGAGATCCGGCGGCTCTGGAGGATGTCTCGGGCGCCGGGGCCTTCTCAGAGCGTTCCGGAACGCTCTGAGAGCGTTCCAGGGAGCGTTCCAGAACGCTCTGGAACGGATGTATCCTCGCCCAGGGCCCGTCCGAAGAGCCCTCGAGCGGCGACTTCGAGGGGTCGGCTCGGACGAGAAGGGGGGGGCAGCAAAGGGAAGAATGGCGAGGCAGCTCGCACAGCTGATGTTTTTGGCCCTAGGCGGGGGCCTGGACCAGCAGTATGCAGCAGGGGTCGGACCTGGCCCTTTTCCCGGTCCTCAACCCATTCGTCCGACCCAAAAGGAGATCGAGGGCATGGAGAGAATGACAGGAGAGCCCAGACTCGAATCGATAAGTCGGATCTGCAATCGAAATGAATCGGATCGGCGGAAATCGGCAGGCGAATCGGGAAAAGTCGAATCGGCGGAAATCGGCAGGCCAGTAGGCCTCCATTGAGAAATCGGAGCCCAAATCGGCATCCGAAATCGAATCGAAACGGAATCGAAGCCATCAAACTCGAATCGGATCGAGTTGGAGGAATTGAGAGAGCCCTGAAATCAGGCTCCACATCGAGACGCATCGCCGATGCATAGGCGATGCGGCGCGATGCTCCGACCCAATCTGCTCAGAGCAGATGTGGGAGGCCTGGTTCCCTGGATCCCTCGGGCCTGTCCCCAGCTCTTCGCTCCAGCTGGGAGCCCCCTGGGGACCGCTGGGCCCCCTGAGGCGTGCTCGGAAGGCCGTGGGGGGCCTCCTTCGAAATCCTGGGGCCACGTTGGTCCACGGAGCGCGCCAGAGGCGCCGCCAGGGGGGCCCAGCGCCGATCCAGGCACTCCGCGCAGACTTCCGAAAGCTCATGTTTGTGCAACCTGTTCATCCTCGATCCGCCCGTCCACAGGGAAGGGAGCTCCCCAGACCTCTCCCGGGGTGCTTTCTGAACAAGATTTCGAAGCGAATCCAGCGGTGACGACGACGGAGGCCCAGGAGGCCCAAAAAGGGGAAAACTGGCGAGGGGGAGGGGTATGGGTGCCTTTTCCTCCTCTGAGTGTCAGAGTCGCTGGGGTCGGTGGATCGCGCCACATCGTCGATGCATCGTCGACGTTGGCGATGCGTCGGCGACTTCGGTGCGCAGAAACTGGATCTCCGCATAGAGCCGCACCGCCGACGCATCGTCGGTGCGGCCCGATCCTCCGACCCCCATCTGCTCGGACCCCACCTACGCGCCGCGGGAGGCAGCACCAGACGCAGTTAGCCAAGGGGGGCGTTCACTCAATGTTTGCCCTGCTTTTTGCACGTGCTCGCACCCTCTGCTCTTGGCGGTGCGCACAAGGGGGTGGAAGGAGGGGGGAGGGCTTCTTAACAGGAGGCTGCTTCTTAGAAGGCGCCGGCCTTAATTACATCTATGGATAAGGCCCCCGCCTTCTAAGAAGCAGGGGTGCTTCTAAGAAACCCTCCCCCCTCCCCCCACCCCCCTCTGCGCGTGGCTGATCCTCTCCGCAGCTTTGATTGGATCAGGCCAGAGCCCGACGAGGGCAACGGTGCCACCTGATTTTGCAGGCACAACGTTTGAAAAAAACATCCATCTGAGAGAGTGGCGACGAAAAGAAAGGGATCCTACGCGAGATGACATAGCGACCTTGGGCGGCGGCTTACGCAGGCGAGGGCACTGACGCGCGACCTTGCGCGGGCAGACGTTCCAAAGCTGGCGCAGACGATCCTGGAGAAACCAACGGGTACCGATACGCTACTCCCCGGACCTCTCCCGGGGAGCGTTCTGATCCGGATCTCGAAGCGAATCCAGCGGAGGCGACGAGGGCCTCCCTGGAGACCCCAAAATAGGAAAACAACGGAAAGGTAGCGGTATGGATACTTTTTCCTCCTCCAAGACAACTTGGAAGTCTAGAGGGATCGGGGAGACGTAAGAGCCGTGTTCGGGGGACTCGGGTTGGCCTGACGGCGCCATCATGAAAATGATGAGACCCAGTCTGAAATTTGACGCGGGCTCTCGCTGCAAACCTTCCACGAAAACTGGACCGTCAAAGTGCAGGATTCGCTCGTCGAGAAGCGCCGACAAACCCGAGTTCCGGCGCACACGAGGCTCACGTTCCCCCGAAGGGAGGATCTAGGGCGAAGCCCTCCCTGGGGACCGCCGCCCGCGACGGCATCGCCCGGCAGGCGCGCCACCAGCGGGGCCGGCTGCAACGCACTCGCCGCGGCCGCGCCCGGCAGCGGCGGGAAGCTCGCCGAGTGCATCGCCGGGCGGCCGGGCGGCCGCCCGCGCCAGGCGGGCGCGGGCCCGCTGTGCGCGAGAGCGAGGCTTCGGCTGTGGCTACCTACCAGACCACCCCAGACCCGAAGACCCGAATTGCGGGTTGGGGGGGGGGGCGGTCTTCATACGTGCTTGTCCACGCTTGCGCCTCGCCGAGAGGCGTCCCGGGGTGGTGCCCGGAGATTGTGCGGAACGGCGGCCGGAGGCCCGTGCTATGACACGACGCCCAGACAAGTCGACGATGATCACCGAGGGGGCAGGCCGTCTCAGAAGGCGGCGGGGCTTCTCGGCAGCCCCGCGGGCGGCTTCTCTCAGAAGGAGGTGAAGGATGGAAGGGAGAGGATCGAGCAACACCAGATTCGGCTCCCAGAAAGTCCCGACGATGCGCCTAGCTACCCGTAGCTACCCATAGCAGGTCCTTGCGTATGTATAGCATGGTGCACGCTCTGCCATAGCAGACCCCAAGAAGTATCTGATATTCGAACATTTTGGCTATACCTAAGCATTCCCAGACGACGCCGGCACGAATCGTGACGTTACCCGAGTGGGGAGGGCTGGGGCCGGTAAGGGCCGCGATCGCAAAAATTAGCCTGGCGAACAATCTGGCAATATGCAGCTGTAAGTGACGCTGTTGTGAGCATCGTCTTCGGTGGAGCTCCCTATGTGGCCACCAAGCGTGTGAGTGGTGCGTCCAAATGGGCGCAAGGGACACATGCGAACGGTGCAACTGGGACCTTCGGTGGAGCTCCCGATGGGGCCACGAAATGTGTGAGGGGTGTGCCGAGATGGGTGGCGGGGACGCATGCGGACGGTGCCACTGGGCCCTTCGGTGGAGCTCCCGATGGCGCCACGAAATGTGAGGGGTGTGCCAACATTTAATTGCGAGGGCGCGTGCGGACAGTGCCACTTGGACCCTCGGTGGAGCTCCCTATGGGCTATGAAACGTCTGAGTGGTGTGTGCCGAAATGGGCGACGGGGACGCATGCGGACGGTGACACTGGGACCTTCGGTGGAGCTACCTATGGGACCACGGAACGCGTGAAGGGTATGCCGAACATTTGTGAGGGGGACGCATGCTGACGGCGCCAACGGGACCTTCGGTGCAGCTCCCTATGGGGCCACGGCGCATGTAAGAGGTGTGCCAAAATGGGTGGCGGGGACGTTGGGACCTTTGGTGGAGTTCCCAATGGGACCACGAAACGTGTCAATGGGACCTTCGGTGGAGTTCCCTATGGGGCCACGAAGCGCGCGCGTCAGGAGTGTACCGAAATGGGTGACGGGGACGTAGGCGGACGCTGCCACTGGGACCATCGGTGGAGCTCCACGTTGGGCCACGAAGCGTGTATGGGGAATGACACAATGGGAGGCGCGGATCCATGCGGACGGTGCCAGCGGGACCTTCGGTGGAGCCTCCTTATGGGTCCACGAAGCATTTGAGGCTGGCACCGAAATGGGCGGCAGGGACGCATGTGGCCACACTCACTGGAGCCTTCAGTGGGGCCCCGTATGGGGCCACGACGCGTGTGAGGGGTGTGCCGACATGGAAAGCGGGGACGCATGCGCCCAGTGCCGCTGGGTGTATTGACATGAGTTGCTGGGACGTAAGCGGACGGTGCCACGGGGACCTTCGGTGGAGCTCCCAATGTGGCCACGAAGTGGGTGGCGGGGACGCAAGCGGCCAGTGCAACTGGAACCTTCGGTTGCGCTCCATATGGGACCGCGAGCCATGTGAGGGGCGTGCTGACATGGGTGGCGGGGACGCATGTGGTCACACCCACTGGAGCCTTCGGTAGAGCCCCCTATAGAGCCACGAAACGTTTGAATGTTGTGCCGAAGTGGGTTGCGGGGACGCATGCGGCTAGTGCCGCTGGGACCTTCGGTGGAACTCCATACGGGGCCACGAAACAGATGAGAGGGTTGTGCCGAGATGGGTGGCGGGGACGCATGCGAAGGGTGGTGGGGCTCCCTCTGGGGCCACCAAGCGGTTGAGGGGTGTGCCAGAAGGGTAGACTGATGCGGAGGGGGGAAGGAGGGGGGAGCGGCGGGAAGGAAGGAACGTGGGCCGCTGCCTCTTCAAAACTGGGGCCCAACCCCACAGGGTGGTTGGGAACAGCAAGCACGCCTTCTCGAGTGTGCCGCTGCCCTCTTGACGGAAGGCCTCTGCGTGAGGCTTCTGCATCAGCAGAATGCACACACAAGCTGACCCCTCCCCCTCCTCCTCCTCCTTCTCCTCCTTCTCCTCCTCCTCCTCCTCCTCCTCCTCCCCCTCCTCCTCCTCCTCCTCCTCCTCCTCCTTCTTGGATCGGAGCTGGCTCGCCCAAGCCCGCGGGCGCGCGGAGCGCGCCCTTCCGCCCTGCCGCCTCAGAGGACCAGGCCCCCCCCCCCCCCCCCGCCCTGCCCCGCGGACCGCGGGACCCCCCCCCCCAACCCTCCCCGCGCGCCGCCGAGGGCATCGCCTCGCTCGCAAGACGTCCGTGCCACCACCGCTTCCTCGAGAGGACGTGCCCGTGGCGAGGCAAGGACCCCCACCTCATCATCTCGTCGTGGCAGAAAGCCGTGACGGGGTCGACCTGGGAGGGCGAAGGACGACCCGGGATGCGAAGCCGGTCCGGGGAAGGGGTCCAGATCTCTGGAGGGCCCACGCTGTGAGAAATTCACAACGCCAGAGGTCTGGGCGCCAATGGCTTGGAGCGTTCCCTCCTCCAACACCATTCTTCCACCTCGGGGAGGGACTTATCTTTGCTCCCGATCCGACCGGCGACAAAGCAGCGCCATCTCAGTCCAACGAATAAACACAAAATGCAGATTGCAGCAACGTCTGGATCACGTCCGGGCGCCACGCGATCGGTGTACGTCGTTTCCTGACGGGAACGAGGGGAGGCACCGAATATTGCTAGGCATGTCATGTGCCCGTGCGACTGAGGTTGTGACGAAAAAACAAAACAAATGCATACCCATTGGGGGAACGTTGGGAGGAGGACTGGCTATGGGTATGGGTGCGGGTTGTCGGATCCTAGGGGGGGCGCTTCCTTTCGAGCGGGGACCCCCATCCGACAACACGCACACCTAGCCTCCTCTGTCCCACCTATGGGTATGGGTGCATGTTGTCCGTCGGGATGCTCCCCCCGCCCATCTGGCCCGTCTTGCTGATCCTGCGCGCACCAGGGGACCGCAAGCAAAAAGAGCCCCCCTGAAAAGCCAGCGTGCGCGGCGCCGACCGATCGATCTTCCCTCCTCTTCTCATGACTGCGCTTTTTTTGCAAAGGCGGGCCTTATATTGCCAGACCGCCGCGGGCGGCGACAGTACTGCATGCCAGTCTTCTCGCCGCGATGCGCCCCGACACGGCGCTGTCCTACCCAGCGGGCCGACCGGAAAATGCCACTGCCCAGTGGCCTGCTTGAGCAGGAGGGCCAAGCGGTCAGAGCGCAGCAGCCTAGCTACCCAGAAAACAATCCGGCATCAAGCGACCAGTCTTTGCAGCCAAATGGCCCCCCCGTCTTCGCTTGAGACGACCTTGGCGTCGCAACCATCACTCTAGCTGAGCATGTTTCGCTCGGAGGCGTAGCCCCCCAGGAATGCAAACCCCCTCCTGCAGACGCAGGCGTCACATCGCTGCCGGCACGTTCCTCACAAGTGGCACCGAAACAAGGCCATCACTCATTCTCTGTTTGTTCGCATGTGTGTGTGTGTGTGTGAAAATTCGGTGACGCTGGATCGCCCGTGTAACTATTTGCCCTGGATGCGTGCGTTCATATATATATATATGTACACATGTTAGCCTGCGGGAACCCCAAACAGTGGCTTTTACAATCTATGCGGCGCAATCCAGGTGGTGCGATCAGTGTGGTGCAATCCAGGTGGTGCAATCCATGCGTTGCAATCCATGTTGTGCAACGCAATTCGAAGCCATGCAAAGCCAAGCAAAGCAGAGCAATGCAGTACAAAGCAATCCAAATCAATGCAAGGCAATGCTTTGCAAGACAACGCAATGCAACTCAATATCACACAATGCAGCGCAATGAAGAGCAATGCAAAGCAATGCGCAGCAATGCGAAGTAAAGAGACACAATGCAACATAATTCAAACACTAGCAATGCAACGCAATGCAGAACCATGCAACGCAACGCAAGGCAACGCAATCTAACGCAACGCAAAGAATGGCAACTCAATGCAACGTAATGCAAAGCACTGGAAACCAGAACAGTGCAATGTAAGGCAATGCAATGCAGAACAAAACAATGCAACGCAATGCACGACAACGCCATGCATCGCAATCCACCGCAAACCACCGAGATGCAACAAAATACAACGCAATGCAAAACAGTTCGCCGGAAGGCTAGGCAATGCGCCGCAATGCAACGTTATGCAACGCGGCAATGCAACGTAATACAAAACAGTGCGAGAACATGCAAATACGCAACAAGATGCAACACAATCCAAGGCAAAGCAACGCAAGCAACGCACAGCAATGCAATGCAATGCAGAACAATGACAAGCAGAGCAATGGAGAGCAATGAAAAGCAACGCGAAGCTTCGCAAAGCAATGCAAGCCGATGCAAAACAATGCAAAGCTACGCAAAACAAAATTAAGCGCAATGCAATGCAGAAAAATGCGAAGCAATGCAGGGCAATATTGAGGAATGCAACGCACTTCAAAGCCATGCGAAGCCATTCAAAGCATTACAGAGCAATGTAGAGCAATCCGAAGCAAGGCGAAGGAAAATCAAGCAATGCAAACGAATGCGAGCCAATGCGCAGCAATGCACAGCTATGCAGTGGTGGCCAAGGACGGCAGCGACGGGTGGGGACGGGCGGCCGGACAGTCACTGGGGCCCAGCGGCGACGGTGGCGACGGGCGACGATGGGCGGCGATGAGGTGGCCGGACCGCCACTGGGGCCCAATTACCGCAGAACATGTTAGCCAGCGTGGACTGTTATTTTCTTGCAGTCTGGGTGGTGCAATCAATGGTGGTGCAATGCAGGAAGGGCCAATGGATGCAAAACAGAGCAAGGGCAAAGGAACGCAATGCAGAGCAATCCAAAGCGATGTAGAGCAAGGGAAAGCAACCCACTGCAGAGCAATACAATGCAAAGCAATGCAACGCAAAGCAATGAAAAGCGGTGCGATGTCAAGCAATGCAAAGCAATGCAAAGCCATGTAAAGCAATGCAAAGCAACGCAGGCAAAGCAATGCAACGCAATGCGAAGCAACGCCGAACAATGCAAAGCGAACCAGTGCGAAGCAATGCACGGCAAGCAGCACCTTAGAACAACAACAAACAAACACTAAGTGGAAGTATCCGTTGGGGCACATCTTCATCAATACTCAAGCCTGTATGCGTACATAGGTTAGCCAGCGTGGAGCCCAAACGATCGTTTCCCGGAGCCGATGCGGTGCAATGCCGGTGGTGCAATCAATGTGGTGCAATCTTAGACCGTAGGTGGTGCAACCCATGTGGTGCAATCTATGTGGCGCAACATTTGGCGCAACTGCAAGGCAATGCACCGCGTTGCAAATCAATGCAACGCAATGAAAAAAGTGCAACGCAAAGCAGAGCAAGGCACTACACAGCAATGCTAAGACATGCAGAGCAATTCAAATCAATGCAGCGCAATGAAAAAAAAAAGCAACGCAAAGCAGATCAAATCACTACAAAGCAATGCTGAGACATGCAGGGCAATTCAAAGCAATGCGAGGCAATGAAAGCCGACGCGTGTACATCATGACAGAAGTAATGACCCCTAAGTGCAAGCACTGTTTTGGGCATCTTTCTCTATCTCTCCCTCTCCGTTGTATCAGCACATCATCAGATGGGGCAAAGCCAGCATGAAACCCAAACAACGATGTCTTGCAATCTGCGCACCGCATTCTAGGTGGTGCAATCCGTGTGGTGCAATCTAGGTGGTGCATTGTACGCGGTGGAAAACATTGCACAGCAAGGCAATTACAAAGCAACGCAATGCAAAGCAATGTTAACCAACGCAGAGCAGCGCAAAGAGATGCAGCGCCATGCAAAGCAATGCAACGCAATGCACGGCGAAGCAATGCAAGGCAATGCACAGCAATGCAAAACAATGAACAACAACGCGCGACGGGCGGCGACGAGCCGGGCAACCGCCACTGCGGCCCAGCGGCGACGGCGGCGACGAGCAGCGACGGGCGGCGAAGGGTGCTGCGCAAGTCCAAAAAAAGGCGCTTGGCCTTCGATGGATCGCATTTCGCTTCTCCAGCCCTGGCCCGGTAATGTATGCGCGCATGGTGCAACCTCACAGTGTGGAACGCATACGGGTTGCATGCGCATCAAGCTAAGATCACACGAATGTGCACACATCGTACCTGTTGATTCCAGATTTGATGGCACGGCACAACGAGGTCACGCCGTCACGTCACTGTGCCATCTGCACATGAATCGGACTTCGACCTCGTTCCACCATGCACAGGACTACATGGGTTTATGGGTTCAGATGCTCACGAAACACACATTGCTCTAGTTAGTTTACGGCTGATCTGCACAACAGATCACCATCTTCCAACCACCACATACAAACGTGCCCATATTTCCGACCATGTACAACGTATATGGGCAGGATTTGATTCGCATTCGGACGCACGCCCATCCACAATCGAGTCACCAACGGTGCAGAGTCGGGATACCATGCGATTTGTCAGCCAGCCGCACTTTGTGCACATTTCATTCGTATGCGTTTCACGCGTGCTTCACGCTTGACTCGCACATGATTTGCCCTGTATTCGCGTTCGTGTCAGCTTCGAAGCACCATGTGAAGCATCTGTGGTGCCTGTGCGAGCAACTGTTGGCTCACACGTTGCTTGCGACTTGACTCGCGTTCTATGCTCGTCACCTGAGCGCCATCATAAAACCATGCGGTCGGCTGCTCGAGCCACAATTTTGCGCAGAATCACAGGAGCCCAGGGGCACACACACACATAAATAGACACAAATCCTAGGATTCCCCATATTTCATATATTTTATGGGTTTTCCTCTTCCCCCCCACTTCCCATATGCTCTCATATTTCCTTCGGATTCGGCGATTCATTGTGTCTGTGTGTTCTTCCCCGCCTGAATAATAGATTCCGCCTGCATCTCGTTGGCAGAACGCGTGCACCACAACTCCTGCCAGCGAGTGACCTACACCTCCGCAGTCGGACACGGATCCACCAAGCACAGTCATCTGGGACTCGATCGGGACACTGAGGGCCAACGGTAGGGGGGGATATGAATAGGGGGGTGAACATAGACATGGAATCGGGGATGTATGGCCGATAGATCGGCGATAGGCCCCCGATAGTGAATCCGCACGTTCCTGGGCAGCTTGGGGCTATCGGGCCTCTCGCGGCGATCAATGGGCGAGTGGAGGTCGATGCATCCCCCCTAGGCCTATCCCCCCCCCCCTAGGGCTGCCCCTGCGACACCATCAGAACACTGCAGGCCGCTGGCCGGAGCATCGGGGCTGGATCGGGCCTCCCCACCCCGCCGCCCCCCAACCGACTGGAGCAGGGGCCGGACGGGCGGGCTCCCAGCGCCGAGGGCCACGGCTCTCACGCGCAGCTTCCCACGCACGCCACGCACGGTGCCAGACACGGACCCACGACCCCCCTGGGTGCGCGGCTGCAGATCTGTCGCAACACCAACCTCAAGCGTTGGGTCTACACAGGGCGGCTACTAGCATGGGAGGGGCTCGATGGATACACCACGTCGCTTGGTCGTGCAATGAGCTCGGTGTACAGACGCCCCGGCTGCCCAACCCGTGTGACGCTGGAGCGTCTACACCCGAAGTCCTTCGCCGAACTCCTTGGCTCCCTGGACGACCAAACGACGTGGTGTATATGTCGAGCCCCTCCGATAGCGCTCGCGCCCGAACTTACAGCTCGAAGCAGGAGCTGCTGCCACAGAGCGCCCCGCGCATGGGATTCGGCAGCGAGGCGTCGTTGGAGTCGAACTCCCCCTTGGGCTGCGAGTCCAGCCAGCCCTTCAGCGCATTGAACACCTGCGGCCAGAGCAACGAGGAGAGCGGCGGATTCGTGGGAGCCAACAATAAAGAAGTGGAACCCGTTCTTTGTTGATCGTCCCTTTTGCACATGTCTATAACCTGGGACAAACGCGTACTCGCACATAGCCTATACACGATACATCACGTCGAGGAAGACATGTCATGTTTCGGACGTTTGCGAGTAACGCTTTGCGAATAGTGGAACGCGCTCGGTGAAACCTGGGACCTTAGTGGGCCCTGGAAACGACAGGGCAGTTTTTTTACCGGTTCCGTTTTGCCGTTTTGTTTGCTAGTTCCGACGCCTTTTTTTCCGGTTCCGTCGCCGTTCTTTTACGGGTTTCCGCTCCGCTTCCAATCCTGGAGCCGTTTTTGTTGCCGTTTCCTGTCGCCGTTTCTTTGCCGTTTCCATTTTCAAGGGGCACTTTGTCGGAAACGGTGAAAAAAAACAGCCCTGCCGTTTCCGGGGCCCACTCAGCCTAGGACCCCGCGACCCCCCCACCCTGGACGGGAGCCCCCCCCTTGCCCTTGGCCCTGGGGGCTCCCTGGACGCCCTTGCAGACGTCCCCCCTTTGTGTTCCCGGGGCTCCCGAGCCCTCTGCTAGGCCTGCAGGGCGGCCGAGCGGCTCCGCGAGGGCCCCAGAGAGGCCCCCAGAGGGCCCCAGAGAGGCCCCCAGATACAAAAACCCTCAAGAGGCACTCGAAGCCAAAACATGTGGAATTCCTGAGGGTCCTGAGGATTTTTTTCGTGATTTGGGGGATGTTCTGTTCTTCGCTCTTCCGGGCGTCCGAGACCGCCCAGGAGGTCAGCGGATCGTTCCAAATCGACCAACAGGATGACTTCCAGGCAATTTAAGAGGAGCCGCAAGACGACACAACAGGGCCCGACGATGGCTCGAGCAGAGCCTCATGACGGCCCAAGATGGCCCCAAAACGCCCCCCCCCCCCGAATCATTCCAAATCGTGACCCGGTCGTTCAAGGAGACCGGGAAAGCCCCCAGAGGCCCCCAGTAAGAACCCAGGAGGCCTCCAAAGGCCCAAACAAACCCTTAAAATCCTTCGTGAAGCCCCCAAGAGGCTATCCTAGGATGGGCCTCCGCAAGAAGAGCTGAGGATGGGGACGGGTAGGGCGATAATGAAGAAGAGGAATAAGAAACGTGACGGACGCTTGACGAATAACATTAGTACAACGACGATGCCGGAACAACACAACACAGTTTGGCGAAATGTTCCGTTTCACCTTATTGCCCTCGCGCCTGCACGCCAAGCCTCAAAGACAAAAGCGCATGGCGCGGAACGCCAATGTAGTCTTGTGCACGTATATCTCTGTACTTTAAGAACAGCCAGTACATCTAGCTCTCCGACCCTTCCCAAGGGAGGCAGACTGAATGGCCAGGGCAGTTCACAACTGTGTTTGCGCAGGCCAGTGCATCGCCACAGGAGCATGCAATGCCCTGCGCACTCCTCTCTCAAGCTCGGGGCCACCTCGGGTGGGCGGGGCGCAGCGGGGCAGCGGGCCCATAACATTACAACATATAAACAGGTTGCCTCTCAAGAAGCTCGAGACGGACGCATGCGCCTCTCTGAAAACCATCTAGCAAACTTTGCCTCTTTTAAGAAAGGCCACTAAATCCAGCTATCCGACAATTCCCAGGGGAGGCAGCACGCGAAACGTGAACGATTACAGCAATGAAACTCCTTCTTAAAAAATCAAGATTTGGATTGCCAAGGCAAATCGCAACTTGTCTTGCGCAGGCCAGTTCCACGCCACACTCCCCTGGCCAACGATTGCTTGTCACAGCGTATGGGGAAGAGAACCTGAAGCCAATCACACGGAACAACACTTTCACACGGAATCCGACATTGCAAGGTCTCCCGAGAAACGAGACACACATCAGCAGGGATGTCCACGCGATGAGAATATCAAGCTCACCCCGCCTGGACCTGGGGTGCGATATTTCACGAACAGAACTTTGACAACCACCTTCAAGTCACATGCTGCCAGCGAGAGGCACACGGAGACGGATGAGAAACAGGGCGAACCTCTGATCCGACATTCACAGCAGCGAATGAAAAGCGATCAAACACAGGCCACGGCAAGGGGCTCCTCGGCTACACCTGCGCTCGCAGAAATAGTCGCCGTCTTCTGGCGCCGCCACAACGGCAGGAGGGCGAATCGCGCGCAAAAGCGACCTCGCCGCTGCGCACGGCGGCACCTAGACCGATCGCCGCCAGGCGATTTTGAGCCAGAGACTTACAACAGGCAAGCCTCATGTCCCAAGAAAGTCGAGACGAAACTTGATGGACGCATGGGCCTTTCTGAAAGCCATCTAGCAAGCTTTGTCTAAGAACCATCGCGCGCGCTTCGCGCGAGCTCAAGTTCTAGCTAGGCTTGACAGACTAGAACATGTAATCTCATTTGATGAAGTGCATTGTGCCCCGAAGGACCTGATTGGAGTCCCTGCGCAAGCCTCAAAGGCTTCCTGGGGTCCTTCTTCGGTGGTGGCGGGGGCCTTAATTATGGCCTGCTGTGCAAAAAAAAACAGACAGTAAGTTTGAAAAGAAAGTATTGGAATTCCCTGTTTTTCAAATTGCCATGCCTGGGCCGTGGGCCAGAACTTTCCTGGATACGGGCCATGGACTGTTGGGGCGCCTCTGGGAGCCCTGTGGCAGCGTCTTGAGAGTCTTCCGAGGTCTGTTGGGAAGCTCTTGGTGCCTCCTGGGGGCCGCCCGGGGGTCTCTGAAGGCATCTTGGGGGCGCCTCGATTGCCTTTGCGAGAACCTTGGGGCCATCTTGCGGCAAAGCGCGAGCCTTTCCCGGGAGTCTTCCGGGAGGGGCGCCTCGAGAACCTCTGGGAGAACCTTGGGGCCACCTTGGGGCAAAGCGCTCGTAAGGCTTTGGGGGTCCCCTCTTTGGTCTCTTTCTTGGCGCCTCGCGCGCCGACGTTCTAGCTAGGCTGGACAGGTGCAATCATTGGAGCTTTACGTTTACGGTGGTTTCAGGGGCAGCCATGAGGACACGAAGATGACCCAAGAGAGTGCCAAGACAGCGTCCGAGAGTTCAACAGCACACCCGAACAACCTGCAATTTGACCCCGAAGTCTTGATGGGGCTCGGGGTGAACTTGAACAACAAGATGATTACTGGATTTGATTTGTCCCCAACTGGGGCCTCCCAACATGTAGTGCGCAAGATCTGTGGGGGTCGAAGAGGCGTGCAAGGAACTCTTGGGAGGCAGTTTGGGGCCGCTGGGGGAGTGTTTGGGGGCCTCTTGGGGCCACTTTTGGGCCACTTTGGGGCCTCATCGGGGCTCTTGGGGGCATCTTCAAGCTTTTTGGGGATCTCTTGGGGCATCCTGGGGGTCTCTTGGAGCGGAAAGCCGGGATTGTCGATTTGCGTTCCCCCTGTTGAGCGGCTTCTCGGGCCATCTTGGGGTTCCCTTGGGCTGCCTTGGGGCGCTCTTGGACCGTCTTGGGGCCTTCTTGGCCTGTCTTGGAACCGCCTTGGGGGCTCTTGGGCGGTCTTGCGGCGATTTTAAAAGCTTGTGTCGGCCGTCTTGGCGCGGAGAAAGCTCGAAAACGAGAGAAGGCAAAAAACCACCGCCTTGGAGTCTGGAGAGCCGTCGGAAGTCTGTAGTGGGCTGCTTGGGAGCGTCTTGGGCCGTCCTTTCGCGTTCTGGGGGTTCCGTGAGGTATATAGGTGTGAATATATGTATGAATGTATATATATATATATATATAAAATATGTTTATACATATACATATACATATGCATATAAATTTACATATACATATACATATAAAACTACCTAGGCGATGTCGAAAACCCTGAACCCAAAACGCTTGCATCTCTCATGGGGCACATCCTTCCCTTCCGCCAAGCTTCTGCCGGCGGTGGCGGCCTCGTCATACGTCCGCCGACCTTCCGCCGCCTGCCGCCGAGGTAGAGATGACAACTCCTCCCACACTCGAAGGCAAGGCCATTTCTGGAACGCCCCCAAAGTGTATGTATACATACACGCACATATATATATATAGATATATCGGTATGCAGGTGCATACACATATATATACATATATATATATGTATGCACACACATATGTTTTATATATTCTCGAAATCTATGATATGCGCATGCATCTATATTTGTATATCGTGCTGCCTGCGTTTCGGCACGGATCGTCTCATGAGGCATTGTTTTTCGGCCGTGCCGTCCTGCGCAAGGCTTGCGCTCTATCGCTCGGCCAGAAAGGGCCGCGCCACGCACGAGGGCCGCCGCCGGCACCGCCCTCGTTACCGCCCTCGTTGTGAGCGCGGGCCTCCGTGGAGCTCAGCCCACCACTGGCTCGGTCCGCAATACGGCGTGCAGAGAGATACTCGGCAGCAAGGCGCAGCAGCAGCGGCCCGGGCAGGCCCGCAACAGCGTGCGGAGGGCCCCCGCGCACCGCGGCCTCAAGGCTCCGCAACAGCGCGCAGGGAGAACCCGAGCAGGCAGCGGCCTCGAGGCTCGCATTCGAAAGGGCCCCGCCAGGCGGGCCCCAACGAGGACGACGAGGACGACCAGTAGGACGAGGAAGAGGACGACGACAACGACGACGTAGAGCGACGGACGACGACGACTACCGACGGAGGAGGAGGAGGAGGAGGAGGAGGAGGAGGAGGAGGAGGAGAAGGAGGAGGAGGAGGAGGAGTAGTTGGAGGAGGAGGACGACGACGACGACGGCAGCGACGGCGGCTGGAGCGACGATGACGATGGCGCACCGAGGACCTACAATCAATTAGTGGTGTTTCAGCCCCGTGCCGTGTGCGCGGCGCCCCCTGAGAATTCTTGTCCGAACCCGGACCACGCTCTGGGTCTCCCGCAGGAATCTCTTCTGGCATCCTCCGGGGGCCCGCTGGAAGCTCCTGCACGCCTGTAGGGATTCAGTTCACTGGATGTCTCCAGAGCCTCCTGGACAGCCGCCGAAGGAACTCGGAGGCCACCATGGCGCAGTCGCGCTCGACGGAGCCCAGGGTCCACGACCAAGACCTTCTATCACGATCGATGTCCTCAATTTGCCACACAACGTTGCTATGTGTCGTTTGAGCTGCGAGGGCTGTCGCGATCGTCGGAGCGGTTGAGGGCGATGCCAGGGCACACAATTGCTCGACCAATCAGATCCGGGGTGCATCACGAAGCACGAACGGATGTGGCACGGATGTGTTCCTCGCATCACACGCGTTCTACAACACACGCGCATCACTGGGGCCACCTGCCTGGAACGCAACTTGCCACGTTCGGCAGGGCTTGTCTCGATGACGAATACGGATATACTTCCGCACTTGGCAGGGAGTGCGTGGGATGGGCTCGGTGGATACACCACCTCGCTTGGTCAGCCCAGTAACCCCGTGTTTAGACGACCCAGCTGCCCAACCTATGTGACGCTGGAGCGTCTATACACCGAGCTCCCTGGTCGAACCCCTCGGCTCCCTGGCCGAACAAACGACGCGGTACATACGTCGAGCCCCTTCCGAGGGCGGAGACGTAGAGGCACGAGGCGAGCGAGCACTCGCCGAGCCCCGCCGCAGAGGTCGATATATCGAGCGACCTGAGTCGCGACACCTCGCCAGGACTCCGCGGAAACACTGCCCTTCTTCCCCCCCGCACCCTCACACTGGGGAGTGCTTTTCGTGGGAACGAGACGATGCGGTGCCGCTGACGCCCGGGCCTCTTCGGGGCTGCGCCCTGGCCAAGATCCCGAAGCGAAAAATCCGGCCGTGGCGATGCGGGCCCGCCATGAGGCCCAGAGGCCTTGAGACGAGAGAAGGGCCCAGACCCCCGACGTCATGACTTTATCGCAACGTCGACCCTCAGACGTCTCGACCCATTCCCCTGGACTGGCTTTCCATCCCGAGTTGCTTTTGGATGCTACCGAGGGCCGGCAAGGGCCTCCAGGGTCCGAAGATTGGGAAAGACCTCCCGTCCTGATTTCTGTCATTGCCCGAGGAGGTCTGGGGGTACCGGCGTCGGCGAATACTCCTCTGCTCAAAACTCGAGTACACACGAGCTTGCCAGCGGTTTCTCACCGGTCCTCTCCCGGGCCGGGCTGGGTGGACTGCTGGCGAGCCTGGCCTCCCGGGGCGCTTTTCCTCATGGGGTGGGTGGGGGGCGTTCCCCTCCCCTCCTTTTCCTCCTCCTCCTCCTTCTCCTCCTCTTCCTCCTCCCCTTCCTCCTCCTCCTCCTCCTCCTCCTCCTCCTCCTCCTCCCTCCTCCTCCTCCTCCCTCCTCCTCCTGCTCCTCCCCCCTCCTTCTCCTCCTCCTCCTCCTCCTCCACCTCCACTTCCTGCTCCTTCTCTTCCCTGGGCCATGTCGCCGTCCCGGCGACGACCCTCTGAAAACAGGCGGGCCAGGGAGGTCAAGGCGGATGGTGAGCGGGCGACTCGCTGCGGAGACCCCGCCCGTGGACACAGCAACGCCAGGCGTCAGACGGAACTCTGCCGGCGGGGGGGTCCACGGCACGCCCTGGGCGTGCCGTCAGTTCCGCGGCTAACACCGAGAGGTGCGCTGCACCACGATTGCGCTGGATACTTGCACAGGCTGCCCATGAGGATAATTCCGTCAACTTGTGCGCGTGTGGAGAGCGCGCGAGGCAACATAGTACGCTGGACAACGTGTTGCGCAAGTCGCATGTGTGCTGTGCACGTGCGAGCTGATCGCCTCTGCCGCGCCGCGACGGGAAAGTGTGTGATGTGCACGAACACGTGTGACTCAAGGGCGGCGCCTGACGGTTGTTCTGAATCACAACGGGGAAATTTTCCTCACTCATCTGGGCCGAGAACGCATCCGTGTCCTGGCCGATCTGCGTCACCTGGAGCAGCGGCGCGGGCCTCCCAACTCACCGCCGGGAACGGCCTGGCCCAGGACCCTTGCAACCATCCAATCGAGTCACGTCCCCCTGCCCCCGCCCGGAATCTTCCGGCTCACCCTCGCTGGCCCCCGTAGTCATCTGGCAAGCCCACTTAACCAGGAATCCTTCAAACTCTCTCCTTCCAATCCCCCACGCCCTTCCCTCCCCCGTCCCCCCGAGTCACCCGTCTGATCCCCCACCGTCAATTCTGCTCCCCGCCTGCACATCTCACACGCAATGCTAGGGACGAGGTCGTCCGACAGGAACCTCTGGGGCGCGCCTTGGTCCCAAGCGGCTCTCCGCAGCGACATCGCCAGGAGACGCCCCTGCTCCGGGTGCACCGAAGAGGCCAGAAAGAGGGTGTTGGCAGAGCAAGGCCCGAGGCGTGTGCGCGGACGAAAGGGGACCAAGGGACGTGCAACAAAAAACAAGGGGCCGTGACACCTGGGAAATTTCATTGCCCCGGCAATGATATCCACGCAACCCAAATCCTCCCCCCCTCCCCCAAGCTGCGATGCTGTGGTCGTATCACCACGCGAAGCCCCTGAGGCCTGGACCCCTTTCCCATTACCGATGTTCACCCCCCCTCCTTTTGGCGATCCCGGGGCCCGGCGAGGGCCTGCAGAGGCCGAAAAATGTGGCACACCCTCGTGGGGCGCCTTCCTTCGCAACGCGAGGAGGCGGGGGGGCCGCCCCCGACCGCTGCGCGACGCCCGCGCCCGGCTGGGCGCGGCTCTGCGGGGACCCCGGGCTCACGTACTGCATCGTGTTGGCGTCCAGGGCGCCGTCCGTGGCCCGTTTCAGGGCGCCGATGGCGTACTTCCACGTGGAGACCGCCTGGGCGGCCAGGCCATCAGCCCCCCGAGGAGGAGGAGGAGGAGGAGGAGGAGGAGGAGGAGGAGGAGGAGGAGGAGGAGGAGGAGGAGGAGGGGGACCAGTGTAAACCCAAGAGCCAGCAAGGATGTTAGAATGCACCCTCCCTCCAAACTCCATCTCCATAGGCCCCTACAAATGTGCATTTCCACTGAAGGAATTGTCTCGTTGGTGGACACCCGTACAAAAAAAGAAGCTTGCCAAAACATTGTTCTCAAGACTTCAACGCCCTGACTTAACCTGATTGTAAGGTCTTGGCCTGAATCATGCCAGAACGCCAGTCCGGAGAATTCATCGCCGCGGAACATCGGAACTGTTGCGCCCTGACAGCCATGAACGGGTCCAAAACGCAGCTTAGTGTACAGTGGAGGTACTACCAGAAGAAACGCAAATTAAGGAACAAAAGGGCTTTTCTGGCCACGGCGGGCCTAGGCCACAAGGAAATCCCGCGACATAAATCTAAGAAACGACCCAAATCCCCGAGCCCCTTCCGAACGCAAAGTGGTAATGATTTCAGCGTCTTGGCTGTACATTAACCATGAGAGCTCGTGAAACTATTGCACCTGTTTAAAACCGTGAAGCTCTTGTAACTGTCTAAATCAAATGCGCGCGGCGCTAAGGCAAGAGCCACATTTTGAAATCAACCCGTCCTCAATCCGTGAAGCTCTTGCAGATGTTTACAGCGAGCGCGTGCAGCGCTCAGGCGAGAGCCACACTTCGAACAGCAACCGCCCTCCATCTGTGAAGCTGTTCATAATTTCCAGCTTCAGGGTCATTCGTAGCGAGGAACTCTCAAGCAAAACGCTCAGCCCGCCCTTTCGACTGGTCCTGGTGTGACAGGAAGATACTTACAAGGAGAAGAAACTGGAGAGGAGGAGGAGCACGACGACGAGGAGGGGGAGGAAGAGGATGAGGAGGCAGGAAGGGAAACTGAAGAACGCAAGAGCCTTGTCGCTCACGTTTGCCCAAGGCAAAACAACAAATAATGACGACAACACGGATCCTAGACGGGGGTGCGTGCGCGACGGCCGCCGCAGGCTCACGGGTTGAGCCGATCGAGGAGAAGCAGGAGGCGGAGGAGAAAAAAGAGGAGGAGGGCGAGGGAGGGATGGAGGGAGCCTGGGGCGAGACAGGAGGCAGGAGGAGGTGGCGAGGCGGGGGCGACAAGGAGCCAGGCAGAGGAGGGAGGGCGGGAGGCGGGGGCGAGGGTGGGACGTCGGGAGGACGCTGCAGAAGGGAGGTCGTCCACCCACAAGGGCAGACGAGCCACCCTCACAATAAGCACACCTACAAGCGACGTGCGTTGGTAAATGCCCCTGGGGAAGGAAGCGAGCACGCCAAGCCCGTGTAGTTACTTAGGGCCCACTGCCGTCGTCGTCGGCGGCTGCCGCCTCATCGTCGATTTCGCCGTCGCGCTTCGTTAGCCGTGTCGATGTCGGGCCTGTCTGGAGGCGCCAGGCGCGCCCGAGGGCGCGGTGGCGGGGGTCGGGCCGCGCGCCCCGCGCGCCCCGCGCCCGCCCGCCTTCGCCATGTCTGGGCACGCGTCGCTCTTGCCCGCGTCGCAGGCCTGCTGCCGGCGGACATCCGCAGTTCGAAAAGGTGGAAGTGCCGACGCGCAGCTCACAACCCAGAACCCCTGCGCCGTGATTGCTTCAGAACGTCGACCCCCAGAGGCCTGAACCCTTTCCTGGGACCGGTTGTTCATCCGGAAGCGTTGTTTGACGGTCCCGAGACCCAGTAAGAGCCCCTGGAAGCCGAACATAGTGAAAACCTCCCGTCTTGATTGCTTCACAAATAGATGACGGAAATAACAAAAAAACAAGCCAGCACACAACAAACAAAAACTTTTAGCGCTCCGCGCGGAGCGCCAACAGTCTATGCTTGTGCCGCTGTTTTCTTCGAGCAACGCGAGGGGGCCTGGGAGGGGCGCAGCTCTCCTCGCCGCGGTGCCGGCGAGCGGCCGGGTGGAGTTGCCGCTCGGCGGCACCGCGACGAGGACAGCGAATTACTGCGGGGAGAGGGCGAGCGGGCTTCGCGAGGAGGGCCCGTCGGGGCCGACGGCGGCGCACCCGACGGTGGCCTCTCCGCCACTCGTTGGGGGCCTCCCCGGGCACCGCGACGAGGACAGCTGCAGTCAGCCTGCATAGGAAGGATGCGCGGCAGGGGTGCCGGGGCCCTGAAGGGCCATCTTCACGATTCCCGAGGGTTCGGAACCTGAGCGCGCAGGGCAACGTGTAAGGATGCAGGGGCAGCCTGGGAAAAGTTGCTCGTCCTGCGGGACGACTGTATCGCGGGGGGAGGCCTGCCAGTGCTCGGGTCAATGCAAGCCTGGTGTTGCAGGATCCTGAAGGATCCGGAGCTCTGGCTGACCCCCGTCTGCATTTCCAGACACCCGACGTCGTGATTTCTTCAAAAAAGTGATCCCCTGGAGCGTGGACCCCCTCCCAGCGACTGGTTTTTCATCCGGAGCTTTTTTTTGACAGTCCCGATGCCCGAGAGGGCCCCCTGGAGGCCGAAAGTAGGAAAAAATCTCCCTCCGTGATTTCTTCGCAACGCGAGGAGGTCTGGGTCGACGCCCGTCTCGAGGCTCCCTCCCGACGCTGACCCCGGGCGAGCCCCTCTGGCGGGGGGGCGGCCGTCCTGCAGGCTCGGAAGCTCCGCCGCCGCCAGGGCCAGCTGGGCGTGCGGGATCGCGGGCGGGGAGCACTCCTTGGGTGCTGCGACCTCGGCCGCGCGCCGCCCCCCCCTCCACGGAGGGGGAGGAGGAGGAGGAGGAGGAGGAGGAGGAGGAGGAGGAGGAGGAGGAGGAGAGGAGGAGGAGGAGGAGGAGGAGGAGGAGGAGGAGGAGGAGGAGGGGGGAGGAGGAGGGGAGGAGGAGGAGGAGGAGGGGAGGAGGAGGAGGGAGGAGGAGGAGGAGGAGGAGGCGGAGGAGGGAGGAGGAGGAGAAAGAGGGGGCGGAGCGTCCTGTTGAGCCCGTCTGACCTACTGTTGCTGCTGCCCTCTCTCCCAGTCCCGCTGCGCTCGCAGCCGCGGGCCCATGGGCAGGTCCGTGGCCAGGCGTGCTGCGCGTGCGAGCTGGAAGGTGGACCTGCCGATGGTGTGCGTGGAGGCGATCGCAGGAGGAGGAGGAAGAGGAGGAGGAGGAGGACCAGTGTAACCCCAAGACCCATCAACAAGATTGCAATCAAGCCTTCTTCCAAAAATCACTCTCCAGAGGCCGCAAGACTCAATCTGACTTCGGGAAATGCCACGTTGGCTGACGACCTTAAGACAGTCCTGAACGGTGCCAGACCACAACTCCTGGGACTTCCCCGCCGCGAATAACTGATACGTTTGCATCTTGACGATCCTGATTCGTGCCAGAACGCCATTTCTGGGACTTCAACACCACAAATCAACGTAACTGTTGCGCCTGACAATCCGACATCGTGCCGAAACACCGTTTCTGGGATGTCAACCATAAAAATCATTAAAAGCGCTGCCAACTCTTAAAACGAATGAGCGCGACGCTGAAGCCAGAACTACATTTAGAAAATGAGCCACCCTCAATCCGTGAAGCTCTTACAGATGCCTAACACGAATGTGCGCGGCGCTGACGCGAGAATCAAAGTTGAAAACGGCCCGCCCTCCATCTGCGAAGCTCCTCCACTTGTTTGAATACGCGCGGCCCTGACGCGAGAGCCACATTTAAAAACACGACCCGCCCTCCATCCCTCAAGCTCTTGCAAACTGTTCGAAATGATATGCGCGGCGAAACTGCGAGAGCCACACACACATATATATATGTATATATATGTATGAATATATGAATATATTTATATATATACATATACATATACATATATTCATATTCATATATATATATATATAAGATACAAAAAAACGTCCCGCCCTCCACCCCTGAAGTTCTTGCAGCTGTTCCAAAACAATGTGCGCGGCGCTCAGGCGAGAGCCACATTTTGAAACGACACGCCCTCCATGAATACAGTCGGGCCGCTGAAAGAAGGAACGCTAAATAAGGAACGAAGCCCCTTCTTGGCCCTGTAAGCGCCTCCGTGCCCCAGGAAGGCAAGAGGAACAGCAGTGGAGGAACCTAAGGAACATTGAGGCCCTTCCGAACCCAAACTGCTCCGTTCCATATTCCAGGAGATTCAGATGATTCAACCGAAGGGCCATCAAGAACCAGGAAGTCTCCGGCGAAACGCCCTGCCCGCCCTTCCGGCACGGTTCCAGGTGCGGCAGGGAGGAACCATTTATGAGGAAACGACGGAGGAGGAAAAGGAGGAGGAGGAGGTGGAGGAGGAGGAGGAGGAGGAGGTGGAGGAGGAGGTGGAGGTGAGAAGGAGGAGGAGGAGGAGAAGGAGGAGGAGGAGGAGGAGGAGGAGGAGGAGGAGGAGGAGGCGGAAGTGGATGGGACGGAGGAGGAGGACGAGGAGGAGAAGGAGGAGAAGAAGGAGGAGGAGAAGGAGGAGGAGGATCGGGCGTTGGCAGAACTGGGTTTCGTGGGACCCGGTTTAGTGACGTGTACTGGGGGACGCCCCATCCGCCACGTTCCACTAACCGGAACTGCCGTCGCCCGAAAAACACCAGCTACGGCAGACCTGGTTTACTGGTCAATTTAGGGGCTCCAGGGCCCTACTACTGACCGGGCCCCGAGACGAGGGCCCCCCTTCCCAAGCAAGGGGCGAGGAGGCGCACCCAAGCCAGGGGGGGGACGACACACGACTACTCTCGACGACGTGGAGGTTAAGGGGGGAAGAGGAGGAGGAGGAGGAGGAGGAGGAGGAGGAGGAGGAGGAGGAAGAGGAGGAGGAGGAGGAGGAGGAGGAGGACGAGGAGGAGGAGGACGACGACGAGAGCAGAGTGGATGAGGAGACAAGAGGCAGGCTGAGCAGTCGCCCGAAGGCTCGGCTCCGCCGCATCGGCCCCCAAGCAGGGCCCCGAGCCCGCTGGGCACACGGAGAGCCGCCCCACCCCGGGGAGGAGAGGAGGCGGAGGGCAGAGGGGGCAGGACCGGAGGAGGCGCAGCGAGCAGGGGGCCCCAAACGGTGTGGTGACCACACCGTGCGGTGAGTCGGTGGGGGTTCAGGGTCACCGCACGGTTTTGGGACTCGAGTCCCCCCCTCTCCGAGGACGTCTCGGGCGACAGGGGCCTCCGGGTTCGGGACTCCAAAAGCGAGCAGGGGGAGAGGGGGGACCGGTACCTTCCCGGCCCAGGAGCGCGCGACTCGGGGCGGCTACAAAGCAGAAGCCATTCTGAGCTGGAGCCGCTTGGAAGAGTGGAGGAGGAGGAACACGAGAAGAAGGAGGAGGAGGAGCAGGAGAAGAATGAGGAGAAGGAGGAGGAGGAGGAGGAGGAGGAGGAGGAGGAGGAGGAGGAGGGGGGGGGCAGGAGGGGGGAGCAGATGAGGAAACGCAGGAGGGGGGAGGAGGATGGAGGGGGACGGAGACACGCGCTCGCCAGTTGGGCCAACGCTGCCGCGAGCGCCCGAGCCAATACCACCACCACCGCAACCTCCTTCTTCTCCTTCCCCTCGCAATCCCCTCCGCACCCCCCACGGCCTCCTCTTGCCCCGTCTCTCATCCTCCTTCCTTCTCCACCTTCATGCCCTTCTCACCATTCTCCTCCTCCCGCCTCCCCTTCGCAGCACCGCTTGAGTCTGGCCATCTCCCCTGGCCCCGTCACCTTGTCACTGGCACCTGCTTACTCCTTCTTACTACCTCGTCCATCTGCTGTTCTCTTCCCCCTTCCTTCCCCTCCTACCTCTTCCATCCTTTCCTCCTTTCCATCTCCCAACCCCATTTTCGCGTTTCCCGTCTCCCTCGTTTTCCCTTCTCCCTGCCATCTCCCTCCCCCCTTCCCCTCCCCGCCCTCCCCCACCGTCCACCTCTGCATCTTCAGCAGCTCTTGCTGCTGGGAGCACTCGTGCTCTTCCTGTCCATTCGGACCAAAAGGTGCACTCGGCACGTCTCTTCTGCTGTCCCCCCAAGGTCCCTGATCAGGGAGAGCCCCCGCGCGCGATGCCTTGGCTGCGCAGGGAGCACCATGGAGAAGGCGAGGGACACGTACGCGGTGACCCCGCGAGGCAGTCGGGAGTGAAGAGATGGGAGGGGCGATACATGAGGGGGGGGGGGGGGGGGACGTGTACCTTTCGTCCCGCCCCTTTTGAACTGCAGGGTCCCTCTAGGGCACACAAGGTGCTCCTGTCTTCACTTCGCTCCCCCCCCCCCCCGATGTATCGCACCCCCGGTACTCGACGCCCGAGGCAGGACGGGCACGGGCAGTGGCCGAATGGGGGTGGGGGGAGGAGGGACACGACGGCGTGGCGGGGGCGGCTGCGCGACGCCAAGAGCGGCACGGGAGGAGCGATGCGATGCGATGCCACGCGCTGCGACCCCCATGCCGGCCCCTGTGGAGCGGTCCTCTGCAAGAGGGCAGGCACACCCAGAGCCCCGACGTCGTGACTCTCTCACAACGTCGAGCCCCCAGAGGTCTGGACCCCTTGCCCGGGACCGTTTTTGTTGTCCATCCGGAGTAGCTTTGAACGCTCCCGAGGCCCGGAGAGGGCCCCCTGGAAGCCGAAACGGGTGAAAAGCCTCCCGCCGTGATTTCTTCACAGCGAGAGGAGGTCTGTGTGTGTGTGTGTGGAACACGCAGGCCCGGCAACCGGCGCAGTCCCGGCAGCTGGCAGCATGGGCAAGGAAGGAGACGCACGCCAAATCAGTGCGCACCCTGGCCGTCCGGCACGAAGGGCGCAGAAAGCGCCGCTCGGGGCACAACGCTCGGCAGCCGCGCGAGCGGGCGCGGCCCGGGGCAGGGCAAGTACACAGCGATCTCGTGCTGCCCTCGGGACCGCTGCATACGCATGGACCTGGGACAGACGAGCATCCTTTTGCAAGTCGGGGTTCTACTGTTAGGTCGGGCATGACCTCCTACAGGCGGATATTGTGGAAGAGACAAAGAATATAGTCGAACATATAGTCGAACATATGCCCGACTTATATCTACTGACCCGGGTCGATCCAGGCCCGGGTCAGGCGGGCTTTACAGGACCCTGCAGCATGCCAGGTCCTGCACCCAAGCCCGTGTCAATGTACCCCTGGCTCTGCAGGATCCTGCAAGATCCGGCGCTCTGACGGACCCCCGTCTGCATCGACCCCCGCCCCTCGAGCCCCGATCGAGAACATGAGACCCTCTGCCGGACAAACCGACGAGCATTGCAGGGGACTGGGGAACCAACAGGTACCAATATCGTTATTCCCCGGACCTCTCCCGGGGTGCGTTCTGACTAGCATTTCGAGGCGAATCCGGCGGCGGCGACAAGGGCCTCCGAGGAGGTCCAACAAGTTGAAAACGAGGGGGAAAGAGAAGAGGTATGGGTACCCTTCCCTCCTCCAGGCACGAAAAGAACACGAAAGGTACCATCCCTGGGCCGACCTCGATCTTATAATGACCTCGGCCTGGCCGTGGGAGGAGCGGAGGGGCTCTGATGGCCACCGCGAGCCTCGGCTGCGAACATTCGGTGGCAGCTCATGGGAGCATCCCATACAGTCGCGTCGGCCCTTAATCTAGGCTGATCGATGCGAGTCGACGCTAAATCGAGGCTAGTCGACGCTAGCCGACGCTGAATCGGCGCTTTCTCGTCGACTCCCACCCGCTAAGCGACGATCATCGACGCTGACGACACAGTGAAGAGGGTATACCACCATGAGCATTGTTTATCCGATCCCTATCCCCAGCGGCGTGGCCTGGGCCCCACTCACTGGCTGATTTACCCCCCTAGATGGGGATACAGGGCGTATGCTTCGGGTTTCGAAGGGTGTATCCCTAACTGAGGGGTAATTTGGTGGGGATCTCGAAAGGGACGGGGCTTAGTGGGCCCCGGAAACGGCAGGGCCGTTTTTTCACCGTTTTCGAAAAAATGCCCCTTGAACATGGAAACGGCAAAAAAACAACGACCGGAAACAGCAACAAAAACTGCTTCAGGCTTGGAACCGGAGCCGGAACCGGTTGAACCGGCGAAAAAACGGCGTCGACCAGAACCGGCGAACAAAACGGCAAAACGGAACCGGTAAAACAACGGCCTTGTCGTTTCCAGGGCCCACTAAGGGATGGGGATGGGGATGGGGATCGGTTAAACGACACCGACACAAGGCTCCCATGCTTGGCTGCCGAGCGAACGAGCTCCCCGACCTGGATCCAAGGAACGGCCCGCGAACAGGAGCCCCTCCTTGGACGGCTCCCCCCGGGGCCGCAGGCGAGCCGAGGTGGGGAGGAGAAGGAGGAGGAGAAGGAGGAGGAGGGGGGGAGGAGGAGGAGGAGGAGGAGGAGGAGGAGGAGGAGAAGGAGGAGGAGGAGGGGGGAGGAGGAGAGGAGGAGGAGGACGAGGAGGAGGATGGAGGAGGAGGAGGAGGAGGAGGAGGAGGAGGAGGCGGAGGAGAAGGAAGAGGTGGAGGAGGAGGAAGAGGATGAGGCGGAGGAGGAGGAAGAGGATGAGGCGGAGGAGGAGGAGGAGGAGGAGGAGGGGGATGAGGAGGAGAAGGAGGAGGAGGAGGAGGGGGAGGAGGAGGAGGAGGAGGAGGGGGAGGAGGAGGAGGAGGACGAGGAGGAGGAGGAGGAAAATGAGGAGGTGTAGGAGGGGGAGGACGGGTCGCCTAAGCCCTTCGGAGGAACCTCCGCCCCTCCTGTGCCGGAAGTGGGTCTTTGCTCGGCGTCTCGGCTGTGGCGTCGCTTCCCCTAAGCAGGCGAGGCGGCAGAGGCGAGCGCCCAGCCGTCTGCGTCCTCGCGGCCGCCGTCCGACTTCCTTTGTGGGCGGCGCACAGGAGGCGTTTGGAGCGAGGGTTCGGTCGGGCATGTCCCCCCACATGCAGACTTTGGAGGAACAATCAAAATAATCAAGAAATGCTTTGTTAAGAAATGAGCGAAATAATAAAAAAATCGCCCCCATACTATTTGTTTGACTATTTTTGCATTTTCCTCCTGTAGAGGGACATGCCTGACTTAAGAAGAGGGAGGATTAACCAGCCTCGATCGACTTTCTATCCTTGAGGTTGACAAGCCCAAGCTCGATGACACACTCTGAGCGATGTGCCCACAGAACTCGAGGGAATCCTTACAATCGGCATCGAGATCAGATGTTGCCAAGCATAAGGATGGGGGCCCAGGCAAGCGAGGTCACGATTTTTTCAATACGCGGTCCCCAGAAGTCCCGACCCTTTCCCCGGGACCGGTGTTTCTTCCCGAGTCGTTCTTTGACGGCCCTGAGGCCAGGTGAGGGCCTCCAGAGGCCAGAGGCCGAACACAGCCAAAAACCTCCCGTCCTGATTTCCGTGCGGCGCGATCATGTCTGGGGATGTGTTCCGGGCTGGCAAGGGATGGGCCTCTGAGAGGGCACGGAGGACCCAAGGAGCGCCTCCTGGAGGGCAGGAGGGACCTCTGAGAGGCCTCACCTTGCCTTCAATTGGCGGCGCGTACTTAGAAGGGGGGGCCGGTCTTCGTAGAAGGCTTCTTAGAAGGCGGCCGCTTCTTGGAAGGCGTCAGCCTCGCACCTGTAGTGAAGGCCCGCGCCTCCTAAGAAGCAGGGGTGCATCTAAGAAGCCCTGCCCCTTCCCCCTGCCCCCGCGCTGCGCGTGGCGGACCCTCGGAAAGTCGCCCCCCCCCCCCCCTCCCGTATGAGCATGGCTCAGCCGATCCTCATCCGCGCCGGCATGGCGCTGGCCCGCGGGCCGCGCTGGCCGACTCGCCCCCGACAGCTCCCTGCGGGGGCCACCGCCAGGCCCGCGGGGGGTGGGCTCCGCGGGCTCCCTCTTCGGGCTCCGCGGGGCCCGCCACGCCCACCGGGGGGCCGAGCCGTCGGGGAAGAGAAATCATGGCCCAGGTGGGGATGATGGGGAGGAGAAGGAGGAGGAGGAGGAGGAGGAGGAGGAGGAGGAGGAGGACTAGAAGGTGGAGGAGGAGGAGGAGGAGGAGGAGTAGGAGGAGGAGGAGGAGGAGGAGGAGGAGGAGGAGGAGGAGGAGGAGGAGGAGGAGGGCAGCAGCCATGGAGCGAAACTGCCCGCAGCGCAAGCGGCGCCAGGAGGACGACCAATGGCCGAGTGGGGATGGGCTCCCAGGCCCCCTCGGGCAATGACAAAAAAACACGACGGGAGGTGTTTCCAAATTTTCGGCCTCTGGAGGCCCTCAAGGGCCCTCGGGGCCGTCAACAAACGGCTCAGGATGGACAACCGGTCCAGGGGAAGGTGCCGATACCTCCGAGGGTCGGCGGTATGAAAAAATCAGGGGGTAAGGGCCAGGCGATGCTGACCCTCGCGCCACCCCTTCTCCTCGCCGCCGAGTCCTCAGGAAGCACTTCATGGCGCCCTCCTGCTCGCCGTACGACCAGTGCGTGCACTGCTCGATGGAGGAGCAGGCCCTCGCGCAGACGCCCTGGGAGGGCAGCGCAGCGCGGCCGAGCGAGGAGCCCGCTGCTCCCTGCAGGAGAGGCAAGACGAAGCCAGGACAGGGACAACATCGGGCACAGGATTCTTCGGGGGTCTCTGAAATCCGGCGGTTCTCGAGGATGTGTCGGGCGCCGCGGCCTTTCGGAACGCTCCGAGCGGGCTGGAAGGCTCTGGGACGATTTTCATGCCTGTCCGAGGCCTGCCTGAGAAGGGGAAGGGAAGGACCAAGACCCCAAACGTCATTATATATATATATATATATAAAACGTCGACCCTCAGAGGTATCGGCCCATTCCCCTCCACCGGTTTTCCATCCTGAATCGTTTGTTGACGGCCCCGAGAGCCGTTGAGGGCCTCCAAAGGCCGAAAATTTGGAACTACCTCCCGTCATGATTTTTTCATGACCCGAGGGGGTCTGAGGATGAGGGCGCAAACGAAACAGCAGGCGCGCACGATAAGATGTAAGAGATCTTGCCGTAAGAGACCCCGTTGGGCACAGCCGCCGTCGATCGACGAAGGCACCCAGGTGCCGCAGAACTTCTGCTGCGAGGCCCCCAGGACCATCGGCGGATAATAAGCTTCCGTGGGGCACCTCCGTCGATCGATGGTGGTCCCAAAGTGCCGCAGGACTTCTGTGAGCCCCCGCAAGACCATCGGCGGATAAGAAGCTTCCGTGCGGCACCTCCGTCGATCGACGAGGGCCCCGAGGCGCCGCAGCACTTCTTTGGCTGTGAGCCCCCAGGACACTATCGGCGGATAGGCAGCGCCCGCGGGGCACCTCCTGGCTGGCCGTGCCCTCGGTTGGCGTGCCCCACGGCACGCCTGCGCTGGTCCCGCCTGGACCCGGACCGGTGTGGGTGCCTGGCCGGCGCCCGCCGAGCAGGGCAGAGGCGCTGAGTACGTGCCGGGTGCGCGCGGCCGTGTGCCCCGTGGGCCCCCGGCCAGGGCCATCGGCGGACAGAAAGCGTCCGTGGGGCGCCTCCTGGCTGGCCGTTTTCTCAGTTGGCGCGCCTGCTCCCAGACCCCCTCGGGTGATAGGTAAAGCACGACGGGCGTTTTTTGCTTCCGGATGTTCGACCTCTGGGGGCCCTTACGGGCCCTCGGGACAATCAAAAAACGACTCAGGATGAAAAACTGGTCCAGCGGAAGGGGTCGAGACCTGCGAGGGCCGACGTGGAAATCATGGCGTCGGGGGTCGGAGTTGTATTGCCTGCGCTGGTCCTGCCCGAACCCGGATCGGTTTACAGTCGGCCCGTGTCAGAAGGATGCGCGACAAGGATGCAGGGGCCTTGGAAGGCCACGTCGATAACAGGGGATATGTCGACCCCTATCCCAGGCTTCGTGGGGTTTCCGAATGGACCAGAAATTTGGGGCCTAACCCTGGGATATACGATGGGGGGGTGTCCATTCTCGATAGGGGTGCGTCCGAATAGCCCCTTGAGGTGTATCCCAGGGTTTTCCCATTCTTCTGAGCGGCCAGACTTTTCGGGCGAAACTCGGGGATTGGGGGAGAAACATCGCCCGCGAGTCGAAGCTTTGCGAGCGAGGCGCGACCAACGAAAGTGGTCAGGAATGGGCCGAGGAGACAAGGATGCGAGGGTACCCTTGGGAAGGCTGCCCATCCTCACTTAGCGGGTTGACTGTACTGGCTGGAACTTTTCTTAGTTGGCACGCCCATCGCACACCTGCGTTGCTCCTGCCTGGACCCGGATTCGTGTACGGTCGGCCCGTATCACAAGGATGCGCGAGAAGGATGCAGTGGCCTTGGACGCCCACGCCAAAGCTTTGCGAGCGGTGCGTGGTCAACGGAGCGCGCAGTTTGCCTCACAGGACGCGCTCAGCAGGGTTGCAGCTGGATTGTTTGATCTTCGCGCAGGTTTGCTTGGAGCCCGACTGAAAGGCCTTAACGGAAGAGCCCAAAGGGCAGTGTGGCAAGGACATGCCCGAGGTGGAAGCCAAAGCGACGGGCTCGACGGAGAAGTTCACAACAAGTTCTTGTGTGTGATATCGCCTCTAGTGCATATGACGGGCGCAAGTAGAAATGGCACGCGCATGCGTCAGACACGCAGGCTCCCCGTCCCGCACGCGAAACCACATTCTGCTTGCACACGCGCGGCAACACTCGTCGGACGCAGCCTGCTTTGGCAAGGGCTTACAATCGGCTGGAATCGCAGATGCCCTCTGCGACCCTGTGGCGACACCCTCCGCCGAGGCGAACTGAAGGCATCCATCGACCCACGCGTCCGCACACTCAAGAAAGGTATCCTGTTAGTCAAACGAGCATCGTGTGGGGAGGAAGGGGTTGGGAAGATACAAGGTACAACTGTAGAATCAGCACCGTCAAATGTTCGCGGTAAGTTTGATGATAGGACCAATTCTCCCGATCCTGTTCTTCTCCAAACCCGAGAATTGTCTTTCTGACTCCGCCTGCCTGACAGCATCCACTCGGAATCTGCCCCAGGATCCTTCCTCGTGCATCACCCAGGCATCCCTTTCGAGCCGCACCCACCCGTCGCGAAGACGGGGTTGGGCGCGAACGAATGGCGGTGGCGCCAAATTGGGAGGGAGAGGAAGGTGCCCTGGTTGGGCCCTGAAGGCCCAAGGGCTCCTGTTCGGCAGCCCTCGCTACCCCCACTTATATCGCCTCCCCAATACGCACCCTCCAACAAAAGAACAACACACTACTTCAACATAAACGTTCGACGGTCCGCGCGGATCTCTCGGATCCGCTCCATACCTCCCTCCCTGGCGCACGGAGAGCGAGCCAGGAGCGGCGCCGGAGGCGCCGCCAGGGGGGCCCCCAGCGCCGATCCAAGAGACCCGCGCGAACCGTCAACCGTTGGGCAACTCATGGGAGCCTGGTGGACCCTCTTCATTCCGTCTTTCGCGTCGATGAGCGTCGGTCCGCGTCTGGGAGTCCATGAGGTAGCGCCAAAAGATTATGTTCGTTGTATTTCTTCTGCTCGATCCACGGTGGGCCCCTGGGGAGGTCTGACGGGCCCCGTGTGAGGCACCCGCGGGGCGCGCGTGTGAAGCTGCAGCTGCGCGAGCCCTGCCAAGGGAAAAGCGTTCGTGTGGGCGGGCCTGCTGCTTACCGTGGGCGCGTGATGCTCGCCATCGCGTGCCAACCAACGTCGACGATATCGACGTCGACCATCTCGACAACGACGACGACGACAACGACGACGACGACGACGACGACATCGAACATCTTGACGACGACAGCGACCATCTCGACGACGACGACGACGGACGTCGACGGCGACGACGACGACGACGCACGACGACGACGACGACGGACAACGACGACGACGGACAACGACGACGACGACGACGAGGATGGACGACGACGACGACGTCGACGACGACGACGAAGACGATGGCGGCGACGACGACGACGACATCGACGCTGACGCTATCCTGGCCCGAGACGGGGGTTCTCTCCTCGCAGCGCAGGGCGGCGTCGCAGCTAACCGGGGGGCTCGTGGGACCTCGAAGGGTCGAAGTTCCTGCGGCAACCCCCGTGTCGGATGCCTCGTGGTAGCCTCGGGTGCCGTCGAAGGGTCTCGCAAGAACCGAAGCCTCACCGCGCACGCGGGATAGCAGGAGACCTCCACAGAGTCGGAAGACCCTGGAGACTTCGTGAACACCGCTGGAAGATCCCTGGGTCGCCAGAGCAGGCCACAGATGTCCTGGAAGATGGACGCTGGAAGATGTTCGCCAGATGGACGTAGATAGAAGAGGAACATCGGCATAAACGTAAACTTTTGGCACGCTACTCGCGGATTTCTTAGACCTTCGCTGGACCCCCCTCCCTTGCGCGCGGAGCGCGCCGGGGACGGCGCCGGAGGCGCCGCCAGGGGGGCCCAGCGCGGATCTTAGAAATCCACGCGGAACGCGCCAAAAGTTTATGTTTATGTCGTGTTTTCGTCTTCGAGGCAAGAGTGTGGACCCCTGGAGACTCTTGGAATGCTCCCCTGCGCATTACGCTCGAAGGGCGCAGGCGGCATCGCCGCGCGGCACAGCCGCCTAAGGTCCATCAACATAACCGCAAGGACAACCAGGCGAGGCCTGGACTCGGGTGTCATTTCACGTGCACCAGCTTGACTCCAGTCGACCCGTATCATAACGACGCAAGATGAGGATGCAAGGGCCTTGGAAGGCCACGTCGAAGCTTTGCGAGGCGCGGCCAACGAAGCGGCCAAGGATGGACCGAGGAACCAAAGGATGCAAGGGTACACATGGGAAGGCTGCCCATCCTGACCCTGCGGGTGGACTGTATCAAGAATGCGTCATGCCGCGATGAAAGTTGCGGTCGAGAGCTTCTGCTCAGCGTGTCGCGGCGGCGGCCCCTGCGACACGCTATGGCTTACAGTATGATGGCGTGTTGCTCCGCCCCGCGGGGCGGGATGCTGGGAAGAGCTGGGGACGTCGACGCTTGGGTAATGGGAGGAAACGATTAATACAACTTTCTGGGGCTGACGATTTAAAAAAATGTTTCGCGGGCCTCCTCGCCCCCGCAATAGCCAGGGGGCAGGGCAGGCAGACGGGCGGCTGACAATTCTTCTGGGTTGCCTGGAATGCCATGGGGGGGGGGGGCACCGGGGTGGCGATCCAGGGCGCGGGGGCCAGGGGGGTGGACGGGGTGATTTTTCAGGGCGAGCTCGTCCTCCTCCTCCTCCGCCTCCTCCTCGTCCCCCTCCCCTCCCTCCTCCTCTCTCCCTCCTCCTCCTCCTCCTCCTCCTCCTCCTCGTCCTCCTCCTCTCCTCCTCCTCTCCTCTTCCCCCGGCTCAGCGGGCAAGGGGGGCGGGCGCCCCGCGGGCGCCCCCCCTCGAATTGCGCAACGGCGCGCGCGGAAGAGAATTCTGGCGGAGAAAGGCAAAGCAGGCGGACCGTCTGTGGCGACGAACGTGCCACGTCGTGCTCTGCCATGCTACGCTTTGATCTTGAACGCCATGCTATGCAATGTTATGTTCGGGGCCGCTGTGCGATGCCATGCTTTGCGTTGCAAAGATTTGTGATGCAATTCTGCACTACGCCACGCCATGCTGTGACATACTACGCTTTGTGGTGCTCTTCAACGCCCTGCCATGCCGTGCTCTACAATGCATCGCGTACCCTTTCGGGATCATTGCCCTGCTCGACATCCAACTGTGCGAGTAGAGAAGGGATCTACGCCATGGTAAGGGATGGGAGAGAGGGGTAGGCTGTCATATATGACGCGAGCGCACCTAGCTTGTCCTCCCCCCTCCTCCTCTTCCTCCTCCTCCTCTTCCTCTTCCTCCTCCTCCCCCACCTCCCAATCGCCGCGGCCGTCCGCAAGGCCGCTCGGCGGCCGTCCGCAAGGACGAGGGTGATCAAGCGCCTCTTCGAAAACCCCTTCCCTAATTACCCCGTCCCCCCTCCGCAATCCTCCCCCCGCGGCCGCGGGTGATCAAGCGAGAAGAGAACGAACAGAAAATCAGTTCCCCCAAAAGGGCAAAAGCAACCGCCGGGGGGCGGACGATTTAAAAAACAGTTTCCGGCGGCTGAATTCTATTAGTCCGCCCCACTCAATCATTTTGGAGGGTCCGGGGGGGCGTGGGGGGGAGGCGTTTTTTTATTCAAAAAAAACCGCTTCCTCCCATTACCCAGACGTGGTCAGCGCGTCGCGCCGAAGCGAGGTGTTTCAGAACTGGCGGCGCGACGCGCGAAGCAAGCGTATCTGACCGTACCCCAGGAACTCCGACGTTTCGATTTCTCCCTGGAGCGCGCTCTCAGAAGTCTAGAACACTTCCCCTGGGACCGGCTATCATCCTGAGTCTATGTTTGACTGTCCCGAAGCACGGTAAGGGCCCCGAGCCAGAAAGCAGTGAAGAGCCGTCCATCATGACTTTTACCCTCAGCCAAGGGGGTGTGGGGGTTCAAGTCGGGCTGCGGGAAGAAGGAGCACTCAACAAGGAGCGAAGCACCTTTCTGGCACCCGAAGCGCCTGGGCGCACGAGGAGGGCCAGAGGAGCAAGCACATGATGACCCGAGGAACAGCGAGCCCCCTCCGAAACCGGCGCGGTCCTTCACAGCCGGCCCGTAGCAGAAGGGTGCGTGGTGGGGATGCGAAGGGGGCCCTGTGGAGGCCCACGCGAAACGTTGCTCGAACGAGGTCGGCCAGCGAGAGCCGCCGAGGTTGGGCCAGAGGGGCAGGGATGCAAGGGTAGCCTCGGGAAGGCTGCCTATCCTTCCTGCGCGGGCTGACTGTCCTTCGGCGCCCCGGCTGTGCCACGTCGCTGCCTGCTGCCGCGGCTCGGTCCTGGTCCGCCGCGTTGAACTTGTCGGAGTTCTTGCAGTCGTTCTGCCAGCAGCCCGCGGTGCCGAACGCGCTCACGTCCTGCAAAGAAAAAACAGCCCGCCGCCGCGGCGCGGGGAAGCCGCGGCGCCCGCACACGGGCGGCTCCCCGGTCTCTCCAGCGAAGCCCAGGGATACCAGCCGACCCGTGTAACCAGGATGCGCGGCAAGGATGCAGGGGCCTTGGAAGGCCGCCTCGAAGCTTTGCGAGCGGGGCGCGGCCAACGAAAGCGTCCAAGGATGGGCCGGGGAGGCCAGGCTGCAAGGGTACCCTTGGGAATGTTGCCCGTCCTTCCTATGCGGATTGACTGGACGAACTTCCCAGACGTGTTCGGAAAATCACAGGCACGCTGCACGGTTTCCCCTGGGGCCGTAGGCGACCCGAGGAGGAGGAGGTGGAGGAGGGGGAGGGGGAGGAGATGGAGGAGGATGAGGAGATGGAGGAGGAGGAGGAGGAGGAGGAGGAGGAGGAGGAAGGAAGAGGAGGAGGAGGAGGAGGAGGAGGAGGGGGAGGAGAAGGGGGCGCCTAAGCCCTTCGGAGAAACCCTCCAAGACAGGCCAGCCATACAGCAGGCGCGGGCGCGGGCGTTGGAACAGGCGGGACCTCCTGCGCACGCTGATGTAGTCGGACCCCCGGGAGACGGGCCGAGGAAGAGCGGCGGGCTCGGCAGGGAACAGGGACGGGCGGGAGCGCGAGGAGCCAAGGAGCGAGGGGGGGAGGGGGGATGAGGAAGGGAGGGCGACAGGGAAGCACATGCCGGGCCGACCGGCGGAGGGACAGGAGACGGGGCTGCACGGTGTCCCCTGGGGGCCATAGGCGACCCGAGGAGGAGGAGGGGGAGGAGGAGGAGGAGGAGGAGGAGGAGGAGGAGGAGGAGGAGGAGGAGGAGGAGGAGGAGGAGGAGGAGGTGGAGGAGAGGGAGGGGGACGAGGAGATGGCGGAGGAGGAGGAGGAGGAGGAGGAGGAGCAGGAGGAGGAGGACGGAGGAGGAGGAGGGAGGAGGAGGAGGAGGAGGAGAAGGAGGAGGAAGACGGGGCCAGACATGCCCGGATCCGAAACAAGAATCATGTCTGGAGGTTTTGGCCGTTTTCGGGCCCAAGGGCCGTCGACGCACGACCTGGGACGAGAAGCCGGTTCCTGGGGAAGGGGGGGAAGGAAGGAGGCGAGGAGGAAACAAGCGCGGGATGAGGGGCGAGGAACACCACGGAAGGACGAGCGGATAACCCGACAGCATGGTACAGTCAACCCGTAGAATAAGGATGCGGGAAAATGATGCAAGGGCCTTGGACGCCCATTTCGAAGCGTTTCGAGCGGGGCGCGGCCAACGAAAGTGCCCAAGGATGGACCCAGGAAGCAAGGATGCAAGGGTACCCTTGGGAGGGATGCCTATCCTTATTCTGCGGGTCGACTGTATAAAGAAGCAACATGCTCCTCCTCAGCAGTCGGCTGTATGGCGATCTGAGCAACAAATCAAGATCGTGCGCACAGCCTGGCTTGATGATCTGAGTGCCAGTCAAACCTGCTCGAGACCCACCGCCTCACGTCTCAGCCACACGCAAGGGCTGCAATGGTGACCCTCGGCAGAGAATACCCTTCAGTGCGCGCCTTGCAGATTGCGACGTGCGATGCGATGCACCGTGCGTGAATTTCGCCTCCCCGCGTCCCCCGAACGCCGCGAAGCTAAAGTTCACTCCGGCGACTCGGTTTCGGGTTCATATCTCGGGTCTGCGGCGGCCGCTTGGGAAGGTCTGGGCATCCCCAGAACGCTGTCGACGAGGCGCAGCCGCCAGAAGGCACCCCGAGACTGGAAAACCGCCGAGAAACGAGAGCCAAGAATCGAAGGCCCTTGGACGGAAGGCTGGAAGCCTGAAGACCACTCCGGTCAGGGGCTGTGCCTTGTATGTGCAGACGACCTTCCTCCCCCACGCGCCCGTCCACAAAGATGGCGTGCGCGCCGGCGTGCCGCAACACCGTCTTGCCCTCCACGCAGCCTGGGTACTCCTGCGCGGACGCCTCAGCGGGCCCCCCGCGGGCATCGACGGCGGCGGCGGCGACGGCCGCGACGACGACGACGACGACGACGACGACGACGACGTTGACGACGTTGACGACGACAACGACGACAACGACGGACGACGACGGACGACGACGACGACGACTACGACAAAGACTGTGAGCGACCAGGCGACAGACGACGGACGGTCACGGAGGCGGCAAAGAACGACAGGCCACGGGCGGCGACGACGACGGCGAAGGATAGACGACGAGCGATGGACCACTGACGTCGACGCCGACGTCGTCGACGGCTGCGGCGGCGTCGACGAGCAGCTGGAGGAGGAGAAAGACGGCGACGACGACGATGACGACGCCTACGACGACGACGACGACGGGGCTTTTCTGGCCACGGCCAGCCGGGGTGACGGGTTCCGCGACCTGGAGACAACCTCGACACTAGGGTCAGATCGGGCATGTGCCCCTACATGGGGATTTTGGACGAAAAAGGAAAAAAACAATGTCCAACAATATTCAAAATAGTCAAAAATCCTCCCCAGGCTAATGTTTGACTATATTTTTTAATATTCCTCACGTTGAGGAACGTGACTTAACACTATGGGATCAAACAGTGACATAAACATACAAAGTCTGAGGTCCGGGGTGAATTTCATTTCTCTGATGGGCGCTGGACCCTCCTCCATGGCGCGCCAGGGGCGTCGCCGGAGGCGCCGCCAGGGGGCCCCAGCGCCGATCCGAGGAATCCGCGTGGACCTCCGATTTTGTATGTCTGTGTCATTGTTTGTTCCGTAGCCACGCCCGCGCACCATGCGGGGGGTTGGAGCGCGCTGGCTGACCGCGAGGGGGTCGGCTGGGAGCTGCCGGCGAAGGGCGGGGCTGCGGCGAGCACAGTGCCATAGGGGGCCCGGCAACACTGGCAGCGGCCCGCAGAGCACGAGAGAGACCCCGCAAGACGCCGCCACGGGCGTGCCGTCGACCCGCTGCATCCGCTCCGGTGGCCGCGCCCGGGCTCCGCGCGTCAGTCAGGAAGTTCCTTCGGAGGTTGCTGGAGGGGTGTGCCAGTGACCTGCGGCGTTTTCTGGGGAACGCCTGGGCGGGTCGACGCGAGGAGGAGGAGGAGGAGGAGGAGGAGGAGGAGGAGCAGGCCCCAAATGGCGGGGGATGACGCTCGGGACGGGGGGGGAAGGACCAGCGCACGGCCTCGGAACCGGTCCGACTTCGAAATGGGCCCCGTGGGGCCCCTGCTCGATGGGGATTGGAGCCTCAAATTTTTGATAGGAAGGATGAGCGGTAAGGATGCAAGTGCCTTAGGCGCCCATGCCGAAGCTTTTCGAGAGGGGCTGGCATTAAGGATGAACCGAAAACGACCGAAGAGGCAAGCATGCAAAGGGTACCCTTGGGAAGTGCGAGGACTCCCGGGTGCCTCCGAGCGCACAGGAGGTCTCAGCAGCAGGCTCCCCTTCTGCAGTCGAGATGGACGCACGGAGGATGCGGAGGACGAGGATGGGGAGAGCGAGACGGGGAGAGGAGCAGGAGGAGGAGGAGGAGGAGGAGGAGGAGGAGGAGGAGGAGGAGGAGGAGGAGGGGGCGCCTAAGCCCTTCGGGAGAAACCCTCCAAGTCAGGCCAGGAGGGAGGAGGAGGGAGGAGGAGGAGGAGGAGCAGGAGGAGGATGGGATGAGGATGAGGATGAGGAGGAGGAGGCGGAGGAGGAGGAGGAGTAGAGGAGGAGGGAGGAGGAGGAGGAGGAGGAGGAGGAGGAGAGGAGGAGGAGAGGAGGAGGAGGAGGAGTAGGAGGAGAGAAGGAGGAGGAGGAGGAGGGGGAGGAGGAGGAGGAGAGGAGAGGAGGAGGAGGAGGCGCAGGAGGAGGAGGAGGAGGAGGGAGGAGGAGGGAGGAGGAGGAGGAGGAGGAGGAGGAGGAGGAGGAGGAGGAGGGGGAGGAGGAGGAGGAGGGGAGGAGGAGGAGGAGGAGGAGGAGGAGGAGGAGGAGGAGGAGAAGGAGGAGGCGCAGGAGGAGGCATCGTCTGGGCAGAGGAGTGCAGGGCAGGGGTGGCCTCAGGGCGCGGCGCAGGCCCGCGCAGGCTCGGGGCAGCGGGGAGCGCTTCGGGGCACGTCCCCGCGCGTGCCCCGCGCGCGCCTCGCGCGCGTGCCTCGCGCGAGCCGCTGGGCCGCGCGCCCCGCGCGTGCCCCACAGGGCCCCGGCGGCCAGCAGGAGGCTCCGCATCGCTTCTCTGGCGGCGGCCGCCGGAGCCGACCAAAAGGCCCGCAGCGCAGGCAAGCGGCACAGAGCAAGGATCAGCAGTGAAAGAGGAGCCATCCTCCTCCCCCCCCCCCTCCCCTCCGCACTGCTCCTCCTCCCCCCCTCCCCCCTCCTCCTCCTCCTCCTCTCCTCTCCTCCTCCTCCTCCTCCTCCTCCTCCTCCTCCTCCTCCTCCTCCCTCCCTCCTCGGGCCCACCCGAGGTGTGGCGCACGGACGCCCGCGCGCCCGACGCCGGCCCGCCGTGCCCCGCGGCGCCCACGGGGCGGATAGGGCCTTGCAGGGCCGTGTTGGCGTTCGTCGGACGGGGTTGGCCAGCGAAGGTCGCCAAGGACGGGCCGGAGGGGCAAGGATGCAGGGGGGGGGGACCCTGCAGAGAGGCTCGTCCTTGCTGTGCGACTTGAGTGCGGGCACGGGCCAGAGCCTGGTGTCGCCGTCTCCGTCACCACTGTCGCCACCGTCATCGTCAGCACCCGGCGTGCTGGGAGGAACACGCCCCCCAGCCAACACGTGTTCCCCCCCCCCCCCCCACCGTCCCGGACGCGCGTGGGCCCCAAAGCCGCTCCCTCCTCCCCGCTGCGTACTCTCTCCCTCCTCCCCGCCCCGAACGGGCATAGGCCCCGTCGCGCTCCCTCCTCCCTCCTAGGTGCTTCCTCCCTCCACAATGACGCAGTATGAATACTACCCTCCCCTATCCCCTGACTCTGTCCAGAGAGTCTCCCGTCCACTCCGTGCATTGTTTTCTACACACACACACACGATTTCTTTGTTAGTTTTGGTGTCCCTCGTTATGTTTCGATGTGGTCGATTCTGGTTCTTCCAGAATGGTGCTCCGGCTCCAGGCGGCACTTGGCATTCGTATGCGCCAACATCGGGCAGGCACGGCTGCGGAGGACATGGAGCGGCATTCCGGATAGGCCCTGACCTCTCGCGGACGTGCCACTGACCTTCCAAGTTATCGGGTGCCATGCCACGACATGCAATGCGATGCTATGTTGTGCACCGCTGTGCGATGCCATGCGTTGTGTTGCTACGTTTTGTGATCCAGTGCTTCACTACCAACTGCCACGCCATGTTATGACATGCTATGCTCTACCGCGCTCTTCTACGCCATGCTTCTTCATCCATCGCGTACCCTATTGGGATCACCGCCCTGCTCGACATTCAACTGTTCGAATATGTATAGGACATCTACACCATGGTGAAGGATGGGAGGGAGGGGTAGGAAGTCAGATGTGACGCTAGCGAACCTACCTAGCTTGTCGCTCCCCTCTCCTCTCTCTCTCTCTCGTTCCTTCCTCCCTCCCCCCCCATTTCCTCATCCCCCCTCCCACTCCCTCCTGGCGAAATGGCCTCGACCAGACAAATGGGCTCCCTCCTTGAGCGCTTCCTTCCTAATTTCCTCGCCGATCCTCTGCCTCCTCCTGCTCCTCCTCCTCGTCGTCTCCTCCTCGCCGTTTCCTCCTCCTCCTCCTCCTCCTCCTCCTCCTCCGCCTCCTCCTCCGCCTCACTCCTCCGCACTCCTCCTCGCCCTTCTCCTTCGGCATCCTGCTGCACCCCCCCACCCCCAGAGCCGGATCGCCGGTCGGCCCCGCTGGTCGCCCCAGGCCGGCGTCTCGCTCGCAGGACCCCCCCCTGGGAACGGCAGGGGACGCGCCCCCCCCCGTGGGTGGACGGCCCTTGGCGAGGCACCTTCCCACCGAAAGAGAAAGATCCGATGTGATCTGGACTCTGGTAAGAGAGGCGTCCCCGGACCTAAAGGTGGAACAGGAGGAGGGAGGAGGAGGGGGAGGACGAGGATGAGGATGAGGAGGACGAGGAGGAGAAGGAGGAGGACGAGGAGGAGCAGGAGGAGGAGCAGGAGGAGGAGGAGGAGGAGGAGGAGGAGGAGGAGGAAAGGGAGGAGGGGGAGTGGGGAGGAGGAGGAGGAGGGAGGAGAGGAGGAGGAGGAGGAGGAGGAGGAGGAGGAGCAGGAGCAGGAGGAGAGGAGAGGAGAGGAGGAGGAGGAGGAGGAGGAGGAGGAGGAGGAGGAGGAGGAGGAGGACGACGACGACGACGAGGCGGAGGAGGACGCCGAGGAGATTCCCAGTCTCCGCGCACAGGACGTCAGAACAGCTTAAGGAGTTGCAGAACAAAAAATCTTACCAAAAGAAGACGGTCAAATCTGCCTTCCGTAATCGGTTCCCCCTCATACATTCCGTCCAGGCAATACCTCGCTTGCTCGACCCACCCGCTGCGATGTGGGAAGGCGGTGGAGGAGGGCCTTACGCACTGGCTGATCACCATGCGCTAGCATGCCTTGCTGTCCTGCGCCTCCTCTCTAAAGTCCTGCGCCTCCTCTCTAAAGAGGGGCGCCTCCTATAGGACTTCCAACGTGAGCGCGGGAGGTCCTCGCGAGGACCCCCCCAGCCGTGAGTCAGTGTGAGGCTTGTCGCTAGACGTAGCCAATGGTCCTGTGCTCGGGGACATCAAAACCTGCGATATCAGCCCGCTACTGGTTGCAGCTCATTCCGGGCGGGTGCTAATTGGGGGTGACACACAGGGGGGGGTGAAGAAAAGGCACTCCAGGAGCCTATTAGGGCCCCCCTTTGGGGCACCAGCTGGCTCCCAAAGGGGCCCTGAATTGCCCATGCAAGGCCCTTTCATTAACCCCCATTGGGCCTTCCCCCATTGCAGAGGGGAGCCTTTGTCGGGGTTCTGGGGGCGGGGCGCTTGCGACAAGCTAGGAGGCGTGCCCTTGAGCATGGTTGTGGTCCCAGAAGCTTGCCCTTTGGACTTCGAGGCCCTGCCCCCCTTCGAAGGAAGCCAGCTGAAGTTAGGCAACGACGTGCTCCAAACTGCGTGTCTCTGTCTTGCCGCTTGTCAGGCGAATCGGATCCCCAGGACATGGAAAAGCCTGCCGAGCCGTGGTGGATTAAAGAAGCTCCATCTTCTTGGCAGCTTGAAGAAGTTCAGCGCAGTGCTTCCCTCACTGGGGCCGAGAAGGCTACTCTGGCTCAATGCGTCATCGATTGCGTGTACCAGAAGGCCACCACGCTTCTGACGGTGAACGCCCCCACCAAGGGGAGGGAAGCAGGGGATCGGCCTGGGAGGGGATGGTACGGTGCACCCGGGACGCTGCTCGGGACTGACAGCGTTCACCAGGAGGCGCTCGAAAGTTAGAAATCTGTCTTGGAGAAATCGGAGAGACCGATACGCACACGACGTATGGCCTTTTGGCCAGGCCGCCAGACATGCTTGGCGATGGAGACCATCCTCGGGGACATCCCACGGCGGGATCCGCCGCGCGGCCACGTCGATGACAGCGCGTCCGCGGCCCAATGCACACCACCCCAGCTCGGCAGCGGCCACGCCTGCGTTTCGCCAGGCGTCGGCTCCGAGGACTGCCAGGGCCCACGAGGCACCGGCTCGGTTCACGGGTTGCCTGCTGCGGGACATCCCCCGGGAGCCACCAGCCAAACCTCAGCCCTCCTTCCACGACTGACTCCACAATTTCAACTGCCACGCCCAACCCAATGGTAGATTGGGCGACGTGGCCTGCCAGACTGGCTGCTTCCGCGCCGGCAGCCCCTGGGCGCCGGGAGAGGACGCCGTGAAAGGCGAGTTCGCTGCGCCACGTCAGCCCTAGCCGCCGATGCTGCGTGACGTATCCCATGTCTACTGCCCTTTGCTCCACGATGCCAAGCTGCAAGGCCTGCCACTGGAGGAGGAGGGAGGAGGAGGAGGAGGAGGAGAAGGAGTAGGAGGAGGAGAAGGAGGAGAGAGAGGAGGAGGAGGAGGAGGAGGAGGAGGAGGAGGAGAAGGAGGAGGAGGAGGAGGAGGAGGAGGAGGAGGAGAAGGAGGAGGAGGAGAAGGAGGAGGAGGAGGAGGAGGAGGAGGAGGAGGGAAGTATCCACTGCGGCTGCGAGTGGTGTCCGCCGCCTCCGGCAGCCGTTGCCGCGTGCTCGGCCGGTCTGTTGTTGGGTGCCGCCTTGTACTTCCAGGCCCAGGCTGGCTTCACCTCGAGGGCCACCCCCTCCCAGAGCTTAGTGGGCCCTGGAAACGACAGGGCCGTTTTTGTTACCGGTTCCGTTTTGCAATTTTTTTACCGGTCCCGTCGCCGTTCTTTTGCGGATTCCCGCTCCAGTTCCAATCCCTGGGCCGTTTTTGTTGCCGTTTCTGGTCGCCTTTTTTTTGCCGTTCCCGTTTTCAAGGGACACTGTTTCGGAAACGGCGAAAAAACGGCCCTGCCCTTTCCGGGGCCCACGAAGTCCCAGAGAAGAGTCGAGGAGTACTGGACCACTGGCGTGCAACATGGCCGCCAATCGAAGTGGGGCCACCCCGAACGCCAGCAGGGGCGCACAGGTTGCACAGGGCCCCCCTCGCGCCTTGTGCGCGGAAAGGCCTTCTGCAGGTCTCCGAAGGCAGTTCCCAGGACCCTCCGGTCTCAGATCGCTGCCGCCAGAAGTTCGTGCAGGAGAACATGGGCAGCTCCCACGTCACGAATGTACCCATTCTGCCAGGTGGGGAGGACTGGGAGGGGGAAGGGGAGGGAGGAAGGGGCTAAGAGAGGAAAGAAGGGAGGGAAGCAGGAAGGGAAGAGGGAGGAGGTGGCCACGAGTCTCCCTGGCCCTGGCTTTTCGGTCGGCGGCGGCGGGCGGGGCGGGGAGGGGGCAAAACTGGGCGCCGGAGCTGCCTGCCGCCTCGGGCCAGAGCTGCGCTTCTTGTGCGGCGAGGGAGAATGGGGGAGAGAGGCCCGGCGAGGAAACGTACAAAGGAGGAGGGAGGAACGGAAAATGGGGACGGGGGGGGCGCGGAGGGTAGGGCGGATTGGGGGAGGGGGAGAGGGGGTGAGGGGAGGGGGGCGGAGGGCGGCGGGGCAGGTGTGGGGGGCTTGGCGAGGCGGAGAAGAAGGGGCGGGAGAGGGAGAGGGGGCGAGGTGAGGAACGGAGGGAGAGAAGGCGAGGGACGGAGGGAGGGGAGAGGGAGGAGAGCGGGAGACGGAAGGAAAATATGGGAGGCATGGGGACGATCTGGGGAGAGAGGGGGATCCGCCCACCCTGTCGGCTCGCGTGATGTGAAGTCCTGGGGTGTTCATCGAGGGGCACGCGTTTCCAGTCGAAGCTCTCCTCTCCTATCCCTGCCGCCACCTGAGGCTCTCCAAACTCGCCAGCCCGACGTGAATCAACCCAGGCCGTAATCAAGTCGCAAGGAAGCCGCTTCTCTTTGAGACCGTCCCCGCCAGTAGGGGGGGTCTCGGATAGGGGAGGTCCTGGGGAGGGGAGGCGGGGCGGCGGTGGGGTGCGCCTCCCACTCCCTCGAAACACTGGAGCGATCTTGGAGCTAGCTATGCTGGCTGTTTTTGGGCCTCTCTGGGCCTGCTGGAGCCCCCTCTCGAGGCCAGCATCGGCACCCTTGGGAGTCTCGCGGGCCGTCTTGGAGGTCCCGGGTTCCCAAGGGGCTAGAATCTGCTGAGTCCTTACGGTTTTGATGTGATCGTGGCTATAGTGGAGGCCAGTCAACAATCAACCTTTTTGCAAGAAACCCAACCCTAGAACACCATGACGTCCGTTGAGCAATGGTGTGGGAGCATCACGCTCTCCGCAGCAAAACCATCGAAACCCAAGAAACCCACGGCACCCTGGAGGCAAGCAGAGTGTCTCTTGGCATGGGCCCCCACTGTAAGGCCAGCCCGAGATGGCCCAAGAATCTCCCCAAAGCGGGACAAACCGCCCCCAAGACAGCCCCGAGAGGGGCCTAAGAAAGCATGCCACTCTCGCAGCGCTGGAAGCCAATCTCATCCCGAGACCCCCAAGATGCCCACAAGAGCTCGCAAATGGCCCCAAGCCGCATCCAGGTGAGCCACAGCGGCCACAGCGGCCCCCAGGAGCTCGCCAAGAATTGCCTCGAGATCCCCCCAGCTATTCCGATGGCCCCTGGAGCACGACCCAGGCTGGAGGGAAACGAAAACCATGACCATGACCAAGACTGAACGCGGAAGCGTCGATGTCGACATTGGCCATCCTTGAGTTTGGTGATCGACACTTCGTAGATCACCCTCAGAAATCGGTGACGACCACCATGGACAATGAGCAAGATCGGCGTCGACAAGATCCTGCGACATTGTGGTCATGGTCACCATGCCCCTCCACTCGACATGCGCATTGGCAAAATGGGCCGGGGAACACAATGTTTCTGCCCTCGCAATGAACCACCAATGCTCCTTGACTCCGCCCCTTGTGTCTCTTGAGACCAAACTGCTCACTTCTCACGGTCGGCGGAACCGGCTGTCGGGATGTTGCAGCCGGGCAGAAATGGGGGGGAAACAAAGTGAAGTAAGGCAGGGAAGGGAGGAGAGGCGCGATGAGAGGATCGAGGAAGTCGAGGGGGAAGGACGGGGGCCAAGGGAGGGGGCAGGAAGAGGTGAAGGGAAGGGGGGGAGGAAAGTGGCGGAGGGGGAATGGGGGAAGAAGGAGGGCGCGGGACAGGAGACAGGTAAGGTAGACGGTGAGAGAGAAGGGGGAGTGGCGGAAGAGGAAGGGAGGGGAGAAAGGTGGGGAGAGAGGAGGGATGGGACGGGAGGCGAAGCGGGAGGGGCAGGGGGCAGAGGAGAGGACGAGGAGGGCGAAGTCGGCTCGTTGTCTTCGTACTCCCTCCTCTGCTCCCGTCCTCCTCGTCTTCCCGCGGAAGAGCTGCTGTGGGGCTGCCCCCCCCCCCTCCCCGCCGCCCTCCTGCGTCGGGACCGGTGGCCGAAGAAACCCGGGGCTCGCTGGTCGTGTTGATGCCGATTGTGGCGGGCATCGCGACGGGCACGCACCACGTGACTGCATCCTGCGTGGAACATTTGAAGGGGCCCTGGGACACGCAAATAAATACACACAGATACCAGGATTCCACAGATTTATCATATTTGCAGTGTTTCTGTCTCCCCCACACTTCCAATATTTTCTTATATTTTTCTGGGGAATCGACGATGGATTGCGTCTGTGTGATATTTTTCCTCCTGAAGGTTCCCCAGTGACGTTTCCTTAGCTTCGCATTGCTTATCTCATCTTAGCTTAGCTTATTTCATCTTACCTTAGCTTACATCATATTACCTCAGTCTTATCTTAGCTTAGCTTACCTTCATCTTAGCTTCGCTGAGCTTTAGCATAGCATAGCAGAGCACAGCATAGCACAGCATAGCGTAGCATAGCATAGCGCAGCATCGAATATCATAGCATGGGTGCAATTCGACTATGTTTGATATTTTTGGTGATTTGTTTCGACACACTTTAATGTTTTCCCTACCCAGGCTCTGCCTAGAAGGGTTCTTACTCTCTAGCTTAAAGGGGCCGGGCAGTGGACCCCGCCCCGGGCGGTTTCCCCGGTACCCTGGGAGCGGTTCCCCCAGTCCCCTGGGAGCTTTAGCTTTAGCTTTAGCTTTAGTATAGCTTTAGCTTAGCTTCAGCTTAGCTTCAATTTAGCTTTAGCTTAGCTTCAGCTTAGCTTCAGCTTAGCTTTAGCTTAGCTTTAGCTTAGCTTTAGCTTAGCTTTAGCTCAGCTCCAGCTCAGCTTTAGCTCAGCTCCAGCTCAGCTTTAGCTTAGCTTGCTTAGCTGTAGCTTAGCTTTAGCTTAGCTTTACTGCTACTACTAATGCTGCTTTCCTAGGGGCTCCAACTCTGAGGTAGGGTCGCACTGGGATAATTTCTCATATTTTCTAGGGAATCGACGATGAATTGTGTCTGTGCGACTTTTTTTCCTCCTGAACATTCGGGGCACGCGCCCGGGCTGCACCCGCGGAGGGCCGCCGCGCGCGGCCCGACGGGGGCCGAGCGCAGGCAAGACCTCTGGGGCAACGCGTGCGTACTCGGCTCTCGCCCGGGCCGGCGGCACCGGGGCAGATCACCGTCCTGGTGATTGCTCGCCCGCTCCCATCCTCCCCTCCTCCCCACCTCCCTCTCCCCTCCTCCCCCTCCCCCTCCCCTTCCCCTCCTCCCCCTCTCCTTCCCCTCCTCTCCTCCCGCTTTTGTTTTACACAGGATTCCCGGGAATTGGGTTTTCGCTTGCATATTTTTTCAAAATGCTGCTCTCGCTGAGGCGCCGGCCTCATTTTCGGGCCTCCGCTCGTTCCGAATCGTGTTCCCGCTGCAACGCTGGCCTCATTTCCGCGCTTCCGCTCGTTCCGAATCGCGCTCCCGCTGCAGCGCTGGCCTCATTTCCGCGCTTCCGCTCGTTCCGACTCGTGTTCCCGCTGCAGCGGTGGCGTCATTTCCCGTGCCATGCCACGGCATGCAATGCACTGCTAGGTTGATACTACGCTTTGCGGTGCTCTTCTACGCCGCCATGCCGTGCTCTACAATGCATCGCGTACCCTTTCGGGATGATTGCCCTGCTCGACATCCGAGAGTGCGAGTAGAGAGGGGATCTACGCCATGGTAGGGGATGGGAGTGAAGGGTAGGATGTCAGATATGACGCGAGCGCACCTAGCTTGTCTCCTCCACAATTACTCAATATGAAAATACTCTCCCTCTTCTCCTGATGGCGTCCGGGTGATGGCCGCGCACCCTCCGCGTACTGTTTTTTTACACACAGGATTCCCGGGAAATCCCGGGAAACGACTCTCGCTTAGGCGCCGGCGTCATTTGTTCCCAAAATGCTGCTCTCGTTGAGGTGCCGGCCTCATTTCTGCTCCCGAATCGTTCCGAATCGTGCTCCCGCTGCAGCGTGGGCCTCATTTTCGGATCGGTGTTTGGCCTCCGTCGTTCAGGATGGCGTTCTCGCCCCAGCGCGGGCCTTTTCTCGCGCGCCCATCCGCCCGCCACCACCGCGCCGCACCACCACCACCACCACACCACCACCACCACCACCACCACCACAACCACACCAGCACCAGCACCAACACCACCACCACCAGCACCAGCACCACCACCACCAGCACCAGCACCACCATCACCACCACCCACCACCACCACCACCCACCACCACCAACCACCACCACCACCACCACCACCACCACCACCACCACCACCACCACCACAACCATGCACACACGCACGCACGCACGCACGTGCACCACCACCCACTACGCACGCGCGCGCGGAGCCACAGGTCCGCTACGACACGCGTCCGCGGATAGAGAAAATCAGCGCCATGGTAAGGGATGGGAGGGAGGGGTAGGACGTCAGATATGACGCGAGCGCACCTAGCTTGCCCTCCTCCCCCCCCCCTCCCCCCCTCCCTCCCCTCCCTCCCCCTCCCCCTCCTCCCCCTCCTCCCCCTCCTCCCCCCCACCCCCCCCCCCCCCCCTCCTCCCCCCTCCCTCCTCTCCTCCTCCCCCTCCCCTTCCCATGACTTGGCGCGCTGGACGCATTGCTGGCGCAACCTTTCAGCCGCGCCCTCTGCCCACAATGGAGGCACGGCTTTCGTGTCATATGTGTGGTCGCTTGCCTTTTCTCTGACACCAGTGGCGCCTCGAATAACAAAGCTCGCCGCCAACCCGGGAAAAGCCACACGTGGCCGACGCCTCCGCGCCGCCGCTACCGAGGATAAGATGCCAGACGGCGGCGGGCCTGGCACGGGGCGCTCAGAGGCAATGCTGCGAAGAAGGGAGGGGCAGAAATCGAGTAGGGGATCGACCACATAATTGATTTACCCCAGCTTTTTGGTCGGATGCATGAAAAAAAGAAGGCGTTTTATAGTACACTCGACTAGGAAATCAATGCTGGGGTAAATCGGGTCCCAGAACCCCGACGTCATGATTGTTTCAGGACGTCTACCTACACATGTCTCGACCCATTCCCCTGGACAAGTTTTTCATTCTGAATCGTTTTGTGACGGTCCCAAGGGCCGGTAACGGCTTCCATAGGCCGAAGACCTTCCGTCCTAATTTTTACATTGCCTGAGGGGGTCTGGGTCTGTAGTAGATCCCCTACTCGAAGAGAGAAGAGGGGAGCGGAGGGGCAGAGGAGGGAGAGCTGCCTGCGGGGCGCTGGCCTCACACCTGGTCCGATCGGCTCCCCAACGACCGCCGGCTGCTCACAACCAGGATCGGCCCCGAGCTCGATCACGGCCTACCCCCAAGCCTAAACATAAAAAAGCCGGGGAACGTACAATGACATAAACATAAAAACTCGGTCCGCGCGGATTCCTCGGATCGGCGCTGGGACCCCCTGGCGGCGCCTCCGGCGCCGCCCATGGTGCGCTCCGCGCGCCAGGAATGGGGATCCAGCGCTGACCTCCGTGTTTTTATGTGTATGCCATTCTTCGTTCCCCTACTATTGCCGGACCTAGCTGCCCAGCTCAGTAAGAAACGATTGCCTCATTTACGTCGTTGGCGGGACACCTTTTTGCCGCCGTCCTCCTCCGCGTCACCGTCTCCCAACCGACGCTTCCCGGCGGACCGCTTCAGAAAGTTCTCGAACTGCCGGAACTCACACAGCTGAACCTGAAGGGTGACAGCGCTGATGCCCTTGGTCTTCATCTGCGCGGCCACCAGCGGTAAACTCTTGAAATACGTCCTGGGGGAAACCAAATGGTACCGATACCGCCATGAACTCCCTGGACCTCTCCCAGGGTGCGTTCTGACCATGATCTCGAGACGAATCCAGCGGTGGCGACGAGGGCCGCCCAGGAGGCCCCAAAAGGGGAAGACGAGGCAAGGATACTTTCCTTGGGAAAAATGGAAAATGATAGCGGTGGGGTTAATAGCAACTGCCAAATCGCGAACGCGACAGATACTATCGTAACCCTCTCGAATGGTATAACAGCGGACAGGGGGGAGAACCATGGCAACACCCATTCTTCACAACGCCTCTCCTGAAGTCGAACGGCTTGAGTCAGCGGTAGGGGTTTAAAAAGGAAAAGGCAAGAGTAGAAAAAAGTGGCAAAAGTGGAAAAGGAGGCCACACAAGTGGAAACACGTGGAAAAGTGGCAGCGGTAAGGGGTACCTTTTTCTCCTCCGACGGCCTGCCGTGCGCCTCGACCTCGGCCAGGAGCTTCCAAAAGTGCTTCGCCGACGGCACCTTCGACTCGTTGATGCGCCTGCCGAGCGCCATCAGCGCGTCGCTGGGGCTGGGCCCCTCCCGCTTCCGCGGCTCCGCGGGCCCGTTCTCGAGGAGCTCCTCGCGCTTGGCATCCAGGCCGAGCTTCGGCACCTTGAAGGAGGCACTCGCGAACAGCTCGTTCCTCTTCTTCACCAGGACCTCCTGGTCCTCCCGCTGCAGGCCCTTCTTGGCCGCCAGCTTCTTCAGCTCCTCGGCGACGGCGTACGCCCTGTCGAGGCTCCCGGCCATGCCCATCGTGACCTGGACGATCTGCACGCCGCTGCGCTTGACGGCGACGATGCCCGACCTCAGGCTGACCTCCGCCCTCACCGCCTCGGCGACGGAGCCCTTGCCCTCGAGGCCCGTCTCCACCTTCGCCCTCGGCGGCGGGGGCGGCGCGAGCAGCCCCTCTTCTACCAGCAGCTTCCTGAGCGGGTCGGCGGCTCCAACGCCCACCTCGCACCGGCTCTTGAGGAGCCCCAGCTTGGGCAGGCAGATGTCCACGCAGACCATCAGCATCTTCACCCAGGTGTCGCCCAGATTCCTAACACCGAGGATTGCCTGCTTGATGGCGTCGTACTTCTCGTCGACGCTCGTCTTTGCGTCGTTGACCAGGGGCCAGAGGTCATTGGCCAAGTCGATCAAGCGCTGGCTTCGCAAGACTATGTTGCGGATGAGATTCGCATCGTCGTCCTTCAATATCCGCTCTGGGATCCGCTGGTCCCCTCTCTGCAAGACCTATAGTATGCGAGCCGTCACGTTGCATTGACACCAGTGTCGAGTGTGATATAGGGATTGTGTCTACTTGTTTTACCATGCGCCCGTATATAAGTCTCCCAAGGTCGCCCTGTCCCAAAATGGGCCTTGACACCACCGCCTGGGTGGTCTCAGGATTGCTGCCTTCCACGACGTCCCTCGCGCATTATAGAAGCTCCGCGCCCTCTAGGACCACCATCCTTCGTAACAGATCGTGTTCATGTTCGGCGATCGCCCAAGTTATCCGGCGGCGGGGGGGAGTGCGGAACCAGCCGGTAACGTAACCTTTTCGCTGCGGGCGGCCCCACAAATGCCCGCGCGCACCAGTACTGCGTGACCCCCTTCGGACCTGCGCGACCGACAAGGTCAGGTCATCCAGGAGGGAGGGGGGGCGGGGGGGCACCAGAAAACGCGGGCAACCCCAGACCCGTGAAAGTTACTCCGACGACTGGGCCCCACACGAGGATCTGCTTCGCTTGCCTGAGGATCTCCTCTTGCCCCCTCCTCCTACACCCTCCTGTCTCCTCCTTCTCGTCTTGCCTCATCCTCCTGCCTCCGCCCCTCTCTGCCTCCTGCCTCTTCCTCTTCCTCCTCCTGCTCCTCCTCCTCCTGCCACCTCCTCCTCCTCCGACCCCTCCTTCTCCTCCTCCTCCTCCTCCTCCTCCTCCTCCTCCTCCTCAACCTCGAGCCTCATCCTCGTCCAACATGAGGTGCGGGCCCCGGAGGGAGGGGCAACCACGCTTGAGAAATCCCCACGATTTGCCCCCCTGTGGGTGCTCAAGTGCTATGCCTGGTACAGTTTGCCGATGACCCGCTCGGATTGCCAACGTGAAGTGCGGGCCCCATAGGGAGGGGGCACCCGCCTGAGACTTCCCCGCAATTCACTCACAGACGAAGACCCCGCCGGAAACAGCCTCACGACTTGCTCCTTAGGGTGCTCAAATGCGATGCCTGGTAAAGATTGCCGGCGTCCTACTCGGATTACCTACGTGATTACCGCCTGAGACTTCGTCGGAATTCACTCACGGACCAAGCCCCCGCTGGAGACATTCTCATGATTTGCCCCCTTGGGGTGCTCAAGTGCCATGCCTTGCCAAGATTGGCAATGAGCTGCTCGGCTTACCAGCGTGAAATCCAAGCCCTATAAGGAGGTGACACCCGCCTGAGACTTTCCCGCAATTCACTCACAGACGAAGCCCCCGCCGAAGATGTTCTCACGATTTGCCCCCCTGTGGGTGCTCAAGTGCTATGTCTGGTAGAATTGTCCGACGACCCGCTCAGATTACCAACATGAAGTGGGGTCCCCATAGTGAGGGGGCTCCCGACTGAGACTTCGTCGCAATTCACTCACAGACAAAGTCTCCGCTGAAGACATCCTGATGATTTGCCCCGTAGAAGGTGCTCAAATGCTATGCTTAGTAGGTTTTGCCAATGAGCCGCTCAGACTCGAACACAAGGTGCGCGCCCCATAGGGAGGAGGCTCCCGCTCGAGAATTCCCTGAAGGTGAGAATGCGAGTTTGTATGGTGATGATGATGCTGATACTGATGCTGATGCTGATGATGATGATTGGTAGTGGTGAGTGACGGTGAGTGAGAGATGATGACGATGACGAGGATGATACTGATTGATCATGATGATGATTGATGAATGATGGTGATGGAGATGGTGATGATGATGATGATGATGATGATGATGATGCTGATGATGATGATGCCAGGGCGGAAAAGCGCTCCCAGGGTGACGAACCCTCCGCACTCGGGGGTTCCGCGCACCTAGGACCGCGGGCCCCATCCATTACAACAAGATCTGCGCTCGAATGGCCACGATCCCTGGTATCTCCCTCCTGGGACACATCCCAGGTTACAAATGGTCTGCGCCTCCAGGAGATCGCTCCGGCCCGGATTATACAGTGGGGGCGGGGGAAGTGCTGGCCGATGACCCAAGCGTTTGGCTTCGGGCAACCCCACGCATGCCCGCGCGCACCAGTACTGCGCCCCCCCCCCCCGGCGGACCTGTGCAACCGACAAGGTCAGATTATCCTGGAGGAGAAAGGAAGGGCAGGCGGGCGGGCGGGCCTGACGCCCCGGGCTACCGCGGGATGCCTGAAAACAAATCTCCAGCGCCGCGAGCCCTCACTGCGCCGGATACCCGCTTCCAGAACCACAATCCCTGATAACAAATGATACTGTGCCCGCGCTTTCCAACCTGTAGCTTTTCGGAGCTACAGCACGGCCCGCGCTCGATGGGCCACGATCGCTAGCAAGGTTGAAGAGTAGCGCTCCCATGGCCACGGCCTTTTGCAGAGTTCAGAAAGGTCAGCGCGCCAAAGGCCACAAATCTCCTGGTCATTTGGTCTGGCTCCCCGTTCCAGAGGACACGGTTCCGAGTAAATTGCACTGGCGCTGCGCTCCCAGAGAAAGGATGCAAAGTAGAACATTAGGACTCCGTGCCCCAAGAGCCATGCTCAGCACTTGAACTAGAAAGGGTCCACGTGCAGAAAGTTGCAATATTGTCTGCGGTGGGCCACAAGCATTCTGCAACCCGTAAAAAGAATCCGCGCTCGAGCGGCCGCTGGCCCTGGCAAGTTGCTCGGACTCCGCACTCCCGAAGCCCGCACTACAGAAGATCCACACTCTCGGGGCCATGGCCCGTTGCATTATCAGCAGTGTCCTCGATGCCAGAACCAACATCCCGTGTGCATTGCGAACAAATGCGTGCTCCCAAGGCAAGGGCGGGTAGCATTTCTGTACGGGAGAAACCTCTCCGCATGGTGGATGCGCGACCCAAGGGCCGACAAGAGGGCAACATGTGGGTACTACACTGGCGACCCGATAAGGTTCCAACAGTCTCCAGTCGGCTCCAGCAGGAAGCAAGAATGCCCAGATCTTGCGCTGAGTGGGAGCAAGGTAGACCGAACGGACCACCAAGGGATCCAATGAAGCTACCTGGAAGGGGAAGGCCCATTGCACGGCTCGAGGCTGCTTCGCGAGAGCCTCAATACCCTCCAGAAAGAGGGCAAGAGGGAACAGGAGGGGGACAACGACGACGACGGCCCTCGATGCCGGGGCCAAGGGGGCTTGCGACATCGGCCGAAGGCATTCAGATTATCAGAAAACAACCAGTCTGCAGCGCCTTACCGGTGGTGGATCTGAACTTGGCTATGTCCTTCTCCATCTTGGAGCCTGGTGCGAAACCCTTCGACAGGTTTTGCCAGAAAGCCTTGGTCGTGAGGTGCGGCATCTGGACCTCCTGGAAGAGGTCCATCTTGCAGTGGCAACGAAACAAGAACATCGCTACGAACCTGTGGTAATCCGTCCACCACGGCACCTTGGCCGCGTGCACCTCCCGCACGAGGAAGAGCTCGTGCACGCCAAGAACCGTATGCCACGGCACCCACTTCTCATTGCTGCCCAGATTCCTGAGGGCAAGCTTCTCGTACTCCGGCCAAACTTTTTTTGCTGCCGGATCCTTGCAGGTGTTCGTGAACGGAGGGGAGCAATCAACATGGGGCACAGAAGCATGCAGCTTCCGTGCACCTCTCGTGCACCTGTTGGGCCCGCGGTGCCAGTTTTGGTGGATTTGGGATCCCCTTTAGAGCCATTCTCCTGCAATCTTCGAGTCCCCCACTTGTATTGACTCCCCGCTGCCGCCCGCCCCGTCCTTGAGGTCGAAGTCCCGGTTCATGTGGTGCTTCGCCTCCATCTTCAGCGAGCACTGGCCGAAGGCGTAGAACAGCTCCACGTCCATGGCTGGCCCCCCGTCGCGCTGCCTGCCCGAGCCCTTCTTCACGGGGGTGGCGGCAGCCTTGATCTGCTTCTTCGAAGCCTCGTGGGACTTGGCCATCGGGGCCGAGGACCTTGCACAGGACTCCCTGGCGCGCTGCTGAGGCCAAGCCGAACCTGCTTGGACCAAATGCATTACAGTAGGAGCTCGACCACAAGAAACCTGCCACAAGAAACCCAGCTCTCAGACCCCAGGACGTCCTCTGACTTTTGGTGTGGGAACGTCACGCTGTGCATAGCAAAACCGTCGGAACCCAAGAAACCCAGAGCACCCTGGAGGCAAGCAGGGGTTTTCTTGGCATGGGCCCCCACTGCATGGGAACCTGGAGGTGCAAATAAGGTCGCAGTGATGTTGAAACATCCGCAGATACTTGCAGCACGAACGTGTTGGCAGGACTTCGACATGTGTGAGCGCCTCTGGACTTTGGCGTTTCTGTTGCAAGGGATGATGGAGAACTGGTGTGTTGAGATCGGCGACGAGATCGCGCGCGCATTGTATTTGACGGGGGTGGCGGCGGGGGGGCGATACTGGCCCTCCAGGGGTGGCATGAACTCACATGGAACGTGAAAGATGGGCCAGAAAAACCTTTGAACTGCAGTGCCCCAAAAGGGGAAATGAAGTGTGAGCTCGGGAGGGTGGTAGAGCCTATTGGCATTCTCAAGCAACAATCAAAAGTTTGCAAGCTACGTGGTGTAAGACATGTGACGCAAGCTATGTGGTGAAAGCTACGTGGTCAAAACTACGAGGTGTAGAACATGTGGTGCGAGGTGTGTGGTGCAAGGTATATGGTGTAAGCTATGGTGCAAGCTAAGTGGTATCAGGTATGCGATATAAGCTATGTGGTGAAAAGGTATGTGGTGCAGTCTATGTTGTGTGGGATGTGGTACAACGTATGTGCTGCAAGCTATGTGGTGCAGACGTTGATGTGAAAGTTGTGTGTGTGTTGCAGGCTATGTGATGTAAACTATGTGGTGCGAGATATGTGGGTGCCAACGGGCGTATGTATATAGGAACTGATAAACACATACCCAAACCATATATTTTGTGAGCTGGTATCGCTCTGCTCTTGTTTGCGTCCTAGCATGCCTTGCATGTTGCATGAAAGTGGTCTCGACCATCTAATCAGTTTCCCCGAGCCGAGCACCTGCCCTGCGACTGTGCGATGCACGTGCGTTGGACTTGTTTCGAGCTCGCCCTTAGCTTGCCCTCAGCTGATTATAACATACGTATAGGGTGCATTTCGCCGAATAGCCTCTATCATAATGTGCATCATGGCCTGACCTGGCATTATGCATACTATTAGCTCACGGCTAACATCATTACAGCGGGCAGTTCGCGTACCACCACTAGATCGTACTAATACTTTTCGGTTGGGTGCCCCTTGACTCTGGCCTTTCGCTTCCTGTTCCTGTGCATCTCAATGATTTCATGTTGTGAGCTGCATGCTTCGAAACCAGCTTGCTACCAGCGTGCCTGTATATTGTACCGGCGCCTACGGTTAGAAGACAGAGGCCCCCTAATCAGGGTCGGCTGGAATCAGAATGCGTCCCTCTCCAAAAGAAACGGTGGCAACTCACTTGATTGGACAAGCGCTCGGGCTCGAAAAGCCACAGCCCCAGGGAAAATTATCACGCCGCCCAGCAACGTTGACCGAAAGTAGAGATGCTCGTATGATGATGGTGCCCGATGGCTATGGTATACTGGGCACCCTGCTTGATGGGTTAACTTTACACCACTGCTACCATAGGCCAGACGGTAGGACGGGGGAGGCGGAAGGATGGGGAGGTCCTACACGTCCTCCTAATCCTCCTCCTCCTCCTTCTTCTCCTCCTTCTCCTCCTCCTCCTCCTCGTCCACCCCCCCTCCTCCTCCTCCTCCTCCGCCTCCTGCTCCTCCGCTTTCTCCTCCTCCTCCCTTTTTTGCTTATGGTGGTGGTGGTGGAGCCTCGGCCCATCGCTTCTGGTCGGCGTCGCAGGCCCTCTGGCTAAGAGGCGCGCCACTCGAAGGACCACCGCCCGAAGACACGTGCTGCGCGCTCTCGCCCACAAGGGGCTGATGTGTGTGTGTGTGTGTGTGTGTGTGTGTGTGCCAGGAGCGCGTGGTGGCGGGAAGCCCCGCGCCAGCCTTCGCGGGCCGCCCTCTCTCGACGGGGCCCCCCGGGGACGACAGCGACGATGCCAACGGCGACGGCAGGCCTCCACGGCCGGGCTCCCGACGCCGAGGCCTCTCGCGGGCGCGTCCTGGGCAGCCTGCCGCAGCGGATGCAGCCGTGGCGGCCAGGGCGCCCAAGGACGTCCCCACAGGAAGGCAAAGACAGCCAACCCGCATCAGAAGGATGCGCGGTAAGGACGCCAGGGGCGGATGCAAGTTCCCTGGAGGCTCATGCTGAAGCGTTTTTTTCCGGTCGAGGCTGGCCAGCGAAAGTCGCTAAAGATGGGCCGAAGGGGCAAGGGGGCAGGGGTACCCTTGAGAAGGTTGGCCATCTTTGCAATGCGGGCTGACTGTACGAATAGCTGTTGGGTCCTCCATTGGGGCACGTCCTGGTCAGAATTCCAAGGCGGATCTGGCCGTGGCAGCGAAGGCGTCCTGCAGGAGGCTCCAAGAAAAAACAGCACCGACTCCCCCCCAGACCTTTCGATCCCGAGGCTGGCGCAAGCGCCGAACGCCCCGCCAACGAGCCCCACGCCAGCCCTCGCCCCGGCGCCCCTCCTGACGATCTCTTCGTCGCCGACCCCGTCGCCGTTGCTGCTGCTGTCGCCGCGCCGTCGTCGTCAGCGCCGACGGCGTCGCCGTGAGGCGACGTCGGCATCGCCGCCGTCGGCGTCGCCGCGGTCGGCAGCGGCGGCCGCGGGGCGTCGACGGCGGGGCGCCTGGCGCCGAGCGTCCGTCGCGGCGGCCCCTGCCCGTTTTTCTCTACGAGAGCGATCTCGGAGCTCGGAGCCCCCCTCTGGGGCACGGGGTCCTGGGAGCGGTGGCCGCTGGAGGCGGGGCGCCGAGGAGCGGAGAAGGAGGGGGAGAGAGAGGAGGATGAGGAGGAAGAGGATGATGAAGATGACGCGTCCTTAAGAGACGGGGGTCCTCTATCCACAGAGCTCGGAAGGCAGCCTGACGCCAAAAGCGTCTGGCCAGACTGTACATGAATCACACCGCTTGTGAAGCCCAAGGAACTTGGAAGAAATTAAAGCACGTGCTGAGTGAAAGGCAAGGCCCCAGAAGGACTGGAAATTGAGATGTGAAGCGTACAACCTACACGACGTGTGAGCAGCAGAACCAAAGAGATGTGGGCCACGTGCGTATGAATAAAAGGAACAAACATAACTAGGCATCCTTTGCTCGCCGAACAACTTCGCAATCGCAATTTCGTAGACCACTCTTGCCGTCGATGGATACCTTCAAATCGCCATATTATTGCATGGACGTTCCTGTTGTCAAGGGGTGCACCCTGCCTCGCTTGCCGACAATATCCCGTGTCCACTTTTCCCCACAAACAATTGCAACAATGTCCCCAACACGGGCTGCATCATAACTCGTGACCCCCATTTGCTGAAGGAGAACCCACATCTGCTGAAGGAGAACCGACAGCTGCCGAAGCCAGTCTCCCATCTGCTGACGGAGATCCCACATTTGCTGAAGAAACTCCCTTGCCCACCTTTGCCAGGGAAACTTCCATTTTCACATCCGCTGAAGGAGAACCCACATCTGCTGCAGAAGGTCCCACGGCTGCTGAAGGGGAACGAACCCACATCTGCTGAAGAAGGTCCCGCATCTGCTGAAGGCAATCCCACATTTGCTGGTGATATACCAGCATCTGCTGAAGGAAGTCCCACGTCTGCTGAAGAGACTCCCGCTTTGATGAAGAACGTCCTATGCTCACATATGCTGAAGACGCTCCCACACCGACTGAAGAAAGTCCCACATCTGCTGAAAACGAGCCCACATCTGCTGAAGCCAGTCCCACATCTCCTGAAGAGAGTCCCACATATGTCGGAGAAACTCACGTGCCCGCCTCTACCGAAGGAGCTCTCATGCTCACATATGCAGAAAACGTTTCCACCGTTGCTGGAGAAAGTTCCACATCTGCTGAAGGAGAACCCATATGCGCTGAAGGAGAACCCACATTTGCTGAAGGAGAACCCACCTATGCTGTAGATAGTCCCACATATGCTGAAAGATAACCCACAAACGCTGAAGGATAACACACATCTGTTGAAGGAGAACCCACATATGCTAAAAAAGTTCCACATATACTGAAGGCAACCCCGCATTTGAAGAAAGAGGAGAGAACGACGTGCAATTGTCATGCTTTGCTAAGCAGTGGGAGGCGGAACCCGACGGCTCTGCACACCCCCCAGCCGTATAGCTCCGGCCCATACGGCGTGGAGAACCGTTTAAATAAGGGTACATATCTGATGAAGTATCCCACTTCACATTGCACGGGAATCGATCTGACGAAACCAGCTCCCATAACTATTTACATCCCATACTTTCCACGACGTTCTCCGGCCCACGACGTTCGACACGCGAACTGACTGAAGGAATATAGGGAGGAATGTGACAGTGAGACTCACCAAAATAATCAAGACAACCCAAATCAGGTACGTCGACGCCCGATGCAGAAAACTGCAAACAAGCGGACTGCGTACACACAACATATTGCAATCTACATTCAATGTTTGGCAAACGACAACCCAACGATGAAATAATGATACGTTCCGGCACATTACCATTTACGTACTTCGTGCTGGGACCTGAACACTGACCATTCAACAAATCCCAAACATATATACTCTCACACTTCGACCGGAGAATGTGTGTTCGCCTGTCCCGTAGACGTCGCTTCATCGACCTGCTTTGCGTGTTGTGGGTGACGAGATTGAGGCAGCGATTCTCCACCATCCCCCAGCGCGTTTGGGCAAGGGACTCCGCAAGAGGAAGGGGAGGCCATGGCGCGGAGGTCAAGATAATGTAATGTGTGCAGATGGCGTTAAAAGGACGCATTAGGCTGGGAGCATGACGCCTGGAGGAGGGGGAGAAGGAGGAGGAAGAGGCGAAGAGGGAGGAGGAGGGGGATGGGGAGGAAAAGGAGGAGGAAAAGGAGGAGGAGGAGGAGGAGGAGAAGAAAAGAGAACGCTGCGGGCTCGAATGAGCATGCAGAAAGTACGGTCAACGTCAAAAGGGGAGGGAGGAGGAGGAGGCGGAGGTGGAGGTGGAGCAGGGGGATAATGAGGAGGAAGAAGAGGAGGAGAAGGAGGAGGAGGAGGAGGGGGATAATGAGGAGGAGGAGGAGGAGGAGGAGGAGGAGGAGGAGGTGGTGGTGGTGGTGCTCAGTTGGGGGCCATCAGTCTGTCGTGTTGCAGCTGAGCGGAGGCCCCTCCGTTAAATATGGAGGCTGGGCCGCCTGCGTGAGCAGCAGGCCGCCACGGCATGAGGCGACGCGGCGGTGCTATGACCGCGCGCGATGCCCCGTCGGCGAGGAAGATCCCGCGGGGGATATGAAGAAGTGGAGGGCGGCGACAAAGCCTCGAGGCTATCCCTAGCTGGCTAGGGGATGCCCTGGGGCTGAGCCTCCTCCCCCCTATAATACGTTATCGGGAGCGGCGCCTGCTGCCTCTCTGGGAGGCGCGCCGTTGCCGCCAGGGGCGGCATCATTTCTAAGATTGCCAAATTGAAGCATATTGTGCAGTGCGCTGCGATACTCTCTTACCTGCTGCAATAGCCTACTTGCATGCTCACTGCCACCTGCCACCATGCTACGGAACATCTTCTGTCGTCTCGGATCATGTGCGATGTCGACCACCACTTGTCCGTACCTGCGTCTTAGGTCCTCTTCAGCGTTCCCTGCTTGATCAGCTGCTTCAGCTGTGCCTCTACCACCCTCTCCAGCTCTGTCTTTGGCCCCGCCCCCATCGGCATCACCCCTTTCTGCAGGAACCACGCATGATTCAGCGCTTCTCGAAGGAGCGCTGGTTGAAATTGGCGTACCTGTGATATGACCTCCGCCGACGCCTCCGACAGCCGCAGCGCCGTCTTGAAGTCCACCAGCGGCCTGATGCCGAACATGACCTTGTACATCTCCTCCAAGTCCGACTCGCGCTGGTAGGCCTTCTTGATCCTGAACATGCTGAACGTCGCGTCCACGAGCCTTTGCCCGTGCTCGCCGCTGGCCGCGCCGACCCACTCCTGGAGCAGGTGCTTGCTCTCCGCCTGCCACTTGTCCTGCTCGTCGAGAATCTCCACCGCCTTCTCGACCACCGCCATTGCGATGTGCACGTGTGGCGGCCCCTGTCCGTGGCCCTTCCCTATCTTCTTCACCGTGTTGTTGTAATCTTGGCCTGCGTCGGCCCCTGCTGTGACCATGGCCGACGACCCTGGGACCAGCCAAAAGTCGAATATCCCGTTCATCATGTCGCGGTTCTCCTGGCTGTTGCGCAGCACCAGCTTCTGCGCGGTGACCAGGGCCTCCCTGATGTCCGTGCTCTCGCCGCCCTTCGTCTTGCCGCCTTTTCCGCGAGCTCCCCCCTCTTGACGCGCCTCCTTCTTGTCCCGTTCTTGGCCAAGCTCTCCTCCTGGCGGCGCCCTCTTCACTCTCCACGCCATCCTCGTCCCGGCTGCCTCTATCAGCAGCCTCTACCACCGAGTGTGGTCCTGGCAAATGTTGTCGGACGTGCTCCTGAAAGCTCTCGAAGTTTTGAGCCGAGAAGGCACATGCACGGCAACTCAAATCATCAGGGACCTGCAAATCGTGGCCCCACTTTGAGCGATCGACGAAGCACTTGCCAAACCTCAATGCGGCCCTGCGCCCATGGTCCAAGGCACCTGCTCTATTCACGAAACAGCTTCTGCACCAAGGGCACTGGTTTGTGATGATAATCTTACTCAATAGAGGTGTCACTCCGTGCGCCTCACGACGATGGGCAATAAGGCCTGTTGCGCTCGAAAGCCTTTTGCCACAGGTCGTTTTTTCTCCTCCCTCCTCCTCCTTCGTGTGATCACGCCAGTAGGGTTTATGGTACTCCTCCATCGCCTGCTCCTCCTCCTCCTCCAGTTCAGGCGACACCTCCCCGTGCCTCTCAACGGCATTCAAGTACGACGGGTCCGTTTTCAAAAACCTGTCGTTCTCTGGGCTCCCTCGTTTCAATAAGCTGATATCGTCGCTTCTCGCATGGCACCACTCGGCGAACTCGGGGTCGACGGATGCCAAATGATCGAGGTCGGTCACGAATTGTTTAGCCCAAGGGGTCGACTCGCTGTGAACTCTGAAATCAGCAGATAATCTGGGGACCTGGTCCATCCAAGCTGTGCCGAACACCGCAGCTACCACCGCCTGATGATCATCTGGATACTTCGCCCAGCGGAGGTAGTTTCGAATCCTTCGAACTCTCAACTGCGTTGCACATCGGGGGATCTGCCATGCTCTGAAAACGTACTTAGTAGACCTGCACCGCCTTTCCCCCTCCTCCGTCACCCAGCTCATCTCTCCTTTAGATAGCACCATCAAAAACTTCCCCAAGGTCTGGTCTAAGATGCTGACAAACTTATCGGGGATGACGAAGGCCGATAAACCACTAAGAGCAGCTTCCACTACGAAAGCCTGAAACATCGCACGTCAAATGCATTTGGCTGTGGAGGGCGTCCAGAAGCACCCGCATTGTCGCCAGGCCTGTCGGGCAGCTTGACTTCTCCTGAGTACCTCGCTCAACATGCCCTGCTCGCTCGGCAAGTGCGGACCTAATACACGCATCTCTCGTAGAGCTTGACCTTTTAGTTCTTTACTGCGTCTCAAGCGGCGTGTTGTCTGATAGTGTCGAGCCCCCCGTAAATCGAGAAGATGGTTGGTTTTGCTAGGGTTGAGCGTCCACTGCCCTTTGGCCAGGCAACCTTCCAACCTAGACGTGCTACTGTTCAGGATCTCTGTGACCTTAGCCGCCGTTGCCCCCTCCTCAATGACAGTGCTCTTCGTGATGTCGTCCATAAACACACTCAGTTGGGTATCGATAGGGGGTAGGTCAGGGTGACGAGGATCTGAAGTAAAGAACCATATGTGCTCTCCGTGTGCTCTCTCTCCCATCCCCCACTCCTCCACCTCCTTGTTGTAGGTGTTGATAAAATCTCTAGGAGCTGTAGTAAATCCCACCTGAGTACCTGTAGTGGACCTTATGTCTAGTGTACCGTCTGACGTCTCCATAGTCATCGTCTGCTGTCGCACCGTCGCAATAGCAAATGGGACGTCCTCGGGGCATGCATGTTCTTCAGTTTGGATCTCAAGACGTTCTCTTTCTGTCGCTGCGAAAGCGTTGGTACAATCGTAGCTGCTCACGATGAGACTTTTCTTATTGCACTCCGCCCTCCACTTATTACACATGATGATGGTGATGATGCTCTCTCTGCTTCTGTGTGCTACCCCCCCCCCCTGTGCCCATGTAGGCGTCCATACCTTCTGAGCTCGATGAGGGATCCCCGAGTGCCAGGCCATGGAGAAGGCATCGTAGCAGTGCATGATGCGCTTGCCACTTATGTTGTTTTTTGCCATTTGCCTTGTCACTCGAGAAGCTCAGGGACCTGCAGCTGCAAAGTGGCATAGCTTGACATCGACGGATGTGTGCTAAATAATCCTGCAGCACCTTCTCAAACGCGTACGTTTCGGCGCACAACTCCGCACTCCCCAATCCTGCCCTTTCCTCCCGAAGGAACTGCCACAAGTCTCCCACCGGCGGCGCCTCTGGCGGTCGAGCGGCGCCGTCAGGTCCAAGCGCCCCGAGCCCCTCTCCCCTTGTCCACCCCATCTTTTCCAGCAGCCTCCTGCCCACTCGATAAGAAAACTCCGAGGTAAATTTCTCCATCCCCTCCTCCTCCATTTTTTCAGCATGTCTAATCTGGCTTTGTTCATTCATCTCGCTCAGCTTATTCGGAGACTCCACGTTGACATTCGGCTGCAAGAGTAGCCAGACTGCTTCTGTGGGAAGGCCCCAGCTGGGATAAGCACGTCTTTTTGCCGCTCGGCGGCAATATCTGAGCATCGATCCTCGGTCTTTCTGTACTAAATGGAGAAGGTCAGCATCGACATAAGCAAGCTCGTAATCTTCACAGTCAAACATATAGTGACTGAGCTCGTCGTTCAAGTTTATAGCTACACCTGCCAATCCTCCATCCTTTGCCGCCTTCCCCAACTCCTCCTCCCATGTTCTGTTGTTCCAGCCTGTTCTGGGACTGTAGTAATACTGACGCTTGGGCCCCCTCCCGTTGCCCTGGTAGAGCACTCTCAACTTGTGCATGTCCGAATAGCGTTGCTCCACATATGCGTTCCAAATTTGGCCTGCTAGATCCGCTCGCTTCCGAAGGAGGTACTGCTTTCTGATCTGTTTCATGCAAGCTGTTATTTCCTGAAGATCCTCGCAGACGTCCAAAAACTCCCCCTCCCCCTTGCAGTCCACCATCTGTTCCCTCAGCTCCCTCCTCCTGCCCAACATGTGCATGCGGTACGCGCGCATGTGCTCGTACATGTTGTCTACGTACAGGGGCTGCTCTGGGAACGTGTCTAGTAGAGCCTGTCGCACACACAGGCCGAAGATGCCCCAATATGCATCTGGAGATTTTTGCAGAAGAGCTTTTTGAAAAGAGTCTTCTCCTACTTCCGATAAGTTCTTGTCAACATTCTCGAAGAAGTCTCTCCGCTTGTAGCCTCTAGTCAAGCATCTCATAAGGGCACTGCGGTCTGGGCGTTCCTCTTTCTGTCTCTTACTTCGATGATGGAAAAGACTGACGTCCAAGTCGAGTCCAACAGGTACGTGATCTCGATGGCCACGTGCTTTAATCGTCTGCAACCTTTTTCCAGCTGTCGTAAGTGCTGCGCACGATCGTAGCTGGTGTCTTGCATTGACTGGGAACGCTATGTGATCGATACGGCTTTGTCCACCAGTGGGGCCGAAGAAAGTGTCATTAACTCTACTGCTGGCCGATGCAATGAATAACTGGTTGCGCTCGCAAAACTCTCTAAACTCGAGACCGTGCTGGTTATCAAGTTTCTGTCGATGGCCTCCTATGCTGATGCTCTTCGTAGTGTGAACGCTGCCGTCGCGGTCCCGAGAGAGACCGACATCCGAGTTGACGTCACCACCTACGATGATGTTGGTTCTTACGCCCAGCTTGTCTATCTGGTCATCCAGCCACTTAGTTATTTTACGAGCTATCTCCCCATGTCGTTGCACCGAGGTGGGAGCAAAATATACACCGAACGTCGCCGTGTCGATCTGTGCAGTCTGCATTCGAATGCCTCCTACTCTACCTTGAAGTTCCGAGGGGGGTCTCATCACCGTATGAAGGGATTGCGTGGGCAAGTTGCTTTTGACAAGAAAACTGACCCCTCACGCCGTGCTCGTCAACCTGCCCTTTTTATAACCAAGCTGCACTCCCCAGTGATGTCCAAAATGGTGCTGTTGAGCTGGCTGGTCTTCAAGGGCACGATTGCTAGTACCAGTGAGGATGATGACTTCCCAGTCCTTTTAATGCTGTACTGATGTCAATGATCCTATCGTGGTACGCGGCGTGCATGGGGTTGTAGGTGGCTACGCGCATGGTGTTGTTCGTGCCGCTCACCACGCTGTGCTACACCCGCGCGCGCCACACATGCCTCGCCTCCCCTCCCCGCGGCCCCCTGCCCTGCTGCGGCCCCGCGTCTGGACGCGGTAGCACGTCGGGCTCGCCTCGCGCGCCGAAATCCCTCCCCGCGCTGCGAAACGGCGGCTGAGGAGGAGGAGGAGGAGGAGGAGGAGGAGGAGGAGGAGGAGGAGGAGGAGGAGGAGGAGGAGGAGGAGGGAGGACGAGGAGGGGGAGGAGCAGGAGGGGAGGAGGAGGAGAGCAGGAGGCGGGGAAGGTGGGGAGGGGGGTGGGTGCGGAAAGAGCAAAATGCGGAGGGGGGGGAGCGGCTGCGACGGAGAGGTGTCGTGCAACGGGCGCGCCCCGAGGCCGGCCGCCGCCCTCTCGCCCGCGGCCCTACCGCTGCCGGCGCCTGCGGGCGCCGGGCCCGGGCCGCGCGGCGGCACCCGGAGCCTGCAGGCGCGGCGGGGCGGGGAGAGGGGGGGGGCGCGGCGCCCGGCTGGCGCTCGGCGCCGCGCGGTGTGCAGCGGCCACGGCAGAGGAGGTTTCGGCACCCGTGGGCGGCCCGTGCGCCCGGAGGGCGCACAGGCTGGCGCTGCGCGGACGGTGCCTGGCGCTCCGCGGGGCCCTGGGGCCCCAGGCCGCCTGCCCGAGAAACACTTCGCGGCAGGGGGGCGGGGCGCAACGCCTGAACTGCTGGGGTGAACGTGATGGCAGGCCCGCGGCAATCCTTGGAGCGATCCGAGCGGTGGCGCCGCAGGGTAGACATGCTCCCCCGCAACGGGTGCCAGGTTGTTGTATGAAGCCCCCCGCAATTGCGGATAAGAGTGAGGGGGCGGCGGGGACATCGGTAGTCTGCAAGGCTCTGAATGAGCCCGCCGCAGGCGGGATTTCAGAAATGGTAACAACGAACTCGCCGCAGGCGCCGATTTGCTCGTTAAAACAATGCGGGTGGGTCGCGAGGTGGGCTGCGGGTGGGTCGCGGGTGAGTCGCAGGTAGGTCGCAGGCGGGTCGCGGGCTAGATCGCGGGTGGGTCGCGGGTGGGTCGCAGGTGGGTCGCGGGTAGGTCGCGGGCGTGTTGCGGGCGGGGTTGCGGGTGGTCGCGGGTGGGTCGTGGGCGGGGTCGCAGGTGGCTCGCGGGTGGGTCGCGGGTGGGTCGCGGGCCGGGTCGCGGGGGGGCCGGGGACAAACAACATACGACAAACAACAACCAACGAAAACACCCCCAGCAACCCCACCACCACCAACAACAACACCAACAACACCAACAATAATTCGCACCGCAGAACCTCAGTTCAGCCACGCGCCCAGGGACAGTGAATAACCGTTCGGCTCCCTCACTCTGATATGCCTCCCTAAGAAGAAGAGCGGTGACGGAGAGGGAAGGAAGATAGGGGAGGCAAGGTAAGAGCGCTAGCACCATATCTGGCATCCTACCCCTCCCATTCATCCTTTCCCGTGCTCTGACTGTTTGACTGTCCGCTGACAGGTGTCATGGCGGACCTGGAACCCCAAGAGGGACACCATCGTGTTCTGCGCAATAAGGTGAATCGCAGCACGAGCAGGAGGGCAGGAGCAGGAGGAGCGTGAGGTGCAGGAGAACCAAGGGGAGGCGGAAGAGGGGAACGGAACGGGCGATAACGATGAGGAGGGACCCAGATCCAGAAATATGGCCCGTGCTGGGGCGAGAGGCCATGTCGAACGACGGAAGCTAACCGATGATCCTGATACGAAGCCAACGCTCGAACGGGAGCACCATGTCGAAACTGCGAGAAGGATCCTGTTGAAGAAATGGTTGAAACCTTGCGTGTTTGAAATGACTGGAACAAATATTTCGTGCTTGGCCAGGAGCAAGACACACAGTGCGGGATATCTCCAGCACGTACTCGGGGGAGAGAGGAGAGTGACAAGTAACACTCATATTGAGCAACTGCGGGGGGGGGGGGGGGGGGGCGGAGGTGGAGGGGGGGGGGGAGGTGGAGGAGAGGAGCACTGGGGACGCGAAGGGGCGCCAATTCGAGACGGGGGGGGCGCCAGCACGGAAGTCGGCGCCCAGACCGAGGGAGGCGACAAAACAGGGAGGAGAGAAGAGGGGGGGACGGCACGCTGGGTGCGCCCGCGCCAACTCTGACATCCCACCGTTCCCACCCATCCAATCGTCCTGCCTTCAATCCGCCGAGTGGGGCGTCCTAGAGGGCATGGCGTTGTTTCACCGTTGATGTTGCCATGGCCCAAATGATGTGGCAGAGTTCCCAGTAGGCTCCCAAAAAAGCCCCCAAGAGGCTCCCAGAAGGCCCCCATGAAACCCCAGGGAGGCCCCAAAGAAGGCCTCAGGAGGCCTCCTCTTCTCCCTCCTCCTCCAACTCCTCGTCGTCCTCCTTTTGCTGCCTCTCCTCCTTTCCGTTCCTCCTACAGTGTCCCCTTTCCACGGGACTCCACAACTGCTGGGGGAACACATCGTTCAATACCTTGGCCAGACGTCGGCCCAACGTTTGGCCGCATGGGCGTTTCGAAAAGGAAGGGTGCGGGGGTGATTCGCCGCAGGTGTCTCCGGTACATTCACACACACACACGCACGTAATACACACATCTGTATATATATATATATATATATATATATATATATGTGTGTGTGCATCTTATACACTTCGCTGCAATTCGGCATGACAGGTGACAGCTTGTCACATACGGGGAAGGGTACTCCGCGATCCAAAAGCTGACCGAGGGGGAGGAAACGGCATAACCAAAGGAACAAGGGAGCGGCCAGGACTCCCTCCTCGCATTGCCCCATCCCCCCCCCTCCCAGATCGTTCATGTGCCGTCGTGCCCGACTTGAGGGAGGCGGCCGACGAGGCCCCGGCAGACCCGCGCAACATTGCAGCTTTCGCTCGCGCGTCTCGAACCCCAATCCACTCCTTATCTATATGTAGGTCGGGCATGTCCCCCGACAGGCAGTTGGTGGACGAGAAATGGAACATGCCCCAAACACGAAGAATACCACAAAAAAACCAGACTATATTTAACTTATGTTTGACAATTCCTCCTGTAGAGGGACGCGCCCGACTTAAATCCACCTGCGCGGTAGAAGACTGCGTTGACACGCGCTCTCTTGTCGCGACCGCACCCTGGGGACAGGAGGCCGTCATGAGGGAACAGACTCAGGTCCAGGTATTGCAGCCCCAGGCCCATGTGCCGCCTGCATGTGGTCGTCGCGTTGCTCGTGTCTCTTATGGCCCTCCTTCCTCCGTCCGTTTCCTTTGACATGTGTATGCGTGTGCCACTCGCACCTAGGACATCGAGGTCAGAGCGTCCGAGTAAGACTAGAAGGGCGCTCGAGAGTGGTCTACCAGGGCCAGTTTAGCCCTGCGAATAGCATAGTAGAAGCGGCCCCTGACAACCTCGGAATCGAGAGGGCCAGGTTCGGGAGCCGCGCGCACAACATTGTACATGTGATAAGCACGTACAATCCGCCCTACCCCTTTCAGGAGACGGCGCCCCAGAGAGGCCAATGCGAGGGGCTATGCACGCAGGGTGCTCGGCAGGATGGCACGCAAGGCCCCGCAAAACTGGACGACGGACGCAATGAGACATGCCATCACGGCAGTCAGCGCAAAATAATCTACAGCCTCGAACCTCGAAGCGATGTAGACGTGCACTCGTGAGCCAGGCCCCGCCTACTTCTTTTTGGTTTTGTTTTAGGGCCGCGCTTTGCCGCGAGGGCGGGCCAGCGCCCTTAACGAGGCACCTGGGGGGGGGGGGGGGGGGGGGCAGCTCTGGGCATCAAAGGCAACATTCCAGGAGGCGACTTGTTTCGAAATCGTGCACTGTAGGAAACCGGGGAAGAGTGACGCGCGGAGGGAGGGGGAGAGAAGCCTCTGGACACGCACCCTCTCTGGCCCAGTCTGGTCCTCGAGGGCTGCGAGGGCGCAGGCGGCAGCCTCAGAGAGCTCACGGGTGCCGAACTGGCCGAGCGAGGCTGCCTCCGCGTGCGCGACGAGCGGCGTCGAGCGCCAGAAGGGCGGCGAGAGGCGTCCGCCCCCGACCACCGCCAGGGTGCCACGCTCCTCGACCATCGCCTCGAGCGTGGCCAGGAGCTGCTTCCAGGCCGCGGGGGTCGAGAGCGCCGCCCGCATGCGCGACGCCATGCTGAGCGCCATCATACTGCTCGGGCGCAGCGCTGACAACGACGCAGGGCCCATGATGGCGCGCTTCGGGAACGACTGAGGTGGGAGGTGCCAGACTTCGCGCCGCGCCCATGCCTCTCTTCGGCGCAGCGAGGGCGGCACTGGCGCAAGCTGCATGATGTGGCCCAGCACTGACAGCACGCTCGAATTATAGATGACGGTGGAGATGCGCACTGGGGCCCCGACACGAGCAAGTTCACGGACTCGGTGGATCCATTTGGCCCCGGGCTTCTGCCGCAGGATGTCTGGAGTGGCCCCTGGCCCCAGAGTGACCCCGAGGTACTCGGCGAAGGGCGCGATGTCCATGGTGCGCCAGGAAGGCCGCGCATCCGCGAGCCAGCGGCAAGTGGCGTCAGCGAAATCAGGGAAGCAGTGGCCGCTGAGGGGGATGACCTTGCACGTGCGGAGATTCAGGGCGAGCTCCGCAAGGACCTCGGCCGCTCTGAAGACGCGCCTGAGTCGCTGCAAAATTCGGCAATCCTCCACGACGACCCCCGCGCCGTCCGCGCAGACTCCCAGCGCAGAGGAGGCAGAGGAGCCGATGATGGACTCCATGTGCAGCACGGGCGGGTTCATGGCGACGGCCAACAGCTTGACGCTCAGCGGGCATCCCTGGGCGACGCCAGCGATGACGCGCACGAAGTGGGCGAGGGCACCCCCGACGGCGACGAAGGCCGCAGACAGCCAGCACATGCCCATGCTGAGCTGGTAGAGCCCCCCATCGAAGCCAGCGTGCAGAAGGGCGGCCTGGAGAAACGAAACCGCGAGCGACGGGAGAGCGCCCCCGAAGTCGAAGAGGACCATGAGTGGCTGCATGGCGTCAGTGCTCGGAGAGGCAGACGATGCGGGCGTAGGTGTCTAGCGCCGTGATAGTGTCCAGGAAGTTGCGGCCAGGGAGGAATCCTCGCTGCGCCGCCGGCGAGGAATGCTCGATCGGGAATGTCATCTGGTTGTTGCAGCTGGCGGCGAGCAGCTTCACGTCGCTGCTCTTGAGCGCCAGCGGCCGAATTGTCGCAGAAGCACGGGTGGGGCCCAGGGCGAGGCCCGCCTCCTCCGCGCCCTTCGGCAGGAAGGCCATGGGGTGGTCGTCGAGGTCCATCGGCGGCGGGAGACCCTGGGCGATCTCGACCCCCACGGCAGACAGGTCCTCCAACGGTCTCGAGCAGCCGCATCTGCTCCATGCGCCACATGGCAGGCCGTCTGGTCCAGGCGCAGACGGTCGCGCGCGCTCGGCAACTCGATGAAGATCATGGGCGTCAGGAAGACGGGCGTCTTGGAGCCCAGCAGTGGGAACTTGAGGTTCACTGAGGTATGGCTCGGGAAGCGAAGGCTGCTCATCGTGCAGACGTTGGAAGACGGGGGCCCAGTGGGAGCGGAGCTCACGCAAAATGTCTGACTGGGCGTTGACCACTCGATCCTCCCCATCAGCCCTGGAAGACGGGGCCCCTGAAGCTTGAGAGCACGTGCGAGCGGAGACCACAACGCTGCACGGCGACGCAAGGAGCGACGCATCGCGTTGAAGTGCCGAAATGAGTTTCCGTCAGGAGGAAGGGCACGAGCACGCTGATCCAGCTGAGCGTCGCGTCGATCACTGCACGCTCGCTGCGTGGCGGCGAAGTCGGTCTCGAACGCGGTCGCAACCCGCGAGTAGACGATGTCCTGGAGCCCCGCGCTGCGGTGCTCGATGAGCAGGTGGGAGGCTGCGAGCTGGGAGGTGGCCACGAGCCTCTCCGCCAAGAGGACATCATCGCGCCACGCGGCCCTCGCGATGGAGCGGAAGAGGAGCAGCTTGGCGTCGCGCTCGTGAGAGTGCGCCTTGAAAACACGGTCGCGAACACGCCTAGCCTCCTCCTTCATGAGACGCTTGCGGTCGCTCCTGCGCTGGTAAATGGTGAGAGAGTCCCAGTTGACGTGCTTGGCCAGCAGCGCGCACTGCACGGGGCACTCGGGGCTCCTGAAGATGTGCCGACGAACAGGTTGGTCATCGACGCGGAGGGGAGGTCGCGCGGCGATCGCGATGACCAGCGGGGCATGGTCGCCGAGGCTCTGCTCGTGGAGGCGCTCAGGGAAGTCTCGAGTGCCGGCCGTGATGTGCCATGGGATGGCGAGCCAGCTGGGCGTCGCGAAGAACGCCCTGTCGATCTGAGTGTGATTTGGCAGGGGGGCCCCCTGGATGCTGATGCGAGTCGGGAGGCCTCATGGGTGCTGAAATGAGATCGACCAGCTCGTTGAAAAAGGGCCTACCAGCGATGTCCCAGCGGGCGCGGAGCAGCACGCAGTTGGACGAGGCCCCCGTTGAGAAGAGGGGTGTGCGCGAGAAGCGGTGGAGCCGAGAAGGTATTGCAATCCCCGAGGAGAAGCAGGGCGACCTACTGCGGGGCGGAGCTCGCGATGGCCAGGTCTCTGTGGAAACGGACGGTGGCCAGGTTCATGTCCTCCGCGCTGAGCCCGGAGCTGCGGGCGTTATAGATGACAAGCGAGGGGGCAGGCGCGGTGGGGGACGGCTGCGAACCGGAGACAAGGAGACGCTGAGCGCGGCCCGCGACGAGGATCTGGCGCGAGAAGCGGCAGGCGCCCTCGTGGGCGAAGAGGCCAGGGAGGAGAATGGCGGCGCCTCCAGTGTCTCGCCTGTCCCCGCAGTTAGTGAAGGCAGGCGCCTGGAGATGATGGCGATGCAGTTCCAGGTGGAGCTCGATCTCGGTGACGTGGAACTACTGGAGGCACATGGAGGTCTGCTGCCTGATGCATGAAGAGATGTAGGCAAACTTCCGACCACGAACGGGCATATTGCGTTGACGGAGCGCTCGTGCGTTCCAGGATCCGAAGGCGACGCGGTCACGGTGTTCAGATGGTGCCCGCCAAGTGGGCAAAGCGATTGTTAAATAGACCAGTGAATGCGATCAACCCCTCCGAAGATCTCGCCGAAAGCCCGATTGATACTGTCTTTGCCCAGCTGGGCGTCAGATACAATGGTGGGGTCCTCCGCCGTCGAGCCGACCACAACCTTGATGACGGGCTTGTTGCCGTCGCTGACGATGCCTGCGCGGCGGTTGGCACGCCAGCGACCCGCCGCCCCAGAGCTGCGGACCAGCTCGAGCAGGCGCTTGGACCGATGAAAATGCTGACGTCGTTGCCATCGACCGACTGCGCCGAAAATCGCCTCCAAGCGCTGTCCGTCCTGAGCTTCCTGAAGGCAGCCGCGACCCTGCGAGCTGCGAGGCCGTCGGCGCCGCGCATGCGGATGAGGAGCGCCTGCCAGGCGAGGGGCCCTCGATGGACCACAGCGACTCGTCCAGCTCGGCGTCCGTGAGCCACGGGCGGACGCTGGCAAGGACAGCCTCGTGGGTGACCGCCTCCTTCGCCGAGACCACGAAGACGGACTTGTCGACGTCTCTGGCCCAGTCCGCGATGTCCCCGATGTTCTGGGTCGGCGGGGCGGCTTCGCACACGGCCAGTCTTCCCCAGCACGGCGAGCTGGTCGCGCATCTCGCTGTGCTCCCTGGGGAGCTTGGAAGCGGACTTGCCGAGGTCCCTGAGGTGGCTGTCAATCTGCGCATTCTTGGCCTCCTGGCGCTCTCCGAAGAGCCGCAGCGCGCTGGTGGTGCTGTTGGTGATGGAGAGCGGTCTCGTCCCGCAAGGCGCCGAGGATGGCCTCCAGCTCCAAATGCATGACGGGGGCGTCTGGCCCACGAGTTCCGGCACCCTCGAAACGGCCACGCGACCGAGGGGCCCGAGGGCCAGGGCCGCAGCGCGGGGCCGCAGGCTGCGAGGCCACAGGAGTAGCGGTGCAGTCATTGCCAACCCGCCTCTGCCAAGGGTCGGCGCCGCTCTGGAAAAGGGTCGTCAGCGCCTGCGCTCCTGCTGCGGTCGTCGTGTTCCCCATGAGGGCTGCCACGACGCCGAGAGCCACCAGCGCCAGGAGCCTTGCCATGTCGACGCGGTTGAGAAGCAGCCCCATCTGGCATTCCCCCCGCAGGAACGAATCGCGAGGGGAACGTGGCGATGGCGAAGGGCGCGAGGGATGATACCTCAATGCAACGCTGTGGCGGTGAAGATGTTGTGTGCCAAAAGACGAATCCTGATCACCGCGGGGTCGCTCAGAACTGTGGACAATGTGGGCCGCGACTCCCACGCGCAAGCCTGAGCGAAACACTACGGAGTTGAGCCAAAATGGCTACGGGCAATGAGATGTATATTATATATACATATATATATATATATATATATATATATATATATATAGAGTACATATACACATGGAGAGAGAGAGACAGGAAAGAGAGAACGAGAGAGAGAGAGAGAGCGAGAGAGAATCAACACCTAAAAAGAAAGCGGGAGGAAGCAACGGCGGAGCCCTCGGGTGGAGGACCAATGGCGAGGTCGAGGGGGAGAGCGCAGCGCGGAGCGCAACCCAGAGAGTCACTGCTGACAGATCCTCCTCGACGGATTGCGCACTGCAACTTGCACACTGTACTGGGACCAAACCCAGCGACAGCGCAGCCCTCCCTCCTCACCCGTGGCGTTGGCAGAGTGAGAAGGGGATGGCGGGAGTGAGAAAGAGAGAGAGAGAGAGAAACAGAGAGAGCAGGAGACAGAGAGAGAGATACACAGAGGGAGGTTATATAGAACGCGAGAGAGCGAGAGAGAGCGAGGGAGAGAGCAGGAACAATAAGGCGATGCGAATGTATGCAGAAAGAGGGGGGCGATATGCATAAGAACCCGTAAAGCGAATCCACTCGCATCGACGCAGGTGTGGCAAACAAAGATCAAGACGCCGAGACGGGAGGAGGCAAGTGTACACATACCAACATCTTATACACATCCATACCCATATTTATGTGTAGATGAATCTACATAAATAGACACATGTATGCACATATATATATATATATGTATATATACACACATCAATCAGGGGGCCGAACGGTCATTCATTGTCCCTGGGTGCGTGGCTGAATGGAGAATTCGTGGTGCGGTTTATGCTTGTTGCGTTGTTGCTGTTGTCGTTGTTGTTGTTGCTGTTGTTGTTGTTTGTTGTTGTCGTCGTCCCACCCGCGACCCACCCTGCGACCCACCCCGCGACCCAACCCGCGACCCCACCCGCGACCCACTCGCGACCCCACCCGCGACCCAACCCGCGACCCACTCGCGACCCACCCGCGAACCACCCCGCGACCCATCCGCGACCGACCCCGCGACCCACCCTCAAGAGAGGTAAAAACACCCAGTCCCGACAATTGACGTTCACTAAACGGTCCTGGGCGTTTACTAAATAGCCCTGCCTTGCTCGATTCATTCCTTGCGTCCGTTTCCGAAACGGCTCCGCTTGTCAGGGTGCTTATTATGGGGTGGATTGTCTGCCCTCTACACCCGCGACCCACCTGCGACCCACCCGCGACCCACCCGCGACCCACCACCGACCTACCCACATTGGTTTAACGAATAAATCGGCGCCTGCGGAGGGCTCGTTGTATGATTTGTGCAACTTTGGCGCCAGCGGCGGGCTTCTCCAGAGTCTCGCAAACTGCCGACGTCCCCTGCCCCCTCACTCTTATCCGCATCCGCGGGGTGCTACGCATACGTATCTGTGCGGATGCGGGCGAGGGAGATAGGGAGAGAGAAAAAGAGAAATAGTATATCATAAAGAGAGAGGGGAATCGCGAGAGAGGGAGAGGAAAGGGTAGCCGGAGCAGCAGCAGCAGCAGCGGCAGCACGCCGAGCGGAGTGGGAGAGCAGGAGGGAGAACGACGCCACGAGGAGGGCGAGGCGGGCGCGGGGGCGGCGGGTAAGCAACGAGGGGCGAAGATGAGCCCCCCGAAGGGGCTGGCCGCAGCGACGAGGGGCGCGCGGCCGACCGCCCCCGGCCTGCGCGAAGAGGTTCGGCCCCGCGGGTGCCGCGGGCGCCGCCCCGAAGGAGCTGGGGCCGCCCTGCCGGGCGGGGCGTCGCCGGAGCGGGGGCGATGGGGCCTCCTCCCGCCTCCTGCTCCTCCCGCCTCCTGTTCCCTGCTCCTGCCTTCCTGCTCCTCCTCCTCCTCCTGCCCTACCTGCTTCTGCTCCTGCTCCTGCTCCAGCTCCTCCTGCGGCTCCTCCTTAGCCCTCCTCCTCCTCCTCCTGCTCCTCCTCCTCCTCCTCTTTCTCCTCCTCCTCCTCCTCCTCCTCCTCTTTCTCCTCCTCCTCCTCCTCCTCCTCCTCCTGCCCTCCTGCTGCCGCCCTCCTGCTCCTGCTCCTGCTCCTTCTCCTGCTCCTGCTCCTCCTCCTCCTCCTCTCGTCCTCCTCCTCCTCCTCCTGCCCTCCTCCACCTTAGCCCCCCTGCTCCCTCCTGCTCCTGCCTCCCGTCCCTCTCCTGCCCCTGCTCCTCCTCCTCCTGTCCCCCCTAGCCCTCCGCCTCCTCCTCCTCCACCTCCTCCTCCTCCTCCACCTCATCCTCCCCCTCCTCCGCCCCCTCCTCCTCCAAGAGGCATCCTTCAAAGACCGGAAGGACATCAATCCTCAAAAGCTGCATGGTTGACTCTCGCCGTCGCCTTCATCATCGTCTCCTTCCTCCTCCATCGTTCCGCTGACTCTCCCTGTTATTCCGTATCTTCTCCTTCTCCGCCTCCCGTGTTCAGTTTCGCCTTCCTGCTACGATTCTCCAAGGTATCGCCATCCCCGCCCAGAGAGAGACTCCAGGTACCTGCAAAAGGCCCCCCTCATAAGAACCCACTCAAGCCATCGTGACATTGCACATGCTCCTGCAAACTGTTCGCCCTCGGCACGTTTCCAAGGCGACGGTTCCACTGCATGATCTTCAACTGTCCCTGTTCAAATCATCTCGCCGGCGATCGTTTCTGGACTGGCTGGTGGGCATACTTTTTTTGGTCGCGGCCGCGAGACAAGGGTCAGGCGGCGAAAGCAAAGTCCGGGGCGCGAACGGCTGGTGGGCATACGCGGAGCGTCAAGGATACAAACATAAGCTGGGCGGACAGAGTACATGCAACCCCGTGCGCGCCCCGGGGAACACATGTTTCATGTCCTCCTCCTCCTCCTCCTCCTGCTTCTCCTCCTCATCTTCCCTTCGTTTTTGATGTCCCATATCCTTCATTTTCCCATCCTCACCACCCACTACCCGGATTCACCGTTCACGTTGGCAATCTCCTCCTCCTCCCCGCACGCCTCTTCTCCTCGTCTCCGCTCCCCCGATTCACGCTTCTTCTCCCCTCCTCTCCCCCCCACCCCTTCTCCCCTTCCCCCGTTCCCCATTTACTCCTCCTCCTCCTCCTCCTCCTCCTCGCTTCCCCGTCTCCCTTCCCCTCTCATCCCCCAGAGTGGGGCAGCGAATCTCCTTCTTCAGACCTCTCCTGAGGTGCGTTATGCTAAGGATGTCGAGGCGTGTCCAGCCGAGGCCAGGAGAGAACTACGCAAACAAAAATCCAACCCTCGAGCCTCGATCTGCCTCCTCCTCGCCCTCGGCTTCCTCTCCCTGCTTCTCGTCGCTCTCCTGCTCGCTATTCGCTCTCTACCTCCCCCTCATCCCTTCAGGTCCTTACTTCTTTGATCAACGATTCACATGGCAAAGCGCCAACCAACGCGCTGGATGCGCCATACCGAACCATTCTAAGTCAACAGTCTACAGTGTGGAATATGATGCACAAGTGTGCGACCGCTTCTCGCGAAGGTGCCCTTTCAATTTGTTTTCTCTGGGCCATTCCATGTACCCAAATGACGAGAAACCCATAGCACATCCCCCACACAGCTCTCCCACATATAACCGTGCACAAGTTCTCATCGTTTGCACCCTGAATAAATAATGGAAAGAGTTCTTCGTGACGGACGATCGACGACGATATGTCTTTCAAGGGCTGTCACTGTTCATGGCAACTATACTGTAATACGCCGTGTCTGCTTTCACTGGATTATCAGTCTCTTTCGCCAGCCACAATGTCAATGAGCATCGCACTTGTTTTGGCGACTTCGCAAAAACCTGATACTGGATAGGCAGAAGTCTTTATGATACTACATATATGTATGCACATCGGGTAAAACGAACGAAGTTGAATAAACACTACCGCAATTCGTTATCGCTGCTGCCACTACTACTACTACTACTACTACTACTACTACTACTACTACTACTACTACTACTACTACTACGACTACGACTACGACTACGACTACGACTACGACTACGACTACGACTACGACTACGACTACGACTACGACTACTACTACGACTACTACTACTACTACTACTACTACTACTACTACTACTACTACTACTACTACTACTACTACTACTACGACTACGACTACGACTACTACTACTACTACTACTACTACTACTACTACTACTACTACTACTACTACTACTACTACTACTACTACTACTACTACTACTACTACTACTACTACTACTACTACTACTACACTACCACTACCACTACCACTACCACTACCACTACCACTACTCCGACTGCTACGATCACTACAAAAACATTATTTCTGCAGTGAAGCACGGGATAGCGAAACAGCCTAGCACAGGCAGTCCGAAGCGAATACACAGCTTGTGAGAGACACTTGCAAGCAAACTTGATAGGCTGTCTGGGAACTTTGCAAAGTCAAAACTAAAGCTGCCCACAAGCCTTGGAAGCGCTGCACAGAAACTTCGAAAAGGCTGGCGCACACGCATTGAGAACGAGTTCTCCTCCTCAGCTCCTCCTTGTCCTCATCCTTGACGTCCTCATCCTCATCCTCGACCTCCTCCTCCGCATCATCATCTCCATCCTCATCCCTGAATTACTTGCTCCCTCCTGGCCCTTCGTGGCCTGGATGCCCCAGGAGACCCAAAGACGCCCAAGAAACCGGTCCCTCGACCTCCTCCCTCTCCCGGTTCTTGCCCGAAGGCACCGAAGTCCGCCCGAAACCCGTGAGGACTCGGGGCAGGAGGAGTCAGCTGGCTCTCGGTTGTCCCCTGAGTCGCTTCGTGAATGCGTGGCCATGGTGGGCTTCCGCCCGTGGCCCCTCGGACCTCGGAGCGCGTCGCTTGACACGCCTTCCTTGGCCGCTCGCGCCGGCGGCACCGCTTCGCAGCTGCTCTTCCTTGCCCTCCATGGGACCAAAGCGCGGTGCCGTGCGGGTGTGCCGTGCGTCTCCGTGCCCGGCGTGCGTGTGCGGTGCGCCGGGACCCGAGCGTTGCCGGGTGCTGCCTTCCCGCCCTCCCGCCATCCTCCTCCCGCCCTGAACCCCACCTCCCCCTCCCCTCTGCTGGGGCAGCCAAGGCGTACGGCTACCGCCACTCCCCAGACCTCTCCCGGGGCGCGCTGTGACCGGAATGTCGAGGCGAATAGAGCGGTGGCGCTGAAGACCTCCGAGGGTCTCCGGGATGGGCACCTTCCCCAAAGTTGAATTGTTCGGCGAGGTTGCAACAAATCATACATGTGCGCAATATCTACAAGTATTCCAATCATTCAGTATAGATTCGACGAGAAAATCGTTTTTGGGGCACATCAACTCTGTAGTCGATTTCCAACTCAACTGAGGTTGAAGCCCCGACCCGACCCCTTCCCCAAGACCAGTTTCTTTCATCGCGAATCCCTGCTGAAGCCCCCGGGACCTGGCCAGGGCCCCCAGGGGCCGAAAAGAAGGAAAAGACCTCCGTCAATATTTCTCCTTGGCCCGATGGGGTCTGGCCCCCCCCTCCAGGAACAAGGAAAGGCGCCACCAACGCCACCAGGGCGAGGAGATGCGAGGAGCAAGGGGGGTCCCCCTGGTGGTGTGGTCCCCCCCTCTCGCTCGAGACGCCCCCCGCCTCCAGCTGGGGAAGGCATCGTGGACCTCCTTCGTGGAGGCGGCCCCCCTTGGTGTGGTGATCGCCAGGAAATTCTATAGGACTGCAACGGCGTGTTCTAAGAACGAAAACAAGGTTCTTAGAACAGCAGTCTCAGCCATACATGTTCTAATAGCATTTCGTGCAGGCCACGAAAGGTTCTGAGAGCGTTCTTTTGTGGACCTGCAGACAAGCCAGGATGCTTCGCCACTGCCCGACCTCCTTCGTGGAGGTGGCCCTTCTTGAGGTGTTCCTCCCCTCCTCCTCCCTCCTCCTCCCCTCCTCTCCTCCTCCTCCCTCCTCCTCCTCCTCCCCTCCTCCTCCTCCCTCCTCCTCCTCCCTCCTCCTCCTCCTCCTCCTCCCTCTCCTCCTCCTCCTCCTCCTCCTCCTCCTCCTCCTCCTCCTCCTCCTCCCCCCCGGCCCAAAAGGGTCCTGCCCGAACGCGCCGCAGGCCGCCCCGGCGGAGGGCGCGCCGCCAAAGAGGCCGCCGCCCGCCGGCGGCAGCGCGCCGCCGGCGGGCGCGGCGCCCCCCAGCGCGAAGAGCGCGCCGCCCGAGGCGGCCGGCGCGGCGCCGCCTGGCAGATCCGCCGAGGGGAACTTTTGCGAGGCGAGGATTTATCCATATCCACCGCCTGGGAACCGACGGTCTGGTGCTCCAGCGGGCGGTGGATATGGATATATTTCGGCCCCCGGGGGGCCCGAATATGTCCATATCCACCGCCTGCCGAGGCTCCGAAAACTGACCACACAGGCGGTGGATATTGATAAACTCCCGCCTCGGAACTGTTGAACAGACGTTCGATGTTTTCAGCCGGACGTCTGCGGGCAGGCACTTTGCGAGCAGTGGAGCGCGCTCGGTGAGATCTGCAGAGATGGATCGATGGATCCGACCTGCAGATCTCCATCGATCCGATTTCGATTTCGATCGGCTGAGCCTCTTCGACTCTCCCCCGAGCCCGCCCCGGCTGTGAGGCTTTTTCGGGTCCTCGGTTCGGGTTTTCTCGCCTCCGCCGCCCTCCCCGCCGCCCTCCTCGCCGCCCAGGCCCTGCCTCCCGCCCCCCTCCCCCTTCGGCGGCGAGCGATCGGGGGGGGGGGGAGAAGGAGAAGGCCTTCTCAGAAGGCGGCGGGACTTCGCAGAAGCTTGCGCGCCTCCCGAAAAGTGCTTGCTGCGTCCTCAGGGAAGGCTTCGAACACTTCTCCGAAGGTGCGCCAGACCCCTCATCGACCGCACCGCGCCACCGATATCGTAAGCGCAGGCCCGCGCGAGGCCGCGCCCGCCCCCATCCAGATCATGAGCGAGGTCAATTAGGAAGACCGCCGTCGATAGGGCAAACAACGACCCGAGAGAGCGCGCCCTTGCATGATCCCACCGCGCAGCCAGAAGATCGACGCGAAGCGGCCGAGCGACGAAGCCACCCCTTCCACCGCGGAGTAGAGGAAAGAGACGAAGGCGAGGAAGAACTCAGGGAGGCCAAGGGTCTGAAGGATGAACTCCGTAAACTGCTGGTTCAGCGACGGGAAGGCCTGACCGAAGTCGAGCGATAACAAAAGGGGGCTGTCGAGGGACTGCGGGGGCAGGGACGACAACTCGAGCATGCGAAGTTGATCCCGAAGTTCCCAGATGTTGATCCTGAAATTTCGGCCGCGCACAAAGCCGCGCTGGCAGGGGGGGGGGAACTCGCTGAATGGCAACTTAGATGGCCCGATTCATCACCGCCAACAACAACTTAACATCGGTGTTTCGCAGGCCAAGCACTCAAACTGTGTCGGGCGAGCGGGTGCACTCACCACCCCTCAGCTCATCATCGGTGACCGCCTTAGGGAGGAACGCCTGAATCGTCGCAGAGGCGCCGTCGAACGGGGCTTGACCCCCGCCCGCCCCGCCCAATCCAACGCCGACATCAGAATATGCAGACCGAACGGCAGGGCTCCCAAGGCAGAGTATGGTAGCCCATCCGTACCAGGGGCAGAGTCCTGGGCCGCGCGCAGGGCCCGTCGCAGCATGGCCAGGGACGGCGGCGGGAGGTCCGAAAAGTCGGTTTCGGAGATCCACTGCGGCACGTATTCCCTGGCCGCTTCCTGGCCCCAGGATTCTTTGAGAAAGCGGGCTTCCAATGCTTAGCCAGGGCAGCCAGGCGCTCACCAGGGTCCACTAGCACGCGCGAGTCAAGAGCGCGGGCCGACGTCAGTGATGCCCGACGCGACAGAGGAGGCCAAACACGCGCTTTGCGTTCGAACGCTCGCAATTGCAGACGCGCGCCGCGGGCAGAGACGAAGCCGTTCAGCCTGGCCGCCACCGCCTTCCGCGGGGCATCGGGGGCTTCGCGCTGGATCTTGGACGGCGACGCGGCAAATGAAAGGGGGATGCATCGGGCGGACCTCGGCGCCAGAGAAGACAACGCGGTCGGACGCAACAGGGTGGGATTCGAGCATGCGTCGCACCAGTCTAGCATCTTGTCTCCATGCCACACGAGCAACCATGCGAGATACTTGTAGAAAGGGTGTGGCCACTATCAGGCTTCTCTCTGAATGGCATGTCTCGAACTTCAGCGGCAGCGATCCGCCTCAGATGTTTGTAGCGTTCCAGCTGGGAGGGGGGGGGGGGGCGCCCGTCCCCGCTGGGCGGCTCCACGAGCCCGCGCATTCGCCGAACGGGGACAGGGTCGCGGCATGTGCGACGAGGAGTTAGACGAGCAGAGGCAGGGGCGGGCAGAACGCGAGACGATGGACGCAACGACTGCTGCGCGGTCAGATATTTTTTGCGCCCGAGACCGCAGCCGCCGACCCCGCGGCGGCAGAGGGGATCTGCAGCTGGCGCACCTGCCAGCCTTGCGGCGAAACGAAGATGCGGTCCAGAACGCGGGCCTTGCCAGAAGCGGCCTCGAAGCGCGCGGGCTCGCTGCCCTCGATCTCCAGCGCGTCCGCGAAGACCGACCGCCAAGCAAGCGCGCCTGCGCGATGACGACGGCCACCCCGCCGAGCGGCAGGAGCAGGAGCATGCGGGTCAAGAGCGTCCTCGCCAACGACTTTGCAGCCGCCGTCGACGATCGCCAGCGCCTTGGACGGGCCCTCACAAGATGCGCCTGCGCCCGCGAGCCGCCTCAAGGACGACGTGAAGTGCGCAACCAGGAACCAGAGGAACACGGCGAACCAGAACAGGGCCACCAGGGAGGTGGGCAAGGGGGGCAAGGGGAGGGAAAATAACAGCGACGCCGCCACGAACGCGAGCTGCCTGAGTGTCCCCGCATAAGCAGGAGACCACCGCGGTGCGTGGCGCGGCGGAATGCACGAATTCCCCCAGCTGCAGGGCGCCCCGGTGGATCTCCTGAAGCGAGATGGTGGACTTGGACAGGCCGATCTTGGACTGATACTGTATTTTCAACAACGCCTTTGACCCAGCGTACTGCAGGGGAGCCCTGCAGTTCTACGTGGCCACTCGCAGAGCAGTGGCCCCCCCCCCCTGCAGGTGAACACTGGCAACATGAAAGCAGGCGGGAGGCGCTAAAGGCGCCGGGCGGATGCCTCACGGGGGTCGGAGATGGAGGAAGTGGCGCGCAGCATCTGCTCCTTCGACAAGCCGTGCTTCTTGTCTGGGCCGACGCGGGCCCTGGTCTGCGCGTCGCTGCAAGGGGTGTCGGCATAAATGATATTCAGTCTCTGCCTCTCTTGAGGCCAGCGAGGGCCCGCAACGCTTAGCGGCCAGCGGGGGCGACGAGGCCGGTGAAGTGGACGGCGAAAAGCTTGCGCGGGAGGTCGCCCATCGCGTCGATCTTGTACTCATTCCCGTCAAAGCCAACATCCGAAAGAAAGGCAACCAAGCACTTGGACATGGCCTCGAGGGAGGTCGGTCGCTGTGCGATCGCGACGAGGAGCGTGCCATCAGGTCCCTGCTGAAGCATGTGGCACCTGCGGGGCAGGTCGGGGTCGCTTCTCAACGGCCGCAAGATGACGCCTGAGCTCCTCAATCCGTGCACGAAGCTGAACAATATCATCCTCATGTGAAGCCAAGCGCCGCTCGCAAGCAACTGGGACTGGAGCCTACGTGCGAGGGCGTCGACCTGGGGGCGCACGGCGTTCTGAACCTGCTGGTCAATCGACTCGGACTGACCAAAGACCTGGGCCCGCAGCGCGTCGATAGAGTTGAGGGGGACGGCATGATTGGCGGCGACTGTCGTGCCGAAGGACTCCGCGACCGAGGCGGCGAAAGCCTCCCGCAAGCCCGCGGACTCGTCTCTGCACAATTGGCGGAGGTAGTCGTTGCTGGTCCAAACATCATCATCAGCGTGCTCACCGTCAGCACCAGGGAGAGAGAGAGAGAGAGAGAGCATGCGCAGCATGTTTGCCGGAGCTTGCACCTTTGCCACCTTTACCACGGCCGACGGACTCCTGGGACAAGGAGGTCAGAGCGAGGTCGAGACTCTCCAGCAGGGCGGGCGGGATCGCTGTCCCCGAGGGACCATCTGCCATGCTGGCATGGTGGAGCGGGAGGGACACTGGGTGTGCAATGGCCCAAATCCTGCAGCAGAGGCCGAAGAAGGATGCCAGGCACAGGTGCCTTGCTCGCCGCGGGCTAGCGGTATCCAATCGTGCAAATGCGGGCTCAACCCACGACAGCATGGGTCCTGAGCCAAAATGGCTTGAGCCAGAATGGCTTGAGCCAAAATGGATACGGAGAGGAGGAGGAGGAGGAGGAGGAGGAGGAGGAGGAGGAGGAGGAGGAGGAGGAGGGGGAGGATGAGGATGAGGATGAGGAGGAGGAGGAGGGAGGAGGAGGAGGAGGAGGAGGAGGAGGAGGAGGAGGAGGAGGAGGAGGAGGAGGGGAGGAGGAGGAGGGGGAGGAGGAGGAGGAGGAGGAGGAGGAGGAGGAGGAGGAGGAGGAGGAGGAAGAGGAAGAGGAAGAATATGGTCCCAAGGTGGCCCAAGAGAGCCCCAAGAGGGGTTCAAGCGGTCCTTCTAAGGCGGTCCCAAGAGAGCGCTCACGAGCGCCCCAAAGAGGCACCACGAGCGCACCAAGAGGTGATTCTGAGCAGGAGGAGGAGGAGGAAGGATGGGAAGGAATGGGGATGAGCAGGAGAGAGGAGGCGGGGAGGAAACAAAATGCCCCCCCCCCCCCCCTCCGTTGATCGATGGCCTCCAATATGGCCCAAAGGGCCCCCCCCCCACAACTCCATGCGAGGGCCCCAAGAGGGCCCCAAGAGTGCCCCACAAGACCCCTCAAGACCTCCAAACGAGCCTCCAGAGGACTCCCAGATGAGACGTTGAGGACACTGCCCTCGTTCTTGTTGTCCTCCTCCACCTCCTCACTCGCGCCCCCGAACTTGCCCTCATCGTCTTCCTGTCCCTTGTCCTCCTCTTACTCGTCGTTGTCGTGGTCGTCGTTGTCGTGTTCGTGGTCGTCGTCGGTTTCCCCTTCCTCCTCCTTCTCACTCCCCCCTCCTCCTCCTATTCCCCCCTCCTCCTCATTCACTTTGCCCTCGCCCCCCTGCGGGACCCCACGGATGGACTTAAGAGGCCCTCAGCGGCCACCGCCGTGCTCCAGAGACCTCTCTGTATCACTGTTCACCGCTGTTGCCAGCTTTGCTTCGCTATGTTTGGGTCGGGCATGTCGCTTACAGGCTGATTTTGAGCAACAGATGAAAAATAATCAAACCATGCACAGCAATATTCAAACATAGTCAAAAATCGTCCCCCGACTATTTTGCGACTGTGCTTAAACATTCTCAATGTAGAGGGACAGTTGCCACTATATGTATATGTTCGTCCATTTCCGCCAGCTAACATGGGCAGGGTTTCCGAATGGGCCGGCGTCGATACTTTTCTTATTCGCGAGTGACACACAGCAACTGCACGCCATCAAGAAGCGAAACAACAGCGCTACGATCTAAAGTGCGGCCTAAACCGGAGCCGAACATGCGCAGCTAACTAGCGGCGGGCAGACATGCAAACTGAGCGGCGGGAGCGGGCTACGCCGCAGCTCAGACGACGGGGACACCAGACCGGTGAGGATACGCGAAGCGCGAAGAATGTGTAACACGGTTCCTGAGATTTCAACGCCGCGAAACACCATGTCTGTTGCGTCAAGACGTTCTCGAATCGTGCCCAAACACCACGCCAAGGACTTGAACACCTCATCGCGACACCGATGACATCGCGCCAGAAGAATATGCAAGAGACTGATAAGACGAAGGCGCGAGGCACTAAAGCAAGAGCCGCATTTTGAAAAAGACAAGCTCCATCCCCGGTTGTACGCGGTGCTGGGGCGAAAACCACATTTTGAAAAGGGCCCACCCTCAATCCGCGAAGCTGTTGCAAACTATGAGAACGAATGCAAGCGGCGAAAAGGCGGGAATCACATGTTGAACACCACCCGCCCTCCATCCACGAAAATCCTGCAAACTTTTGGGAGGTTGCACGCGGCGTGAGGCGAGAACCACATTTTGAAAACCACCCGCCGTCAATCCGTGAAACTGCGGAAGCATTCAAGCTTCGAAACCATACGTGGCGAAGACATGTCACAACGGAAACGCCCAGCCCACCCTACTGACACGCTTGGAGATGTGGCAGGGAATAACTACTCAGTCATAAGAACGGAAGAGGAGAAGGGAAAGGACGAGGGGAGGAGGAGGGAGAGGAGGGGGAGGAAGGGAGGAGAAGGAGGAACAGGAGGAGGAGCATAAGGAGGAGGAGGAGGAGGAGGAGGAGGAGGAGGAGGAGGGGGAGGAGGAGGGAGGGGGAGGGGGAAAAGGGGAGGAGGACGAGGAGGAGGGAGAACCCCCCCTGGGCGAGGGCGCCCGAGCCGCCGCCAAACGAGAACACCGAGGACGCCGCCGCCGGGCCCGCCAGGGCTCCGCCGCCAGAGGCCGCGCCGGAGCCTGCAGGGACGCGTTGTCGCCGTCGCCGCGGGCGTCGTCGTCGTCGTTGCCGTCGCCACCGCCGTCGACCTCAACATCGTCGCCGCCGCCGTCGCTGGCGTCGTCGTCCCCGCCGCCGCCGCCGCTGCTGTCGTCGTCGCCGTCGTCGACGACGTCGACGTCGACGTCGACGTCGACGTCGACGTCGTCGTCGTCGTCGTCGTCGTCGTCGTCGTCGTCGTCGTCGTCGTCGTCGTCGTCGTCGCTGGCGTCGTCGTCGTCGTCGTCGTCGTCGTCGTCTTCGTAGTCGTCGCCGTCGTCGTCGTCGTCGTCGGCGTCGTCGTTCCACGCCGCTGTCGTCGTCGTCGTCGTCGTCGTCGTCGTCGTCGTCGTCGTCGTCGTCAACGCCGTCACCGCCGCCGCCGGCGCCCCCGGAGAGCGCGAGTCCATGCGGCATGGGCTCGCGCTCCTCTCGCATGGGCGTTGCCTCCTCGCGCTACGAAAGGATCAGAGTGGGGGGGGGCTGGCCATCTTCGGCCTCTCCCTGGGCGGGCACTTACCTGGCCATCAAAGGTCTGGGAGCAGCGGGGGGGGGAGGCGACGGCGCTCGCCGGCACCATGACAGGGTTTTGGCAAGAAAACTCGGGAAGCTCCTGGGTCCATGGTCTGCGCTGACCCCATCCGCAGGACCACGAGACCTGAAGTTTCGAGGCGGTGGGTCCAAGCCCCCTCTGCAAATCGTTGACGAAGGCGAGTTTCCGCGATGGCTGCTGGGCGGGAGACAGGGCCCAAAGACTGGGTGTTCTTCACTATCGCGTTGCACCTTGTGAGCCCAACGGCGCCACATGAGATCCAGGTGCGCCCCCACGGCGAGGTCCGACTGGCGCGCGAGACCGTTGAGGCCAGGGAGGCAGCACGGAGCTGTCAGCGGCCTCAAATGTGAGTACCTTGGTAGAGCGCTTCCGCCACCGAGCGAGGAACAGGAGCCTCAACTTGTCGGAGAGGATGGTGCCCCCATGGCGTGTTGGGGGAGCTTGACACTGTGGGGCTCGGTGTTTCTGTTGGCGGGTTCTGTGCATCCGCGGCCTCATATTATAGTTGGGGGCTTAGGGGGGAGGGTGGCAGACGAGTGAGGACGGCGAAACGAATTTTGTGGCCCAGTCCACCCCTGACGAGCCGGGCAGCGGATCATCTACAACTTGCATTCGTGCCCGTAGTGATGCAGAAAACATGGGGACGCGTGCTACAGCGATTGCATGGATGCGGTCAGGCTGCAGACCAGCAACCGAATCAGCAGTTGGACCGTGTGAAGGCGATTGTCATGCCTGATGAAATTTCACCCCCGCCGACATCTGCAGCGCTGCCACCCCGCCGTCATCACTGTCATCAACATGTTCAAGGTGTCGCCGTCTCTGCGCAAATCCCCCAATGTACCACTGGTGCGATCCTCGCGCTAGGCCTCATTAGCCTAAGACGTGACATAGCAATTCAAAGAAATGACTTGGACGCGTGCCTACGAGGCCCGCGCAGGCTCCCAAGAGGCTCCCCTCCGAGGCCTTCAGTATGCTCAACATGAGGGTCGGCTGAGTATACCCCACCCCCACTGGGGCCACAGAAACTGGACATGTTTGAGTTCTTGGTTCGAAAGCCGAAAATGGCATCAACTCTAGGCGCCCAAGGGGCCCCTTGAATGAGACCTGGGGAAGGCCTGGCGACACCCCGCGCCCTCCTCCCGCCCTCCCCTGCCCTACCTCTACCTTCCCTCCCGCCCTCGCTTGCCCTCCCCTGCAACTTGTTGGGGTGTCTGCGGGCCTGCCTGGAATGGCGCCCTGAAACTACGGGCCAACGCGATATAGTCATTGTGGCGCCGCGGGGGCGGGGTGTAATTACGCAACGAAAAAGGCCGGATTGCATACCCCACCCGCGAATATACCCCACCCGCGATAGGATGGAGGTCCGTCGTGGACTGCTCCGCCAGGAGTGCCCAGGTACTCCGACAGATTAAGGCAAGCCTGGGAAGAATGCAGTATCTGTCTCCACTTTACGCGATGCACTTTGTCACGCGGCGCGCGGGGGCAAATAAATGCATGTCGCTTTGCAACCCCGAAGACGTACATACCTGGGGGTGGGTGTCATATCTCGGACCCGCAAAACAAGCCTCGTAGCATGCCTGAAAAAATGCATCCAGAAACCGCCGTCGTGACCCATGGTTCCCCCGACACTCCTAGATGGTGCCCAAGATGGCCAAACGGAGGCTCAATCTGGAATACCACTCATGCAACTCGTGCCACGCGTGTACCTGGAACTTCTCTGCCCACCTCCGGAAAGGCTGGACGCCCACACGCCACGCAACGCGGTCATTCCGACATGCTCGCGCGTTCGTTACCTCATTGGGGCCCGCTGTAACTTCAGTCCTGCGGGCTTCATGAAGGGTTCGCCGGATGCGGCGCAAGCCTGTTGATCCACTCTAGCAAGCAAGCTCATAGGTTGGGCCACTGCGAGTAGCTTACAGGCCCAACCAGCCAGCTCCCTGCCTCAAAGCTCTGACACGACTGACCGCATCGAAGAGCACGTGACCATCACAACTGCGCTTGATAAGTCGAATTCGCGGATATGTCCGAACTGCGTAGGCCGAACTTGCACGAATTCGCAGCACAGCGTGGCACTCAGGACTCTGGCACCATAGAGAGCGATGCGCCCACACTTCAATCTAGAAATGCTGGCGGTTGCTGCAAAACTTGCACAACAGACGCGCCAGAAGAACGAGGAGGCGAAGAAAACATCCTCCGCGACCCAACTGGCCACGCACGTGGCAGGGCTCCGAAAGATAGCGCGTGCCATGTCAACTTTCACACGCGTGCTATTCACATCTCTACCAAAGTTGGCTGCAAATGGGCACGGTGCAGCAGATTCGGGTAGCTATAAGCTGGTGGTACTGATGCGTGCGATATGAATCTGAGCGCAGGCGCTAGGCGCCTCTCAAACGGGGTCCGAGTAGTGTGGGTCCGGGGATCGCGCCGCCTCGCTGATGCATTGGCGATGACCTCCTCATCGAACCACATCAGTGATGCATCTAGGACAGGGGCGGCCCTCCGACTCCATCTACTCGGGCCCTATGTGGGGGCCAAGATGCAAGCATAATCAAACCGCATGCGCAGCCTGGACAAGCGCGCAACCTGGGCAAGCGCAACCCGCATGTGCCCGCACACGCCATCGTATGCAACCCGCACGTGTAGCCCGCAATCGCAACCCGCATGCGCAACCCGCGGGCGCAATCCGCATGCGCAACCCTGGCAAGAGCAAGCCAGGCAAATACATCCCGCAACCGTCCGCACACGCCAACATGTGCAACCCGCGCATGCGTTCCGCATGCCCCACCCGCATGCCTACCCCGCACGCGCGCCCCGCACGGGCAGCCTGGGAACATCTATTCTGGCCGTGGCGGAGACCGGATCAATTTATGCAAGAAGAATAAGAACTCCCTAGGCGAAGCTGACGCAACACTGACTTGAAAACTGCCTCGACCAATGGCTACATTCAGCGTGAAAGACCAATTCTCTCGTCCTTGATGTCGCCAACGAAGTCCACGTCTGACTTCAGAAATCATGATGCCAAACCTACCTCCGGCTGCAATTTCGAACATGCCGCAATGATGCCTGCAAGCCAAGTGTTCGAAAACTCGATTGCCGGAAGGCGCCCAGCACCGTATCCAAACGAAGTGTCTTCTACTGCACCATCGTGCAAGATCGATACAGGGATTATTTTGATCGTGCCATCGTCTGTGCCCTTACGCTTCAAGCCCCGCAGTGGAGGTTGTCGAATCAATGAAGTACCAGCTAAAGCACGAATATCTTCATTGCTCACCGACTTCTTCCAATTCCCAGAGCGGGCTAGACCAATCAATATGTTGAAAGCAGCGACTGCTGGATTGACAAAGCCGAGAATAATTGCATTTAGCCGATTGTGCGTCCATTCGCCTCGGGATTCGAATTGCCCGTTATGCTCAATATCATTATGCTGAAAATCCAAGACGTCTTATTTTAGGGGATCTCCCATGACACTGCCGTTGTTGCACTTGCGAGAACGCCACCAAGCTGTGAATGTATCAACGGTTGCTCCTGTTTGGCTGAGGTTCTTCGCCGCGAATGCGTGTTCTGTGAACGATTCGAACACGATACAACATACGGGGTCTAATAACCAAAGCGACCCTCTTCGAAACTTACAACGCGACCCAGGTGGGACGATTGCGTGACGACCATATTATCGTTTGTTCCCCCGTACGCTGCCCGTAACGCCACGCGTTCTTGTCATAGTCCTCGCTGCATTGAGTCCCTGGTGGCTAATCGATGCAAGCGAGAGGCATATAGCTTGATGGACAGTGAAAGTTGGGCGCGTGTCGGATATCGTTGAGCCTGCGGTTCGCTGAGGAACACGTAAACTTAGCCAGCCCATATGCCGCAACAAATGCGCACAATCGATTTGATGAGCCTGACTTGTTCTTCCGCTGCTCTGAATCGCCCTTGCCAACAAACCACAGGCAACATTCCCACGGGCACTGAAAAAGAAACTGCGAATGGCCTCGCTTGAAGAAACCGTGCAAATGCGCATACGGCACCCCGCACTGACAACACACTTGCACATGCATGCGTCGGGAATACATCCCCGCACGCTTGCGGCACGACCTGAACTGTTTGGTTCCGTCGGCGCGACGTCGAAGTATTAGAGGTGGAGCGCAATGCGCCTGTAGATATCCCTCCATCCTCAAGTGATGGATTGCTCCAGTCGCAGGGCATCTCAGAGGGGATCCTCCTCCCACCTCCTTCTCCTCCTCACGCTCCTCGTCATCCCACGTCTTCCCTTACGGTCCTCTCTCTTTCTCTCCCCCTTCTGCCTTCCTCCTCCCCTGTTCGTGTTCCCTCCTTCCTTACTCCCTCGTGCACCTCCGAACTGCCCCTTCGTCATCCTCCTCCTCCGCCTCCTTCCCAGAAGGGAACGAGCAACATAAAGAGGGGGGAGAAGAA